CGGGAAGAGTCTTCAACCGGCAGGTCGTTGTTTGGGCATGCAGCCTGCATAACGAAATCTTGCGAATCTAAGAAACAATAAGCTGCAGCGGCAGAGGAACAATAACCCCTCGCAGAATGACAACCAAGCCTCGACGTCCCACGGCTTCCAATGCCCTGCCTAGTCTCTAGTACGGCGAGGGTGCATATACCTTATCATCCGTTCCTGATGAGAAGGTTTTTGTTTTCTCTATATATCTCCTTTTATTATGCTATCATATTTTTATTTCCCTACGACTCCAGGGGGAACAGATTCCGCGTCGGGAGGCACGATGCCGAATATCCATGACAGCTTGCAGGTATCGTGATTTAACGGGTTAACCTGGGTACTAGGTTACGATTAGGTGCATACATAGGTATCGTCAATATCATCGTCAGGGGTGAAAATACACGCTAGAGGCGGCTTGCAGACAGCACCATCCACTGGTAACAGTTACGGGATACGTCGCTTGATGAGACGTGGACGGCAGTTCCCTACTATAGTACGCACAAGAAATAATTATGCGTCGTATAAGTGGCCGACGTCGTGTGAAAAGAGAGGAGCCTTAGCCGCGCTAGAAAGATTTACTAGCTCAAATTTGTGTGCTTGTGCGTTACGTGCTACGTGCGTGCCCGTCGATATCGAAGCTCCCACAGGCTCCCACCACCTTACATAATAAATCTGTGGGGGTTGACATATAAGTACCACCGACAGCAAGCATGTATGTGTGCGTATGCAGGTATCGTCGTCCGAACCAACGTACGGAGACGCTAGAGTGTAACTTCGACACACGGGGGGGCGGACCAACCCGGTACTTCTTCCTAGTAGATCGTTATTATAGCAACACGCACACGCGCAGCAGTTGAGTTGCTTCTGCATGCGGCCAACCATTCTTCGACTTCTGGAAGAACCGCCCTCGAATAGAATTTTCCAGATCCTCTAGAGTTAAACGACGCATCGAATCCAACCCAAAATCTTGCGAGACCCGCGTACGTTACAGGTACCGGATTTTGGTTTGATCGTGCCAAATCGTGCCAAATCTTTCTACACGTCCACGTAGGCGCCGGGACCTCAACGAATTTCTTTGCCTCTTTTTAATAGAACAACGCAACTAAGGGAAAATAAAAACAAGGATTAGGGATTTCGTCCCGGGCTTTGTTTGACGCAATCTTTTTTATTTGCGACGCGGCCGAGATGGGACAGCAAACGATTCTCGTATGAGGCGTATGTATGTTATGTATGTACGTCTTGAGCGCGTCGCAATCAAGGATAGACGGAACCGACGAAGCTCTTCTAAAGGAACGACCCTTTGGATATTTTGGAACCGCATTTATTGGCAGCAGAATTACCCGTGACTCCCGTCCGAGGATAGGTTGGGGGCCGTATAATGCTCTCTCCCGAGCCTCTGATCTTCCGCCCACGCGGCTAACGTAGGCCAATCCCGGCCCATCAAAGGCTCTGGTCTTATAGATGCCGAGGAGTGGAAGCTGTGGGAGAGATATTCCTTTCCATCCAACGGGCGGGATTTCTTGCCTCGCGATTTAGGACGATCAGGGAACTAGGAAATCTCTCTCCAGGACTTCGTAATCCTGGGGCCACTAGCATAGCGGCCATCGTGGAGGCTACCGATCAGCGCTAATCCGACTAGCAAGAAGCTCTAGCAAGTAGCAACCTCCTAGCCAATGCCAAGAGCGAGATCGTTCAAGCTGTTCGACGGGGCCGTGCTTGCGAAGATCGATTCGCGCGCTCCACAGCGGCGCATCTCGAGCTTGATTCGCTCGAGACTTGCTATATAGTAGGATCTCTTGGCCGGTTCGACGGCTCCAGCGACTTATAATCTGTAGGGTCCAGCACCGGCCCCGACCAGTGAGAGGCACGAACCCGAATAGACGATAGTCATACGCGCTGAACGCACTGAATCGGCAGCGCTTGATTGAGCAGTATCTTACATAGCTATGTGTCAAAAGCCAGGCACCGTATAAGCGAGCATCGGAGAACCATTCACTTTGCATCATTACATACGAACCTCCCTTTTCCGTGCTGTCTGCTGTCTTCTATCCCTGCGCGTCAGGTCACCTTCGTTATCTTTTATTTCTTATTTTTTTCTGAGATATTATTCACCTATAGGAAAGGGGGAGGGACATAAAGAAAACAAAAATAAAACAAAAATAAACACTGCCCAGACCCGTGTAAGTCCTGACTTGTACCGGCCAAGTATCGTCTGCAACTCGACTTTCAAACCGGCCAAAAACCAGCAGTTGGCCTAGCAGTCGACCTAGCATTGCAGATACGATACAACATGTAATGTACCTCTTCTAGGCGTCCTCTGGGCAGCCTGGATATAGCCCTGAAGACGGAGCACAGTGCAAGTGCTCCGCTGAGGACCCCTTTTTAGCTTGCTTAGAGCCCTGTGGATAGAGCTAACGCGGTTGAGCTCGTGCAGCGAAGCGCAGTACCAATCTACACACCCCCTCTAACCCTGCAATGGCCCCGACTCCACTGCCCTAAGTTTCTAGGTTCCTAAGTTCCCTAAGTTCCCTACTAGGACCTACTGGTAATAAGTCTCCTAGTTGCTGCTACCTGTCTGTGAACGTCCACCAAGCCTTGGAGCCCACCGTGCCCACCACGCCCACTAAATGTGGTACCTATCCACCGCACCGCTGCTCCTTAGAAGCTCCCATCCCAGCGCCCTCCAGCATGTCCAGCATGTCCAGCATTGTCCAGCATGGTTTTCCAGTTGGGGATTTAGAGGGGGAATCCTCGTTTTCCATACAATATCCGCGGACCTCGACTAGCCGCATCCAGTACATCCTCCCCAAACCCCAAACCCCAAAACCGGACGTTTCTCAGCGGCAGCCTCTTCTCCAACTGGCCAAACTTCGACAAAGGTGGCACCGAACCACCATTTTTCTCTACCATTTTTTTTCTCATTACCTACTAATTCTACATAGGTATGTACTAGTTGTCTAAGTTTTCTATTCCCTTTTGCAATGCTGTCGTGTGCGACTTTCTCATTTTCTTGTCAATCGGTCCCAAAGTATGACCAACAGGACCAATTGTCCAGATATAGCTAAGGGGGATGATGATAGATTACCATACTCGTCCTTCTCGGTCTACCTTCCTCGTCTTCGGTTGTATTCCGTCTCCCATTCCCGCGAAATTCGTAGGTAATCCGGGGTGCCGTTTATTACATGTATTATGTGACATCGACAGGATTGCTTATTTTTATCTCTTTTTATTTATTTTAATCTTTTTCTTCTTTTTTTCTCTCTATTAATCCCCCAATCTACTTCGAGGTACTTAGCCTAGGTAGGTAACATCCTAAGGATGTTTCGGCATTTTTCAATATTAATAAGATATTATTTGCTATTCGCTTTTATCAAACTATTTTCCTTATTTCCCAATTTTTTTCTCCATCCTTTCCCTTTTTAGCTCGTGCTCTAATCATACTGGTTGTTTCCCTACCTACTCGAGTATATGCACGTCGGACCCAAAGTATTATACGCTTGTCCTCGTTTTTATTATTATTTTTTATCTTATTTTTTTACAAGGTACCTGTTCCCATACATCGTCACAGCTGCAGAACGGGTCGATCTAAGCACTACTCTACTTTTCCCACATTACCCTTACTTATGTAGGAACGGTACCTATCTTACCTAGGTTGCTACATAACTAAACCCGGGATACCTGGGTTGCCTGCCTACCTACCTACGTACATTACATACTACATACACATACATGTTACGGCGGCCCCTACTACGCAGTACTTATCTTCTTAACCATACTAACCCCATAATTAGGTACGTCCCATTGCATCAACCGCCTTTTACGTATGTAGGGGAATAGGTAGGCACTGTAGTAAACAGGTAATTGTATTATCGACCGTTGGTTGAATGGGGTCATATGGGTCCATCTGCCTATATATCCTTGCCTCCTCTCCCGGGTCTGGCCCGTTTGGCCTCACCTCTGAACGACTTCTCCTATGTCCTCTCGAAGCTCGTTGACCATCATAATGGCTTCTTTTCTTTAGGGGTTTTCTTTTGGTCTGTCGTGTATTATATTATTTGTGTTCCCGGCTCGCTACCTCTCTCTCGGCTTGAAACCCGCCTCGTTCCCGAGAAAATAGTTGCAGCAGTAATAATAGTAAAGGACTCGAGGTGTCCCTCTCGCTGGTTGCTAGGTCGATAGGACAAACTCTCGTTTCGAGCCTCTCACGTTCCGGGGATTCGTTCTTTCTGCTGTTATCTACCACAGTAACATCATTCATACGCCCTTCCCCCCTCCTCAGGAAACCTGTTCAATAGTTGCCACCGTTGCATGGTCTCGGTCTCGTCTATTGTTCCTAATTCCATTATCCGTTAATCACAGACGCAAGAGAGAAAAGGGTTCGTCTGATTCACGACCCTCCGTTTCCGCGCGTGACCGTATCGTGTCCAGATCCGAGAAACGAGAATACCCGTCCAAGTTATTTTTAATAAAAAAAAAGGCAAGCTTCACCTTCCCTCCTCCTCACCCCTCGCCTTGCCGAGCTACGTACACGCTTCGCCGCACCCGTTTCGCGTTGCAACCTCATCTCATCCCTCGCCTGGGGTTACCCTTTGGAGGGGGCTTCTATTTTTTTCTGAGATTGTGTTCCGAGGACCCTGCGGCTCTTACACAACCAACTACATCCCGGTTACTCTCCGCAAAAGTCACCCTAGCCTCTCACTCACACCTTCCCTCCGCGGGTGAAACAGCCAGCTGACCCTTATAGTCCCTTTTAGTCCATAGATAGACTTTTGGTGGAGGCTGTCAGCATCTCTTTGAGGATTGTTCAGACGACCGGCTCGTACATAACTACACGCTCCTCAAGCACGCCCTGGCAGAGACCGGACGCGACAGCTTGGGCTTTGTCTCATAGAACCCTTGATATTACACTAATACGCCAATCCGGATTTTTTTTTCAGCATCCGCTCGGAGAAGAGAAAAAAAAGATATCCGCCATGGGCATCGGTGATTTATTCTCAGATCTCGCTCGTCCGAGCTTCGACTTCTTATCGTCGCCAAATTTTTGGTGGTATACGTTTTGGGTGCTGTGGTAAGTCACGAGTTTTTGCTCTCGCGACGACGTTTCTCGCCCGAGGAGTCATCCTCCGGCCGGCGTCAAACGTAGACATATCACGTATTAACTCTTCACCGTCAGGGTGCACCGATATCTACGTTTAATCGTTCATACTTTCAGCCATTGGTTTTACAAGTCGAAACCAATTCCTGTCAAACCTACGTTTACTTCTGACGACGTGACGGTCATCATTCCCACTATCCACAATGCCTTCGAGGAGCTCCGCTCCTCCCTGGAGAGCATCTTGGCCTGCAGGCCGCACGAGCTGATCCTCATAACGACGGTGGACAAGCACGTGGCGTTAGAGAAGCTCGTGAAGACGTTGTCGACTTCGAACGTCCGCGTGCTCTTCACGCCTATCGCGAACAAACGACTTCAGGTTTGCGAGGCGCTCCCCAAGGTAAAGACGGCGATCACCATCATGGCCGACGACGACGTTACCTGGCCGTCCACCCTCCTCCCGTGGGTCCTCGCTCCTTTCGAGGACCCCAAGATCGGAGGCGTCGGGACTTGTCAGCGCGTGCGTCGAGAGTCGGGCGGATCCGTATCCACCCAGATTTTCAACTGGCTCGGGGCTGCTTACATTGAGCGCCGCAATTTCGAGATCTCGGCTACTCACAATGTCGATGGGGGAACTTCGTGCATGTCCGGTCGCACAGGAGCTTACCGATCAGAGATTCTGTCGAGCCACGACTTTCTTGAGGGGTTTAAGACCGAGCGATGGCGCGATTATATCCTGAACGCTGACGACGACAATTTCGTAACCCGCTGGCTGGTCAGCCACCAGTGGAAGACCTGGATCCAGTACGAGCGGGAGTGCGAGATCGAGACGACGCTGGAGAACGGCCTCAAGTTCCTCTACCAGTGCTCTCGATGGGCCCGGAGCAATTGGAGAAGCAACTGGACGAGCTTGGTCCGAGAGAGATACGTGATTACGTAAGTGCCATGCCATTACCCTGTTCGTCGCTGTTCGTTGTTCGTTGTTCTGCTTCCCTAGCTTCTCCTACTCCCTTGCAAACAATGCCCCCCTTGTTACCCCCTGTATAGCCCTTGTAGTGTATATACCCCCTGTCCCCTCTAGCACCACCCAACTATCTCAACAGGGCCGACTGCGCATGGACTAACTACGGCCCCATGCTTTAGCCAACAGCCGTGGTGCACCTACGCTCTGCATATTGCAACCTTTACTTCGCTGGCCTTCGTCGTGGACCCTCTATTGCTCGTCTCGCTTTGGCGGGGTACCGAGGGATGGGACCTGGAGGCACGACAACGATGCATTTGGGCTCAGGTTGTCTTCATGTTCGCCTTTACGAAGGTCGTCAAGCTGATCGGACTCTTTCGGCGAAACCCGAGTGACATCGTCTTCCTGCCGGTGTCCGTCATTTTCGGCTACTTTCACGGGCTGATCAAGCTATACGCTCTGATCACTTTGAATATGGTACGGAAATCCGAAAATAAATAAATCGAAATATAAATAAATTTGAGCCTCTTGCTGACATCATACACAGACTTCTTGGGGTAGCCGACCCGACGGTGACGCCAACGATGCTCTTCGTATGTCGCCTCGTCCCAGAAGAAGCGACAGCATCGCGACGCCCCCACCTCGGTTTGACGACCTCGACCGTATCTTCCGTATGCGAAATGCTCGCGGCGTCTTGTCCGAGAAGGACGCTCTCCTCCTCGACTATCCGAGAGACACGTTCCCGCCGATCACCATGGTGGCGGGCTTATCGTAACAGCGTGATGGAGGCACAATTCCATCGCGGCTCTATTATTCGGCTATTTCGTACGGATGATTACTGATTAACGGGCTCATAGCACAAAAGAGATGCTATGCATTTACGATTCATGAGTGTTATATTCTACGATTTATTTTGCGGGAAGGGCTTATCGGAAGAGGTCAAAACGGTACTCTCCTACGGTATAACGGCCACTGCCTGAGTTACGGATAACGGCCGCTGCCTGAAATTACGGATAGCGGTCGAAGGGCTTTCAGGCTATAAGACGACGTCCGTCTTCGGAATCTCCGGTCGGTTATTCTGCGACCCCCTAAAAAGTTCCTGGTCTTGAACTTCGTCAGGATGGCGGAGGACGGGTCTCATACCACCACAACACACCAAACGTAATGAATGTTTTTTTTCACGGTCCTGTGTTTCAGCACAGGGTACGGCGGATGAAGTCGCAGAAGAAAGCTCGACTCGTATTCGCCAAGAGAAAATCGTGCCATACTTAATAAGGGAAGCCCCTACAGGACGGGCAGGTGGCATATTCGTTATTTTTCCTTTCAATTTTTCTTCCCCCCTCTCTTTGCTTTTTCTCGCATCGCATATTTCGGCACGCAGCATTTTTCACACGCTCGGCTCTTACCAAAAACAAAATGGATGGTATGGTTTGGTGTGAAGACTTTAGGGAGGTTTCTGGTTGGAGGGCAAAAATCGGGAATAGATTGTGACTCTAGTCTGCATGGATGTCTACGGATTCCTTCATAGAGATGTATTAGAGGGGCATCATTCGAGACCAATGCGAGGCCGACAGAGGAAAAAAAAAAGAGTGAGAAGAAAAATAAGAAGGGTCCTTTTTTCACATGCAACTGCGTAATAGGACATTGGCTGATGGGAAATATTTGTGTCGTACTGCATATATGTAGTAAGATTTTTGATGTGATGTGACTTCAGCTTTTTATTACCTATCCCAGACTCGATGGGATGCAACCTAACCCACTTCCAAGTTACCGATCCGACACCCCCGCGACGTGCCAACGTAGGTCGTGCAGCATACAGGCACCGCACGGCATATGCAAAATGCGACTGAGCTGGACGCGAGATCAACCGCCGAACGGCCTCATCAGGAGACCTGGCGTCGCACGACAGCAACGGCAACGGCAACGTACCAGGGGTAACTCACGGCCCAGAAACTGCCAGATACTTGGTTACCTCCGACGGTCGCGTAAGAACCGCCAAGCACCAGGTAGTAGGTATGTCAGCGGCCAGCTGTGACGGCCGACGGGGTCCTTGCTTACCCCCAGCTTTTCGGCCACGCCAAGCCGTAGAGGCTCTGTTTATAGATGCTCATAGGTTCGTACGCGACCCAGTCGGATGCTTTGACGACTCGTCTACGCCTCCGGAGTCGTGGTACTCGACTCTCTCTCTCTTTATTAAATACGACCGTCATTCGTCACACGAGTCGATCTGAGCCGATCTAGAATGTCTAGCCTTACCGTATCCTTCACCTCAGAAGAATAATCGAGGACGGTCAGGTGTAAGGCCAATCCGTTCCCTACTCCACCCTCCGGGAATATCGCTAGCCACGATTTCCCCGTAAATTGATTGGCCTTCCCCCTTACTACGCACCTCACATTCTTAGCTCAAGGTAGTTAAACGCGTATGTACATACCCAGGTACTCGCTCTAGTGTCGGCGATGTACCTCGCGGAGCCGGGCGATCTCGGGCCTGCGCTCGCAATCGGGCTCGGTTACCAAGACCTTGGTCGTCGAAGCACGTCGATATTAAATTACTACCGGACTCGTCTGCCGCCCATCCCTCAGTCCGTCTTATCTGGGGTTAGAGAATCTTCCAGGGAGCATTCCAGATCTTGGGTGCTACGGTCGTCTCAGAGCAACTTTCTTCGCTAGGGATAAGCGAACAAATACTAAGCCGCTTATCTTAGATGACCGATGAGGGGAACTTCGCGGAAATGCCAGGAGGAGGGTCAAGAGGGGGCTAAGACTCCGAGGACGGTTGAAGCGTCACGAACTCCACCTGCTCTTACATTAACATCCTCATCTAGTCTTATGCCGTCTTAGTTCTGAGCCTCTGTAGATTATTTATGGGTAACCCCCGCAATTGTATCTGAATTCGTGATCGTGTTCGACGATGCTAGGGCTTTTAAATCATTGCCATTCTAAGGTAACGTGCCGCGATCATATATCATACTAGTACCACGCCTCCTAGATAGGTAGCGCTATCTGGGTGTTAGTAGCTTGACGAACCAGGTATATCCTTACTACCTGTCTAGCTACATACTAATCTAGATTGCTTACCCGGTACAGTGGAAGGCTACGATACCTAGCTAAATCGTCACATGGCAACTGGAAACGGCCTGCCGGCTTCAGTTAGGTTGGCATCACCAGCTTCGTAACAAACTCGGCATTCGTCTGCTATGCGGGCCGAGTACCTACACATATATACCTACCTATGTAGATGTAGGTATGTATGCTCGTACGGCGGAGAATTGTGATGACCATTGCAGTGGATGTGCTACCATGGTTGCATATGAGTGACCTGGAAGTGCAAAAGACAAGATCCCACCACCGCGGTTTGTACGGACCCGATTTAGGAAAATAAGAAAAGGACCCTGCCTAAGCTATTGCCAGGAGAAGCCGCCTGCATGTATTAGCGAGGTTGGACACAGGTAGACGGGCTCTCATGGCCTCTCTGCGGCGATGAATGACAGACCCGATTATATGTATTACCACAGTTTATGTGCGACCAACAAACCAAACCGTAGCCCACTGCACATCCGTGGACAGGTAATCATCTATAAGGAATATAGGAGCTGCTAGCGTATAAGCCAACGCCCACCGGACCTCCACCAACGCGATATCACTCGCATCCATGCGCCACAACACTAATGCCTTGGGGAAAGGGGAGGGGGTAACACAACCTAGCTTACCTTACCCTCACCACCAAGCCTTAAGATGTTCGACTATAACATCCAACTTCCCACCGTGATCGCTCGCGGACTCTCGTTGCCGGCATTAGTGATTACCAACTAGGGACAAACACGATCGTGGCATACCTGCACGTACCTGGAAGCGGATCAGGAGGATTACGGAGAGGTGGGGATCCAAAAGGGGTATTTAAGCAGTCACAAGAACGGTTAGAAGCATCGGTACGATACAGGTTCATGAGATCTGAAAAAAAGATGATGGTCACGATCCTGATCTAGATTTTATCGCGTGAGACGAGCTTACTGAACCAGGTAAAAGACGAAAGAAAGGGCTGACGAGAGATTATCAGCCATGGTCGAGCTCACCATAAGATCCCGGCAACGAACCACTGAAACCCTTGAAACCCTGCTAGTTCAAGATCCCAAAGTGATCTCTCCAAGGAGTCCCCTCGATCGTCGATCACAGCAGCGGAATACGTACCGCATTGCAGACTTGGGGGGGACTTGGGGTTTGTACTGTGTAACTGGAAATATAACGATTTTTCTGATACTGTATAAGACGAACGGTGACCTCGACCATGGCATTACGAACATCAAGGTGATAATACCTAGTAGACACCTGGGCATACTTCGGCATCTATCTTTCAGGGCTGAAACATCACACCCTCTTCCTCGCCGGCTTCTATACCCCTTTCTCGCTAACCTTGAGCAATTGATAAACCTATACTACATCATACTTGATATTCGATGTTCTATCCTACATAGGTATGTGGCTACCTCCTAGTTATCTGCAACGCCCGACTAAGCGACCTCGAAGTACATATATAATGTGGAGAGCGACACTACTTCACCCCTCCTCTCTTTTTTTTTCTCTCATGGTCTATCATGCGGTACAACCGAAGACCACCATGTACATGTCACAACGGGGCGCTAATCATAGACCACATTAAAAAAAGAACCCTGGACGATTTGCAACCTCGCGAGCCGCGCTTAACCCCATCTTCTCGGACCTGCGTCTGCGATCATGCACGACTTTACAAATAGGGTGGGACTTGAGAGGTAGGGGGTAAGGTGAAAAGGAGGGGGCGTATATTCGCATGCAGCTGCGCTAGGAAATCTATCGAAACCCCTCTAGCTCGTCCTGGAATAGGCTTACGTATCGTGCTATTTGTGAGGTTGTCTCCTCATCATCTTACATCTCGTTGGACGGTTATATCGTGACGGGAAGAATACGAAGGACGGCAGGTTGGGAAAGCACATTAGGCGCGTTACTTCGCAGATGTCGAGTCGAGCACATACGAGGTGCCAGCCAGGCGCAATTGACAGGTGAGGAATGAGGTGTGAAGTATGAGGTATGAGGTATCGTATAGGTATCTCCAAATTTTCCGACAGCTGCGCGAAGCCATCATAATGACGACAGAAGCGAATGAGAGGGTCGGATTCGAAATCTCAATCAATCTCGTGCGAGAGAGTCCGATCGAGATTATCTTCGGGGGGCCCAGCTCGGCGTGGCCCACCCGGTCTCCTATTCCTATCCGAGACACAACGTGGTAGTCCTCGCGTGCTCCATCGATATACATGTACCTTTATTAAACGCCTACTTACCTATATGTACGTGCCCCCCTTCGTACATGGGTACGTACACAAGCAAGTCCCTGCGCAAGGACTGCCTAGGTACCTATACAAGGACATCATACCACCGGGGTTACGTAGACATAGAGAATAGACATAGAGAATAGGCTTCGTAGGCGCAAATACCAAATTCTCACTTGCGTTACCGAACGAGTAGCAACTGCTTCGATGCGGCAGCGACACATAATGCCAATATTATACGCTTCTTCTCCGTCTCCTCTCGGAAGGTCCCTCTCGTCTCCTGCCTACACATACCAATCAAGGTAGTCTTCAGCAGAACAATGGCTTGCGAAAACCCACTGCCGGGGTACATTAGACAGTTACGGGGGTAGCAATATACTAGTAATGGTGACCACCTGGCGATGTCTCTTCCGAGCGTGCTACCTCCCGATCCGTAAGTAGGAGGCAGAGGCTAGCTTATAATGTCATGGGCGGACAATAGCCCCGAAGATCCTCATAGTCTATCCCTGGCGGGACGCGCCATGCACGAAATTCAGATCAGAAGAGGCAAAGAACCGTCATCGCAACGGTCTTGGTGTAACGCTCGCAATCGTCCAGGGATCCTCATACATAAGTTGGGGGCGCCGTGCCTTGCCTAATAGCGTACCCCCATCCTACCCCCTTATTACGTCCCTCCTCCCACAACTCGAACACATCTGATTCGGCTTCGCAATACTCCGTTTAGCCTTCAATTTCAACCTTTTTATGCACCCGCTCATTCGTGCTTCTCGACGTGGATTTACGTTGCCGAACTCAACCATTATACGTAGAAGAAATCTTCTGCCCGCAAAGATCAGCCATCGCACTCACCGGGGGGGTTTCCGTCGAGTGGATATGAGCTGTTGTTAGTGCCACTGACGTATTTCCCTAGTCGTGAACCTGGGATTAGGTATATGCTACAGAAAACTTGTCCACGCGCTTCCTCGTAGGTATCCGCAAGGTACGTAATTGGGGTCACTCGAAAACAAACGCCAGAAACAAAAGAGACGGATTTCCCACTTTTCCAAATATCGGGAAATATTTCGCCAGGTAGATCAGCATGTACAATGCCAGTATTTACCCCAGGCCAATGACGGCATGATGATGTCGTCGCATACCACATATCAGGAATGCTATATATAGGTACCTACGTACCCCGGGAGAGCACTGACGACAGGCTAGCCGACGATCTATTCATGGTAATAAGCTTATCGTAACCGACCCAGATTCGCGGGACCGTCCAGCGAGACTGCGGAACGACCGTACGGGGTAAGCGAGCGAGGATCTAGATAGACCCAGAGCGCGATCTAGACCTCTGGAGACCAGTCCGGGGAACGACATCCGCCTACAATTCACGTACCGCCGCAGAGTCGCAAGTAGGTACCTACGACGCGGTTCACTTTTAACCTACCTAATCTAGATAGGCCCAGTCCAGCTCATACCTTGACGTCTCGCGTGCTTATATACGCGCATAATTTTACTCCCGGGGAGAATGAGCTGCCTGTGGGGGATTGATAATATGTGACAGGTAACCCGCGTAGAAAGGCTGGGCAGTTTCATTTCCGAAGTAGGTATGTACCTATCGCCTAGGTAGGCAGGCGAGCGAGGCTCCTGACTTGGGTACGGAGACAGCCCGGTGCTGTAGTGGTTCTCGCTAGGTTACCGCCTTCATGGGAGGTGTGTGTCTCTTATTTCTATTTACGAAATACGTTGGATATCCCTACAACAACACGGAGTATCTTCGCAGTTCGCACCATCACCATCTTAATCTATATCTAGTACAGTCATCTCAACCATCGTCTTAGTGAATCTCATTGCTTGACTAGGTATCAAATAGTCGTCACATTTTTTAGACACTGCTTATCGAAGTTACGATTTTATAGGTTTTGCTTGAGATATGGATGAGAATCTTTGTAAACCACAGAGCGCGAACTCAGATGTACACTGGGTATTTACCTGGTTTAAGGTGTTTCACGTATGAGTACCTAGGTAGGTACCTAGAGGATATGGGCGTGTCCTACGTCACAGCTTGTTAGTAATAAAGGGGCACACGTGGCGATATGCTTGGATGGCTATTTTTAGCTATGAGTTGCTAAGGTTGAACGAAGCATGTGAGATACACGGCAATACTTATGTGTATCACAAATATACAAATATGCAGTAGCTCATTATCTCGATCACTCACCCAATACAAGTTTTGTTTTCAGTAATTGAATTAAGATTTTTCATAAAAAGGCTAAGGCACGGGCTCGCATATCTGTGCTTTCATGCTTGGAAAACAGTGCTATTCCTATTGTCCAGTAGGATAAGTTATGCTAAAATATCAACTACGGTTCTCGGGTTAGGGGGGGCTCTTGTCTCTATATTTAGAATGTGTTTGGTGATGCTTGGTGTTTTCGTTCTCGGAATATAATGAACTTGAATTTCCGCCTACTAACTTAGGTAACAATATAGCTATTGACAAGCACCTATCTCTTTCATGCCTTTCCCAAATGTAGTTCGATATAGAACTAGAATGGGTAAATACTAAAACCACTAGCGATACAAATAATTTGAAATTAAGTGACAGGATACTAGATCCAGGAGGCAATACAAGCAAATCAGTATGAAGTTCTCATACATCCTAGCAGGTTATCTCCCGTGCTTATATCCCGTAAGGCTTTCCCGAATATCTTTGCCGCTTGAGGATACAGTTTTGCGGATACTGCACCAAGTACTGGAAGCTTTTTACCTAAACAAAATGGGAGTGCGATTATCGTACCCGAAGTTTAGGGTCGAAGGGATCCCTTGCATTATGACAGTATCGCGTCAACATGCATGAACAACAGTATGGACATATACCTATACAAACATTTAATTGGGGCCAAGAACGGTTTGTAGTTGTCAGGGTGCTTCGACTACGCGCTTAAGAAACATTAGAGAGAAATTTAACTATCAGATTAGCTTGGACGTATCATTGTTTCCCGTTATAAAGGGAAAGTCTCTTAAACTTGGAAAATATGTAATGGTATTATTGAAATGTGAAAGGAAACTTAGCAGATACCTAGTTGGCATTGATAATAAGTGTTTGTAAGCCGGCAACTTTTATAATTCATAAGCTTTAGCCACATGCTTTTAAAAACATTTAATGCGAATATGACCTCAATTTATCACTAATATGTATGTTTGTTAACACTTGACTGTCGTGTAACATTTTTCTGACACCTAGAACCATCAAGTAGAGCACGTGGGCTATATGTTTCACTATGCATATTGTCAGAGTTTCCGAAAAGGTCGAAGCAAAGTGATGATCGAGACCTACCAGGGAAGTCTTCAGCAAATTGAAAAATATATTAGAAACACTAATCAAGAAATAAGTTCGCCTCGAGGAAGACTATCGTGATTTCTCGGTGAGTGATTTTGAATACGTCTAAAGGGGTATTGCACTCCCTGGATTGTGTCGAACCTGGTCCTTGTAGACTCCTCTAGAGAAAGGGGTACTCGAAAAGTATTGGAAGGAGAGCCCTTGATATTTTTCCAAGTAACTGGACTAAATTGTAGTTACCAGGTATGTTTATCTATGGTTCAAAGGTGGACGACCCAGATTTCGGGAGCCGAGTTTTGGTTTGACAACGAGGCCAAGGAATCATTAAGTGGTACTCTTCTTGAACCTATTTAGTAACTAGATAAATGACGGTACAAGCTACCTTTTTATCGCAGTCTTACTGATCTACACAATAGTTCAAGGGTCGACATTACGATGACCGGAATCGAAATACACCCTTACTGTGCCTACATATGATCCCATCCGTTTCTGTTGGGTAGACACTAATGAGAGAACTTATGAATAATAACTTTGAAAATATACGCATAATTCCTATTAAATATTATGTACCTATTGAATCCCTTTCCTCCATCATGTTTCTTCCAGCTCAAGCCATCTACATTCATGGACTGGAACCTGCATACTCCCATTGCTCCCGTAAACCCACCTTCCATCCAAGTAGAAACAAGAAGGAGATCATGTACACAGAGGATAATAACAGATACCTACAAGATAATTAAACCTTCCCAGCTAGATACAATATGTTCTCCTTGATCGCTTCCGTCAGCTCGCCCTGTCCTGTATACACGTACTGGGCCGTCTGCGGCCACGATTCGGCATGTGGCATCGGTAAGTAGACGACATCTCCCTCGTGAATGTGGCCGGACACTAATAATGCCGCAACGACGGGTAGGTACGCGCGCACGTATTTGAGATCTGCGTGGGTGTATATTGTTAGCACCAGTACCTAGGAATAAGTGCTAGGGTTGAAAATACTCACGGACAGGTACCGCTCTCGCGTCTCGGACTAAGCTGTCGAGGTCTATGCTGCCGGTGCCTGATCGTAACAGCGCTCCCGACCGAACGCTACTAGAACGCCTTGACCTTGGTTGCGCCGGGGGTGGGGTGCCGCTGGATAGTATCGACGGGAGACTAGGACGCCGCCACTCGTTTGGACTTCCGCTGATTTGAGATTGCGGTGGCGGGTCCGGTATCGTCGCCCGAAGCTCGTCTATATCGAAATTGCGTTGGATCAAAAATGACGGTCTATCAAGAGCGCGAGGTCGCACGATGGCGCGAACGGTCAACCGATTTTTCATGGATGCTCCCGCTGGTCTCGTAACCTCCGTTGGAGAGCCGCTGCTACGGCGGCGCAGAGATCTGGCAATAATGAATGCGTCGGCCGTCTTAGCGTTGCCGTAGTAAACGTGTCCCCAACTCCGGAGTTGGTCATGAACCCCCGAGACTGAATTCCTTCGCGGAGATACCGGCGACACATCCCGAGTGTAGTAACCGGGGCTCCTATCTTGAGGTCCGGACATGCCACTTAGCGACCCAGATCGCTCTAAGGCGTTCAAGCTGTCTCTCCGGGGAGGAATACTGGGCGAGGCAGGCGTTGGTAAGCCATGAGAGATGCTCATCGGTGGCAGGATGCTAATCTTTTCGAGCCTCGCAACTAAGGGTGACGGCGAATACTCATCGATGGGGGTCAGAGGTGCTGTGTTCACCACGTGTCGTGTCCTCTGATCGAAACTGTCGACAAGGGCTCGATCTTGCTTCCGCATCGATTTATCATACGAGGCAGGATGAACCGGGCTAGGACCTGGGAGACTTTTGGGAGATAGCGGCGACGGAGACAGACTTGCGTTTATAGGAGTTGGCCGGTAGACCGTATTAGGCAAACTGCCGTGGCTCCGGTAGTTAGTCCATATGGGCTCGAGACTCGGGCGCCTCGAAACGTTCACATCGCTTGTCATTGGATCTGGTATGATGACTAGAAGGTATCAAATGCAAGTAATGAACCGAGTATCAGACTATAATCGTTTCTCTGAGAAGTTTTGAGGTTTGCAAAGTTGTTCGGCCCAGAAGTATGGTCAACATCCCGCCGCGGGGCTTGCCTTAAGAGTATTTTGCTATGAATAGATCAAGAGCACAAAGCCTTTTTGTGTCTTCTCCTTTCTATCTTTTAGGAAAGAGGCGCGGGCCGTTAAATCAAAGGGGCAATGCATATTAATTGCGACTACGTCAGGCATACAACAACATAGGTCTCATAGTGTTTGTAAATTTGTGGCGAAAGCCAATGTCCGTCAATCACATAATTCTCTTCCGATGGGGTAGCTTTAGGCGACTACTATACCCGAGAAGATAAAGAGAGGCTAAGTTTCTTGTCGTTTGCTTCGACTAGGATGAGTAATTGATGATCTCAGCTGAGTAAAGAAGAATAAGGGGTCGACTTTTCTTTAGGGAGAGGGCTATAACAAAGGATCTCTTTTTTCATTGCCACGATTTATATGAAGTGAAATTCAAGTAATTTATACAATTCATATCAAGTAGAATAGGTAATTAGGAGCGTTTGCTCCTTGGAAAGAGTTGTCTGACACTGGTTTATCAATGTTGACCTGTCGAAGCATCTGTTTAAAAAGGGGTAAAGTATTCCTTATTTACATGTCACTTAAGGACATATATGAATTTATATGAGATCAGGTTTACATGGTATTTTGCAAACCACATGATGACATAATAATATGATCTCATCTAGGCAATGACTAAACAGGGTCCCGCCGCGTATGATTGGCTAACCCATTGACCCCAACTCGTCGCAAGTTACAAGGTTACAGGCCGATAACCTCAAGCTGTCTTTTTTTTTTTTGGGACAACATATCATATCCATATCACATATCGAATTGATATCTGTTCAGAACTCCCTCTACCGTCGCGATGCCAATCTGTTTCCCGTAGTCCATCCTACCCGAATTATCTTCAATCTTATTTCCATGTTCGTTCCCGTACCTTGCGCCGGGGAAAATGGGTTCCAATGCGACGAGTTACAAGCAGATGAAGGAGGATTTCGTGTCCAACTTAACAGGAGGTTCGGTCACCGAGATCAATAACGTAGTCACCGTAGGACCTGTATGTGAAACTTCAAGTATCCATCCATCTTAAGTGCCGCCGACTGACTCGAGCTATTCGTTCAGATTGCCTTCGCCCTGTGGTCTATTTTACAGTCGCGCCAGTCCTTTTTCAAACCGTATAAACCCCTATGCTTCCTAGTTGATTTCCTCCTTAACGTAGTAGCTGTGTTGCTTGCAATCACGCTCTATGCGAATTCGACTTTTTTGCTTTGGGGTTTGATCCTCGTTCCCGCCATATTCGTCTACGCGCTCCCACCGAATCCCGCCGTCTCGAAAAAAAAGCCCAAGCTCCCTCCTAATGCGCAAACCCAAAAATCCGCCGGCGCGCTCGGCGTCCTATCTACCAAGCCCTTCTTGACAACCTATCGAGGGTCCATGTTGGTCACTACGTGCTTGGCGATACTGGCGGTAGACTTTAGGTTGTTCCCTCGTAGATTTGCGAAGGTCGAGACCTGGGGCACCTCGCTGATGGACGTGGGCGTCGGTTCCTTCGTCTACTCCGCCGGCATAGTCGCCGCGCGCCCAGTTCTAAAAGAGAGAGCCGAGGGCCGAACGACACCATTGCTGCAGAGGCTCATCTACTCTATGCGGCACTCGCTTCCTTTGCTAGTTCTTGGAATCGCCCGCCTTATAAGCGTCAAAGGTCTCGACTACGCGGAGCACGTGACTGAATACGGTGTCCATTGGAACTTCTTCTTTACCCTGGGGTTTCTTCCTCCTTTCGTCGCTCTTTTCCAGTCGGCGCTGAAGATTATCCCATCTTACGCGGCGCTAGCTATCATACTCGGGGTTATCTACCAAGTTGTGCTTGAAAGCACAGGTTTGAAAGCCTTTATCCTCGTCGCGCCGCGAACCGGTCTCTTTTCCATGAACAGAGAGGGTATCTGCAGCTTTTGCGGATATCTTGCCATCTTCTTAGCCGGCCAGGACACCGGCATGTTTGTGCTACCCAGGAGCATTAACCCGCGAAGCGGAACTAGCACCGGCACTCAGCGGACCACCCTTCTCCTGACCATGGCCGCGTGGACCTCTATCTGGACGGTTCTGTATTTCTTCGCCACGGATTACTCCTACGGTTTGGGATTAGACGTGTCTCGGCGATTAGCTAATCTGCCCTATATCCTATGGATTGCGGCGTTCAATTCGGCGCAGTTATTCGCATGTTGCGTTATCGAGACTGTTTTCTTCCCGTCGTTTCATAACGCTACGGATATCAAGACAGAGCACGAGGCGTACGAGACGGCCACGAGTAGGGTTCTACGATCATTCAATAGGAACGGATTAGCCATTTTCCTGGCGGCAAATTTGTTGACGGGATTGGTTAACATGACCGTACCTACGTTAGACGTTGGCCCAACCGCCACGATGGGAATATTGGTGGGATACGGCGCCGTATTAACGGTGCTTGCGGTCGCGTTGGATACATGGGCTATATCCATTAAGCTGTGAGTTAGGAGTATATCAATCAACGAATCCCCTGAAGAACTATCCGTATTAGAGCTCAGTGTGTTGACCGTGTTCCATGCTGCACGGTATCTTCAAGACATCTCCGTATCGTAGCTCTACGCAGATGAATCTTCGGCTATATTGTCATTTCTACCTTAGGTCCATCTACCTACCTAGGTAGGTTGTTCTTGGACACTGTCGATGCCTATACTATCATGTAGCACGGAAGCGAACAATTGATTTGTTACACAAAGGAGGTGAGTCAACGAGGACTTAGTTTGCAATAATGAAAGGTCGTTAAAGAGACCATATATATGAAACCAATAAGGACCTTTTTAACAAGTGGCGCTATGCTCAAGCCTTTGCAATAGTCTTTCTTCTCTTCCCCACCGGAGTTGCAATGCCCGGAGGGAAAATGTCCATAGGGCGCTTAGTTATATGGTACCTAAGCGTATTCGACAAAGCTTGCAAATTAGGCAAACTAATCAGTGTAGAAAGGTACAACTTTGGCACTCCGCTCCTTAAATCCAGGCCTCCTGAGCGACGAGAGCTTTAGCCCTTTGTGATATCCTACCCGAGTCTTTGTTTTTCTCGGCCCGCGTTGTTACATACCTCCCCAAGTTGTCGAGGGCTCCTTTATGTAACCCGTTCCTTTAGAAGAAATCGGAGATACACGGAATCATGCGTGGCATGCTACGAGGCAGCACTAGACCATCCACCGGGACGTTACGAGTGCTCGTCATTCCGTTCCCGCAGCGGATATGCAAGATCTAACATCAACTTTAACGGGCATAACGTCTGCCGTCACCAGCTATATGAGCGCACCAAATTATAACGACATTTAATTGTAAGGGAAAGCCGGCGTATATTCTCAGGTCGAGAATTATGGTTTTTTTTCGCGGGCTACATAATTAATGACGTTGTAATACCACTCTACAAATGCATGCCTGGGTATGTAGGATGAGCGTTGTTTATACACGACGCAAGTTCCGAGACAATTCCTGCTAGAATTGAGTACTCTATGTAGGTGGTCTGTATGGGTATGATAGCATAGACCTTTTCAATCTTGCTCGCTATCATGGTTTTGCTTTAGATGAAAAAGACGAACAGTCTATTAATAATGTCGTAATTGCCGGCTCTTCTGCACGTTTCGTACCTAGATACCTACCTAGCCCTATAGCATGTTCAATAAATAACAATTAGGAAGATAGGTATGGGAAGTAGATCAGATTAGGTACGGATGATCGTCTTCGAAGGCGCGGTGGTGAAGATACTATTAATGTGTATCAGGTTGATCAGATTGATCAGATTGATCTCCCAAGCGATTCGTATTCTCCGGATGATCATTGGAGACAGCCAGATTCCTCGTCGAACCTCCACACTAATATATTTTTGAACGTTTCCGCTATTAAGGATCTTTAAGGGGCGGCTTCTTGAAGGTTATTACGTACTAATATATCCTCGAGACATCGAATCAAGGTAGTACCTAGGAGCTGTTGCAGCTCGGTTGAAATTTCCGGCGCACATATGTAGATACCCAGTGAAGTTTCATCTAAATACTTACATAACTGAGTGTTCTGAGATCGACGCTTGCTCGCAGAGCAGAGCATGTATAAACTCACCCAGGTCTCCTCTATTTTTTTCTTAGTTGGCCGAGAATTGTAGTTACGTAGGTAATTATATAAATCTCCTAGCATTGGGCACCTACTTGGACCTAGGTACAATTCAATTTTACGGATATCTCGATGTTGTTGACCATCTGAATTCTGAAGTATCGTTACACAAACTATCAAGGCCTCGTGTGCTCCCGTAATGTTTCATGCGCGTGAAGGGGGTCCCTTGATAACATAATCATCATGATTTGACTGGCCGTATGAGCGATGACAGAAAGGTCGATCTTCAGGCGGATAAAAATGCCATACGCTAATGGTGAGAGGTCTGAGCTCTCTTGGGTCTTGATCTCGTTTCGGTTAACCGCTTGATAGACCATTCGTGGAACGCTAATAAACATAGGATTATTTCTCTGATCCCTGTCCTTACCCATGAAAGGTCATCTCCGACGTTCATGCGAGAAGATCTGATCTTCTCAGCCTACTAGCCTGGTGGACCTCGGGAATATGTCATATACTATTAAAGCTGAAAGCTGGAATGGAATCACTTTGGTATGTAGGTAAGTCTGGCTGTCTGGATGGTAAGCACGAGCTGATTTTCACGACTTGTCTTTTGAGCTAGGCTCGATGTTGGTTGTAAATGCCGCGTCTCAAATCCTGTTTATTGGATTAGCGCCTCAGCCTTACCGGAACTTGGCTGAGAGGAATTTCCTTTTCTTGATTCGTTATAACCGCGGTTTTCATGGGCCATACAATCCCTAAACGACGTGTCCTTCCAAAACAAAACAGAGCAGGCCATAATCACGACCCGCCGCAAGTGGCTGCGATCATGAGAAAACCGACGCGCTTGAATAAGACCCTGCAATCTGTGTTGATAGAAGGTGGGTATTATGTGGAAAATATTTTCATACTTCCAATGCATGACAACTCAAGTCGGATTAAGGCTGGGTAGAAGAATAAAAGTCATACATATTAGATACTCACAAGGTTCAGCCTTGCATTGTTGATATTGAAAACCATAGCTGGGGAGAAGAAGGCGATGGGAATACAAATGGAAGATGGTAATGAATAATATACGATGATGTGATCTCAGTCCGATCAATCATGGATGTTGGTACATAAGGAAGAAAGAAACGACTGTTTACGGAATGGACACCTCTTATTTTAGACCCCGGCATCTATAACCCCTGCCGTTTCAAGTTCCCCGTCGTTGTTTTTTTCCCGTTCAAAATTCGGTCTCTCCTAGCCGGGACTCGGGAGATGTTAAACGAACACACAGAATTATCAGTTCGTCATCCTTGCGATTCGTGAACGCCACACGTTTAAATAAAAAAGCCGGCAGCGGGACGGATCTCTAAGGGAAGATCCTTGCAGCTGGAAACGACAAACAATTTCGGGACGAGGTCTTTTTAACATGACTCGTGGGTTGGTTACTCACCTCACTTACCTCGGTATTCAGTCGGCGATAAGAATTGGTATAGAAGCCCAGAGACTGATATTGGTTAACGTATTTTGTTGTAAACGACTGACGAACAGAGACCTTGATATTGAGATGTATTGTTCGAGCTACGTAATTGCTGGTTTAGACCAGCTAGATCACTTGAGTTACTTGCTTGGTAAAGAGGAATGCATCTCGTATTGCCATTGATGTTTGCCCTCGTCGTCTGAATTTGCCTAGAAGCCAGATGAGAATCCATCAAAAGAAAATCCTGAGATGTCAGACGAGCTTCCAACAGATGCATAACGTACGTTAGCTGTAAGTGGCTGAATAATGCCTACGTAGGTAGACTCGGGTATCCTGGTACGATGGATCACCGAATATCAAAGGAACGAGTCCTCCTGCACTCCTCCTGCATGCAGCAATGAGGAAACGTAATTCGATTTCTCGCGTCTTCACTTAAGAATACCACATAAGAACTAGTGGTTCTAACCGCATAACAAAATAAACAAGCCGAACTCTGGTAGGTCATATGTGAGTCTCTATTAGTGACTAGAAAGCGAAGTAATTGTCCGTCATTGGTGGGATATGTGTAGTATGGGTTAGTGTTAATAGCAGATATTTAAATGCAGAAGGTGTCGAAGGAGTTAAAAACCAAAAGACCATTGTTAAGCGTCGATATGCCTTGCCTGGAATATTGCATCTATCCAACAATAATATCTAGCGAGCAGTCGATGTAGAAGAATAGAAGCAAAGTCAATGTCATAGATGAGGTTTGAAAAACAAGCACTGCTGTATGTAGGTACGTATAACAACGTGAAGCTTTTAGCAAAGTTTGGGTAACCGACTGCCCAGGCTTTCGGTGAATGTAGCCGTACCTAATGGCTGTCTTGTGTGCTTGTGCTGCTTGTGGTACATGCTACATATATCGTATTGTACCTGCATGAAAATGGATGATTTTATCGTCATTAGGTGGTGGGTACGCACATTATGAAGTACCTTGAGCTTGGGCCGCTTGGAGACCTTTGTGCTACTCTGGCTTTTGGCCGTCTATCCGTCGTGGTAACTACCTAATTTGGTTAATGGCAAATAGTTTCCCCCACAAAGCTCCCGTATCGCGGCGCCTTGTACCCCACTTAGGATCTGTTTGCGGTTAGTCCGGTGTTAGTATTCCCCTCTAATAAAGCGGAAGAAACACGCCAAAGAGAGACAGAAGTCGCGTTCTGCGACCAGCTTGGTGCAATACATTGGGTGTAACAAGAACTACCCCTGCTGGCGTCTCCATCTTGGCCATCTTCCAATTTCCCTCTCAAGGTAATCCCTACCCACATTGTCCCAATTGATGCTCAATTTCACTTGGACGCTTGACGGGTTTGGTTTTGGGGCCCTTTTTTCCCCTTCCCTCTTCCTCGTCGCCTGTCGCCCATCACGTCGTCCACCACCCTCCTGGCCTGCCTTTATCCAGGCGAAGGGCTTTCTAGTTTTTGTCGCGCAATCTGACATCCCTCTGAATACCTTGCGTTTAGGTATCTCAAGAGTTGTACGCAACCAAGCAACAAAACAATTGGGAGACGGTGTATACGCCTCAAGCTCCCTAATTAATACCAATTTTCACATTTCACCTTTTTGACCCTCCAACTTTTTCTTCTTCTTTTCTTTTCCCTTTGCCAGTTGGCCAACATCTAATTGCAACGCGTTCCCCAGGCGTTGCGCAGCGTTAGCTAACAAATCTCCTAACTCAATTGCTAGCCGAGTCCAACGATTAAGCTCGGCTCAGCGCCGGTGAAAGGGGCATAGTCTTAACTTCGCATATCGTTTTTGTGGGCTGTCGAGATCAATCTTTTATTGGATCCAAACCTACAGTTGTCAATTTGTCAACCCCCTCTAGTTTTAGGTCGTTGAAAGGTAACCGATACGCGAAGACGAAACGTCCGTATCGCCTTTTGGAAGTCGCCGTCTGCTCTGTCGTCTCGGATTGCGATCCCGCCACATAATATCTACGAATAATTTGAGTTCGGATCTGGATTTTTGAGCCCACAACTCCCACGACTCCGGTTAGAGCTACGGCTTTCAAGTATACCAAATCGTAGCGGGTTTGGGACGGTAAAGGAGAAAGATCCAGAGGACGCAGACAAGGACAAGCAGGAAACTAAAGATTACTGGTGCCCAAAGCTGCTGCACCCGCATCTGCATGTGCATCTAAGCCTCTCCCCTTTTAAATTTGGTGCAAGGTCAAGGAAAAACATTACAACCACAGCACTTTTTTACCGAACGGAGACGAAAGGTAGCAACGACGAAACACATAATCCCCAATCCTCAACCGGGACTACACGGCAAACGAACACCAAGTTGCCGCTTCCTTCTCAGCGTAGAGAGACATACATATAACTCGTTACCTGACTTATTCGTTTGATAAGAACGTGGCCAGGGAGACGAATCGCCGATCAGCTGCTTTATCCACGCGGTACGTTGTTCAAACGAGATAGCACCCTTATTGCAACGCACAATGCCAATCTGAACTGGCTTATTGGAGGATCAGACGAACCGGCAGCCCTCTTTGATTTTTTTTATTAAAAAATTCAAGGCGCTCGCAGGCATCCCTAATAACCCCCATCATTCCCCTTCCATCACTTTAATAACACCTAAGACCTTCACCGACTCGGATTCATCACCCGAAAAATTTCAAACCCATCACCGCCGACCCTTTCCAACTCATCGTCTTAGGTACCATCTCTTCAGGGCCGCATCTCCCAAGGCCCCGAAGACCGATCTACGCGCGTAGCGTAGAAGATGTCTTCTGCCGCGTTGCAATCAACTACTCACCAGCAGACCTCCCTGCCCGCCTTAAATACGCCTTCACCCGCGGCCGCTTCTCAGCCCCATCGCCAGTATACCCCGGCCCAATCCCCTAGCAGAGAGGGTCGTTATGCGAGTCGAGATAACGCGAATGCTTCGCCCGCATCTTCGAGACGTCCGTCTAGACGACCTAGCGGAAACAGCGCGAGCGCGGCGAGCCCTGCACCGACCCACCCAGAACAGGCCCAGTCGTCGCCAATGACGTCGCGAACCGCATTAGCCTCGCCGGTGCCGGTGGCGGGTACTACGGCAGAGTACGATAGGTCAGCTACGGGTCGACGAAGGAACGAGCCACCCGTCGCCCCGCCGCGAACGTCGTCTACCCAACATGGACCCGCCGGTCCAACCACCTCTCGAAGGGCAGCTCGTGCCGAGGAACGAGCCGCAAATTCCCCCAGACGAACCGCGGCAGACGGTAGAGCAGGCACAAACGGACAGTCGGAGCTTGGACGAGGCGGTTATGACGATCCGAGCTCTCGAAGCAGAAGAGCAGCGTCGCAGCACCTGGCCCAGGAACCTACCCAGAGACCCAGCAGCAATAGAGATCACCGACAGACCGTGACGACCACGATGCCCGTCAGGTCTGCTACCAACGCCTCGTCAAAACAACCGTCGCGCGAGGCTAGCGAGGTACTACATCGCGTAATAGTCTCCCAACCGGAAGATGACATCGAACGAGAACGAGAGCGGCTTGGCGAGGCTCAGGGCCAGCCGTCTAACCGTCGTGCCGCGGCTGACGATGATGTGGCTGCTCCTCCGCCGGTCGTCGGCGTGAACGACGCTCTGGAGGATGGCCGACGTGGAGGTCGAAGCCGCCACGACCATTCCAAACGCGAGAAAGGATCGAAGTTTGGAGATTATTATCTAGGAAACGTCATCGGCGAGGGCGAGTTTGGCAAGGTGAAGCTCGGCTGGAAGCAAGACGGCGGGGTTCAGGTAAGCCACAATTTTCTTTGTTTTGACGTACGTGCGAATCTGAGCACGAACTGATGGTCGTCTGCAGGTAGCTATCAAGCTCATCCGCCGCGATAGCGTGGGGAATAATCCATCTCGGCTGGCGAAGATCTACCGTGAGGTGGCGATTTTACGCGGCATCTCGCATCCCAACATCGTGAGATTGCACGAGATGTCAGAGACGGAGCGACACATCGGAATCGTCCTGGAGTACGCTTCCGGGGGAGAGCTTTTCGACTACATCCTTAACCACAGGTACCTTAAAGACGGACCTGCTCGCAGACTCTTTGCCCAGCTCATCTCGGGAGTGGGCTATCTTCATAAGAAGGGTATCGTCCATCGAGACTTGAAACTGGAAAATCTACTCCTCGACCGGAATCGCAACATTATCATCACCGATTTCGGGTTTGCCAACACCTTTGATCCTAACGACGAACTAACCGAAGATGAAGAGTTGAATCTGTCCGACCGCGAGTTTGTCAAACGCTCCGGCCTGGACAAGACTAAGCAGAATGGCATGCGTAGGGGCGACCTGATGCAGACTAGCTGCGGAAGCCCGTGTTACGCGGCCCCGGAGCTGGTGGTCAGTGACTCGCTTTATACCGGTAGAAAGGTAGACGTCTGGAGCTGCGGAGTCATCTTGGTAAGTTATAAACGACTTATCTTCGTAAGCATGTTTTGAAGTTTACTTACGATATCTAGTATGCTATGCTTGCGGGTTATCTACCATTCGATGACGATCCCGCCAACCCCGAGGGCGATAACATTAATCTCTTATACAAGTATATCGTGAACACCCCCCTCACCTTCCCCGAATACGTCACTCCTCACGCGCGGGATCTGCTACGCCGCATACTGGTACCGAGCCCCCGAAAACGTGCAGACCTATTCGAAGTAGCTCGGCATAGTTGGTTGAGCGAGTACGCGCACGTAGTAGAACTCATCACCAGCACAACGACCACTAGCAACGAGATCCAGAACACGACCGTGCCGTCTGAGGACACGGACACCGGGAACCTGGGGAGGAGCGCCTCCGTCAGGGAACCCTCTAAACCGAAGACGACCGCCGCCCCTCCGGCCGATTCGCCACGGAGGCAGAGCAAGGCCGACGGAGAAGAGCAAGCGTACGGAAAGCCGCCGAAAGACAACAAGCGGCGCACCGTCCAGGTGGAGTACGTGGCTCCCGTCACCCAGACGCAGAGAGGAGGTGAACAGCAGTCGGATCCTCACTCGTCGCCACGCGGAAAGACTCGAGCTCGTTCCTCCAGCCAGGGTCCCGTCGAAGTACGCGCGCCGCCCGCCGACAAACCCCTGCCGAGGGACCCGCCCGTCTCTAGGGAGGAATACCCGACCGCGTCTCGAGACCCGCGGAAACCGCCCAGCTCGCACAGACGAGACGTGCCGCCTCCTAGATCGAATATACCTCGCTCCACGTCCGATCACGCTTACATGACTACTGCCGGCCCGAGCTCGTCGGCCGCGCGACCTACCACGGGAGGCTCGATGCAATCGACCGCCTCCAGGTTAGCGTCGTCTACTAGAGGATCGTACGGTCAACCGCTACCCCCTACCGTTGCTGGCACTAACGCTCACGGAAGCATACAACAACCGAAAGGTAGCAAGAACTACGTCATATCGAACCCCATCCCTCAGGAGGCGCCAGACATGGACTTCGGTCGACCCAGCATCACCGTGCCTCCCAAGCACGCCCAAGCTTCGGGTTTCAGTCAAGGACAGCAGCAGTCTGGCGATGCTAAGGGTCATCGCAGGTCCAACACCATCGGTGAGATCGGCGGCAAGATATTCGGTCGCAGCGGTTCCATCTTCGGTAGCCGGAAGAAGCGCCCGGATCAACCGGGAGAGAAAGCCTCCAAGAAGTATCCTCCTATCAGCATGTCTAACGCTCTGCCCGGCGAGTCCAGGACTTCTATGGAGTCCCGCGCTTCTAGGAGATCGTTTTCTTTGGGACTCGGAAAGAAGAGAAGCGGTAGCATAGCGGGTTCGCAAGTGTCGATAGACAAGCCGCAGAATCGCCGGTTCTCCTTGATGAGAGCGATCGGCCTAGGCAAGGAGCCCACGACACCGCCCGCTGAATCTTCCCAGCAAGATTTGCCCATCCAGGAACCCCCGGAGATGGACGATTATAATCGATACGTGGACCACCAGCAGGTTCGTGGAAACGTGGGGCAGCAATACGGAGACGGTACTTACGAATCGCTACATTCCCAGAGGCTAGGCTCGGCGCCCACTTCTAACCCCAGCCCAGTTCATCTACGATTCCCGGCTAATCCTAGGCCTACGGCGATACCTTCATATCTACAGTCGGGCGCGGTTCTAAACTCCGAATCCGAGTCCTCGCTCGACCCCGCTCAACGAAAGCCACCCAACTCGGCGCCGTACCAGACCGGCTATGATTCTGATCACTACGACGGGCGCCAGTCCGGGCGCGGAAGCCGCGTCTTGCAGAAGAATAGGAGATTCGTGGACGCTTACGACGGGGAAGAATACGGAAGGCCTCACGACCACGCGGGTAGCAGCGGCGCGGCGAAGAGGGTGATGGACTTCTTCAGAAGACGGGGACGGGCGCGCGGGGGCGAACCTTAGAGACGAATTCGTAGGACGTTTATTCAGGGGAAGCGGTCGATCACGTAGGAGAGATCCGTCGCCGACTAAAGAATACGACATACAGGTACGCATCGGCGTACCTAGACGATCTCAAAAATTGCTTCGACTAGAAATCTCCGGAACGCTAATGACACATTGTTCTTCACTAAACGCCTATATCCTACGGTACTTACCTTGTAATACGAGAGACGCAAACCTTTTTGAAAGATCCAAATCTAATATTTTATCCGCTGAGAGATGATACAAATCGTCGATCGTTGGGGAGGGGGAAGTTGAATGAGATGGCCTTCCGGGTGTGTGCTAGCTAGCCCGCTGGCCTTTAACAAGTTTGGAAGAAAGATCAAGCAACGATAAGTGATAGTTGACGATTCGGAACAGACCATATATTTTTTCCCCTCCATCATTCTGCGAGAGTAATCACATCATAAGTCATTAAGGCTAGGAGTTCGGACGGCGTATGTATGTAGAATGGGAGCCTCGGTTTTTATGTTGAGCTCGCTCTTCGTCGTCGTTTCTTAAATCTCCCGGAAGTGCCCCCAAGTATTTTTTTCATCTGTCAGCATTTGAAAAAAAAAAACTTATTCTTCAAGAACATGTTCTCGTGAAGTAAACACTATTCTGTTCGGTTGATTTGTATGCCATTAATGAAGAGGGTCAAGGTTCTAAGGTGTGGTTAACTTATTTGCCAGGCCCTGTTTTTTGTAAATACCCATAACCCGTCGGCTCACTGTCGCGGAAGTCTAGTCTCATAGCCTCGAGAACCAATCTCACTAAGTCTCCTCGTTCTCATCGTTTTCTGTATACTTGATATGTTTAACTCTAATCCACTAAGCTTTGCCTTTGAATATGGACTTGAGATACATGACTTGCGCAAGTTAACGTATATGAGAAGAGCAGCTACGATAGGCACTTGTACAATTTCAACAATCTTATGTTAGTACATCAACGCGTCAGCGTTAGATTTGGAGGCCTTTGGGCCGGATCCTTAGGTACGAATTTTTTAGGATAATCTTATCATATTCAAACTTTTTGTCATTCTGGATTAGTCTGGGGTTGATATCCCGGGCACTACGCAGAGTTTAAGTATCAACAGAAGACCGTGCTTTTCTTCGGCGTACCGATTCTTTGGCACGATTAATCGTATTACTACAGTATCTAATAAGCACGAGCACAAGACGCCTTAATTACTTCTCCCATTCCCCATCTCCAAAGTACCTATCGGGCATATCGACATCCCACAGCGGCCGCTCCACTAGAGCTACCTCAAGGGTCTCCCGCGAGGCTTCTTTTGCGACTTCCCCGGCCGTCCCGTTCGTCGGCATATCTTGTTCGTCGTGTTCGTCGCTGAGTGGCACGATACCTAGAATCGGTCGGTACTTGTACGTGTGCCAGAACGCCAAGCCCTTGCTCGATTTCGCCTCGAGGGCCGACTTGCCCTGAGCACCGCGAAGTAGCGCCAGTTCGCCCGGATTCTCGTCGTCCGAATCCTCGCTCTCGCTCTCGTCTGCCGGCTGGCTAACCTCGTCCTCGTCCATAGGATCGAAGACGGGGCCATCAAGGGGAGTTTCTTCGGCATATTCTCCCGGCACTTGATGAATGATCTTCGTGGGTCCCGCGGCTCCGATTTCCATCCTGCTGCCGGCACCGCTATCGGGACCTCTCTTTCGTTTAGTCCCTTGCTTTACGAGCTCTCCGTTAGACGGGCCCTCGGGGTCGGTCTGTTCTACCAAGTCCCTTGACAAATCTAACATGAAGAGGAACGTGTTTCCGTAGAGCCAGACTCTGTCTCCTGACCAGACAGCCCCTTTCACGAGGTCGCGGATGTTTCGAAACTCGGCTGGGAATCGAGCGATCTGGTTCCTTCTCGACCAGGACGTCAGAGAGCCTAGGGTAGGATTAATGACAAGAACCTGAGGCCTGGCAGTGATAGTTAGAAGAGTATAATCGTCCGCAATTTCGTCGTCATTTGTCGTAGAAGCTTGTGATGCGGGGACACGGTTTGAAAAAGATAGAACGGTAGGGGACGCTTGTAGTCTAGGAATAAGAGACCCTTTCGGATTACGAGCCCATCGCAACCCTTCTGCGTCGACCTGGTCTTCATCATCTTCGCTGCTAGACGATGCGTCGTCATGAGTTCCGTTCACGCCATTTTGCAGCTTCGGCCGCGTTATACCCAATACCCAAGTATCGATATAGCCAGCCAAGTCCGCTACCGCTAACATTTTGCTGTCCGGCGAGAATGCGATGTGGGTGATTGTCCTATCATATTTTCCTAGGCCGCCTAGTGTCACATGCTTTTGTGTCTTCCGCTCGATGCGTTGTAAGCGAATAGCTTTAGGGTGAAGCACCGGCTTTCCATCTGGAGCGGAGTCGCGCAATATCTGTAGAAGGATGACCTTGCTGCCGCTTTGAACGGCACAGCACCAGCGTCCATCTGGAGAAATTTGGACCTGCGTCGCGCCTTGCTTAGATACTTCCTCTTGTAGTTCGACTTTGGAGATCTTGAGCTCGTCCTTCTTCAAGTCGCTTCGAGGCTTTAGGTGAAATGCTTTGATATCACAAGTGGTGGTCACCACGAGCAGAGAACCGTCGTAACTGATCGCTGCCGACGTTATGTTGGCTTCTCCTTTGATTAGTATCCGAGCTAGCAGCTTCCGATTCTTCTCGACAGCAGACTCTCCGTCAGGCATATCTACCAGATCCCGCAGAGGTTTTCTCAACCTCCATACGTGAACCTCTCTCTCCCACCAACTAACGATCAACCTACACTTCGGCGCGCTTTTCAAGGGGGGGCTCTGGGGAAGGTGCGATAGCGTTCGGTGGTTCTCCATGCCAGCTTCTTGCAGGGGTAAGACGATCGGGGTAGCATCCGTGCCTAGAAGAACGGTCAGAGATTGCTATCGACGAAGAATAAGAGCATATACAGACCTCCCGAAACAATAACACTCATCCCGTTCCCCTCGAAAGATGCCATCGTCTTGACGTCGTGGCTGTGATACCTCCTATGCCAGACCTTACCCCATCTCGCTGTCGAACCCGAGGTCTTCCTGTACAGGACGGTCCTGCGGTCCATTCCGCCGCTGACGATCGTCGAACCGTCGGCGCTAGTCGCAAGCGAGAGGACATCCTGGTTATGAGTCTGTAGCCTTTGCGCCTGCGTATACGTTTTCCCGTCCCATATGCAAACCTGGCCGGTCGAGTCACCCGATACGATATCGCGTCCGTTGAGGCATTTGACGGACCAGACGATAATCTCCTTAGCACCTCCGGAAAGATCAGATCCTAGGGTCATCTTCCTCAAGACGTTGCCGTTGCGCATATCGTAGACTCGGATGGCGCTATCGGAGCACCCTACAACGACGACATTACGATTCTGGAAGGCCATGCTGACCATCTTGGTCTTCTTGGACGAAGACCTGACGAGTATCCTATCGAATCGAAGATCGTCGTCGTCGATCGAGTATAGGACGAGGCTGCCATCCATCGTCCCAGCTACCAACTTCTTCCCGCTCTGCACAACGCCGTTCGTAGATTTCTCGCCGCGCTTGGTGGGCGCGACGAAGGGTTGGGCAGCAAGGCACCATATATCACCGTGCATGCCGCTCGCCTGTTTCCTCGGCTGTCCCTTTTCAAGATCCCATTCGGTAACAGTGCTGGTGTAGCCGATGCTGAACAACCTCGATTTTCCAATGAGTTTAGCGCCGTCTTGCAGAACCTGGTCAGGCTCGGTAACCCATACTAGACCGTCTATACTCCTATCCTTGCCCCCGTGAAGGGTCGTCTCCTGGTGCCATATGCCGTTCAAGGGATTCCATATCTCGATGTCACCGTTGGCGCGACCGATCGCTAATCGCACGGGTGCTGCTCTCTGGGATTTGGTGACGGCCGGGTAAGAAAAGGCGATGGCGTTGATGGCGGAAGGAGGGTATGGGACGAAGCGGCATCGGTGGATATCCATTGTCGCGGCTTCGAACCGGTTCGACAGTTGTTTACTACCAGGTTTGGAAGTCGTGATATTGGAGGGTTCGTTGAAGATTTCGCATTAACTTGGGACTTTTTTTTCTTTTTTTCTTATCGTCTTATCGACTTATCGTTTTATCGTTACCTGTGCAGGGGTGTGGCCTATGCACTTAGGCGCCTACTACGTACCTCCCAGGTAATACCCCACTAAGACAATCCCCTTTCCATTCACCAATACCGACTATAACTTGAGGAAATACAGCGTGTGTTCGTTAGACTCAAGTCTAGTTACCATACTTGTATTCACTTCAACATCATTTTTTCTACGGATTTGACCTACATACCTACATACCTACATATCGACTTCTTGTGATCATTTATGAGTCAATTTGCTTCCAGCTTTAACTGCGGTCTAATCAGACTATAGGTACAACTACGAATGAATCGTAATTATGCGTCAGGCACGGATTTGCCTACGTAAGTATCTTATAGTACTGAGATGTGGCAGAACCTTCCAAGGTTCAGTCTAAGAGAGTCTCACCTCCTATACCTATGTAGCTCTTTCCCAGTGATGACAACAACAACAACAACAACAACAACAACGCGATGAGAGACCAATGTTATTAAGCTTTCATTCACTCACCTACCCACTCTCTCTTGATAGGCTTTCTCTTCGTAGGGTTGGAACGCTTGTAACGCATAAGCCCTGAACAACACCAATGAAAGTTAATATCATGAAATATAGGATACATCAACGGAAGACGCGAGTTACGCCGTAATGAGTATATCGTAACTTGTTTCGACTGGATCCCATTCTAGATTTCTCTACTAATACAGCATTGAATTCCTCTTTCATTTTATCTATATGCTAGTGGGACTTGTGGAGTTCTGGTGAATCGACTGGCATCCCTTTGGTGACAACAAGGTGAGTGAGCGATCTATCTATCAGGATAGCAAGTTCGTGTAAAGACTAGCAAAACAGCTGTTTCCCCGTGAGAGTTTGCAATCGAAGCCTCACGCCTCTTGCCGTCTCTAGGGTCCTTGAATCGTAAATATCCGCCTCACCAGCTCGCATTGGCGAGGAACGCTTTCAGCTTATCGTCCAGCCATTTCACGTCATCCTTGCTCTGCCCCGGACCGCCCGCCCTATCTATCGTTAGCTTCCTCCCTGCTATCTGACGTGTTATACGGGAATAATCACCAGTGGCCCCAGATCGACGGGAACGGGATGCATTTGCCGACTCCGGCTGACATGTTCAAAACCTCGTTTTCGGAATCATCGGGAGGGAAGTATAAGTCCGTCTTGCAAGGAAGGACGAGGGTCTTGGCTTTGATGCTCCTCATAGCTAACCCGAAATCTAAGTCCATTTAATACCAGCGTTCTCGTCGACGGCTAGTCGCGCATACTTACCTTTGTTATAAGGCTCTTGGTCTGAGCAGTCGCCCGCTTGCCACGTGTGCAGCATCGTCAGCATGTTCTCCGGGTCTGTTCGGCTATGTAAGCTAAGGGGCTCCGCGCGTTTAGTTGTAGCTCGACGTGCCTTTAGATGTCGCCCAGCCCTCCCAGAATTTGACCATAAAGTCCTCGAGGTCCTTGTAGCCGAGCGCCGTCTCATAAAGTCTCTCACGGTAGAAGGCTTGGCTGAATCCCCACCCCGCGTAGACTCGGCCCAGAGCCTTGAGGCCGTTCTCGCGTTCTGCGGCCGTCCATCCCCGGTACAGCGAAGCCGGTGTCGTCTCTCCCCGGCAACTGCCGGCAGAGCTGGCCCCCTTGGCTGCCAACGCCGCACTCTTGACGCCTTCGAGGAAGACTTGGTTGTGCAGGCTAGTCTTGGCGCTACCGCAGAACGGGACGGCCAGGTCCACGAAGTCCGGGTATTGGGTGATCCACTGGTAGGTCTGCCCAGCCCCTGAATTTGTCAGTCAGATGAATTGTACCTATGTCAATGCTTCACGATTTACCCACCCATGCTCCATCCTAGCACGCACTTCGCGTGTTTGACGCCTAACCCTTCCGTCACGAGACGATACTGCGCGGCCACGTTGTCGTAAAAGGTGACGTCGGGAAAGGGACGAAATTCCGGACTGTTCGACGGGCTTTTGGACTGGCCGTTGCCGAACAGCGCTGGGACGATGATGAAGTACGTCTTGGGGCTCAGGGCCATGTCGTTACCGATCAGCCACTCATTGTCGGAGATGAGGCCGCTATACCACGTGGGGTAGATAATGGCCGGATGATCGGGATTGCCGAAGGTTTTGTAAGCGATGTAAGCGTTCGGGATCACGGCTCCGGACTTGAGGGCGAAGTTGCCCAACTCGAATTTCTTGATCTCCATGGCGACGTAGCTAACACAATGTGAAGATGTTGCGAACGCGGTACTTAGTTTAGAGACAAGAATCCTAGAACATGGAACATCGAGCTGCGGGGTCGAATAGGGGAATCCATCTACGTTCGGGAACGTCGAAGATAAGGCTTCCCGGCTATGCAGATTTAAGTTACGCCGCGAGACCGATCGGTTATTGACGGAATCGGTGGATCCACTTCGAGATAGCGAGATGGCGCGGTAGCTGTGATGCGAATCGTCGTAGTCGCTCAGTACGGGGAGCAAACCCGCTAGTTGTCATCTAGGGTTGACGGGTTGTGTCTGATTGGTCAGTATAACAACCCAAGGATCTCTTGGCGAGACAGAATACTATTAATTACTCAAACAGTTCAGTCGCTGGTTCTCTAATCCTGATGTCTCGACTTGCAGTACCCGGATATCCACTAACGCTATTGCTTCATTGAGACGATAGGTCGGCTGATTATAATATTGACCCCGTCTTATTCGAATTCCGATCCCACGAAAGACCTTAACATGTCATCCTATCCCCATTCATGTTACTAAGTCGAGTTACTATATAATCTTTTCCTCTTTGTATTGGGTGTAATGTCTCACCTAAGGGGCTTTTCACTTTCTAAAGAAACCGTTGATATGAATGCCTGGTTTCTTGTGAAGGTGGACGGATTCAGAAGTTCGACGTTTTTCAATTATCACTTATTGATGAGGACATCATATAATATCCATTATAGACTTTTCCCCCAGGAAGTTAACTTAATTCCAGATACCCAATGAGGAACGTTCTTGTAAGATCACGTTTGCACTTTTTAGACCGCGACACGAATGACTTGGTTTACGCGGAAGTTAAGGAAGCCATTGTGACTGATGAAAGAGGCTAAGACTAGCGGTCGATTACCTATATATTTGAACGAGTTTCGTGCTGGTCAAGATACATAGAACCCTTAACTTGGAAGTTAAACAAGTTCTAATCAAATGCCAGATAGCCTGTTGATGCGTCTCGTTCAAGTTTCTTCGACGATTTTCCGAGTCAGCCTTCCAAATGTCGAAGTATCCATCCAACTTCGGCATCTACCGTCTCTAGTATGTGTTGCGGCTGGTAGATAGGTTTCCATCCAAGCTCTTCTCCGGCACGTCGCGCCGTAAACGTGCACCTGTCATTGCGTAGCAGAGTCAGATTGTCTCGATGATGCGGTGGCGCGGAAAAACTCACCTTCCACCTAGTTGGAGAGGCACGAATTCCTTGGGGGCACCGAGCGCGGCACCCATCTCTTCCATGATCTGATCGTCTGCCATCTCCACTTCACCGCTGCTTACGACGCCGCGTTTAGCGAGGGCCGAGCCGGCGGCGCTATATAGATCATCCCACTATGGCAGTCTTAGCGAACGATCTCACGGACGTGAGCAATTACGCGCAGGCATCCGAGCATGTGCTGTTCCCGGACTCGGGTATCCCAGAGTTGACGAACAGTGCGCAATATGAGGACTTCGCTTACCGCGATGCTTCCCGAAGAAGCCAGATAATAGCCATTTTTTCCATGGCTAGGATTTCCGTCGATTAGAATCTTCCGCAGCAGTTCTATATACAAGCTAGCATTATCGACTACATGGCAAACCGGCCAGGTCTATATTCCTTCATAGTCAGTTCGCGCTTGGATCGTAAGAAGAGAGTATGAACACACCGGGTGGTCGGGATCGACGCGATATACACGTTTTAACGCCTTTGCCGCTTGCACGATCTTGTATATCTGTCTCAGCGTCGCGATGGGTTCGCCAAACCCTTCGCTTTTCCCGTCTGCATATGAAATTTCAGTAAGCGATGGTTTTGATTATCACAACTCCTGCAGCATCACTGAGCTGGGAATACCACTACCTCATACGGCACTCCGGAATATCGATGTCAGAAATTAATGAGGAAACAACTTACACACGATACACGGCACGAAGATATAACTCCGCACATCATGCTGTTCAGCTTGTTCTGTTACCGCGCAGCTGCTATTAACAGCCTGTACGATGTATTAGCGCCGCGACTTGAAAAGAGGTCCAATCAAGATGCATCTACTTCTTGAAGCAGGCTCAACTTCGAGCGTTGGGATTTTTGAATGTCGTAGAGCCGGGGATCAGTATCCAGCAGGGGACGGTCAGTCGGAGCGCCCGCGTGGCTGGAAAAAAGCTTGGCTCCTGTAGTCTAGAACACGATTTGACAGTGAGTTTCGAAATCGACCGGACTGGAATCGGTGCCGATGGCTTACATGTAAGAAGTGGACCGTTTGCCCGGTTCTTTTCTTCACCTCGGCGAGCGCCTTGATGAAGAACAATGGCGGACCGTAAGAGATCGCGTCGACCAGGTAGTAAACCACCGTAATCTTGTTCTCGACAACGGAAGCCCATATTTCAGCCTCGTCCTTCAGGTTGAAGGAAAGGGGCTGCGCTCCATACTGTCGGAGGCTGTCTGCTTGCGCCGTTGTCCGCGCCGAGGCGTACAGCTTTCCATAAGGGGGCAGGTTGGCGGCGCCCATGCGAGCAAGGAGGGTACCTCCGAGGTATCCGGATCCCCCGGTAATTAAGACGTTGTGTAGCATGATGAGATGTCATCAGACGGAATTTGCTAATTCTACAATTCCTCTTCAGAGTCAAGTCACTTAAGTAGGTAGTTCATCTTCGCATTCCGATTAATAGAATAGCCGAATTTACATAAGCCTGTCCACTTTAACCGGTGTCTAGATTCTACCCGTTCATTGTTTATGAGATTATATAATCACGGACTCGGTGGGTTTATACATCATCATTCAAGATGCTAGGTACGTAGCTTACAAATCGAACCCCATTTCACCTTTTCAGGGGTAACTTTCTACCACCAACACTTAGCGCGCAGTGGCGGGTCAATTCAGTTGATCGAAATCGTACAGGAAAAAGAGTATTGATTAGTTGGCTTTGGAAGGGCCCCCTTAATAAAATACTTCAAAACTACAAAGATGTGCCGTTAACATACATTTACACACATTCAAAATGAGCAGCGCATGAGGTCCGTTATTGCAACATAAAATTGTAATAGTAAATATTCAATCATATATAATATATTGAAGCCTAGATAAGAACAGGGTATCAGTATATGCACACAGAATTGCGCCAACACCGTGATATCATTGCTCTTGTCCATTTTCTTCTTCCACCTTTCTTGTCTCATCTGAATCTCCCACAGTTGTCTCGTCTCGTCTCATGCGTAGCTTAGCGTTGGTCCTCCAACCACCCCTGAACAGCGAGTGGAATCGGAGACATTGCTTAGTCCTATCAGGCGGTCCGATCTAACACCGCCATATATCCTTCCATACGTGATGCTTAGATAAATGTTATATAGGTAAAGTGAAGTGATTCGTTATATTTGGGCCGCTCGTCTTAGATCCCTCCCATGAAACCGACTCGCCCCATCGCGAGTCCGTTATCCACCCACGTCTGCCAATTGAACCCTTCTTCCGCGTCCATGTCGACGTCTGGGTCGTCGATCCTCGGCGCGTTCGCAGTCGCTTGATTCGAGGGGCCGGCGGCCCAGCTATTGGACCAGAGCCACGGCGGCGGGTTATCCTCGAGGAAGTTTTGCGTAGGGGGGACCTCCGTCGCGCCGTAGGCGGTGCCTCCGGGGGTGCCGAACGTCTCGGTAGGGACGGGCGGAGCCGGACGGGAATTGCCCGGCGGTTGGGCGCCTCCTTCCGTCATGTACACCCGGTCGCTGGGAAAGGCCACGGAAAATAGGTCTTGCGAGTCGAGATAAGGCTGGGACATCAAGTGATCGACGTATTGCATCTCAGGCTGGGAGTCGCCGACGCCCGGCTGCCGCGGTGGAATTTCGTCGCGCTTCGTCAGCGCGTCGGCGTTCGCGACGTCCGCGAGAGTAAAAACGGGTTTCTCGGGACCCTCGACCCCGACGAGCTTCCGCCACTGATCTTGGGCGAGGGAGCTCCTCACGGAGCTGGACAGGTGCTTGAAGTTATCGGGCTGCAGCCGCTTCTGCTCGTCGATGTCGAGCTGCCGCGCGGCTTCGGGATCCGCTCTCAGCCGCTTGATCTCCTCCTCCCTGTGGCGCTTAGCCTGCGACATAAGCTTGCGGAGAGGGACCCAGACGCCGGGCCTGGCACGCTCGGCCGCGTCGGGGCTCTGGAAGACCGCGTTGAGCACCATCCAGGCGCGCTCGAGCGACGCCGTCCAAGGCAGCCGGCACGTCTCTAGTAGGAGGTAGGCCACGGCGTGCCACTGCGCGTACGTCTGGAAGAGCCATCGCCACTGTTGGCAGCGCGGCTCCATGTTCAGGACCTTCGTGAATTCGACCACCTCGAGAGAAGCCATGAATAGGCGATGCCGCACGTCTTTGTCAAGGGCCTGGCCTGTCGAGTGGTGCAGCATGGGTTGGTATATGATCAACCTCATCTTGGCCATGATGAGTCGCGCGATCATGGCGGCGACCCAGTGCAGGACGTCCACGTCCTTGTCTCCGCACGTCTTGAGATATTTCTTCTCTATGCGCTCGTAGCATTCCAGGAGCATGTCGTCCCGCTGCGCCTCCGTGCTCCGGCCGTGGCACGGGGCCATCCCGTTGGTCGCCAAGTGTATCTTCCTGGACAGGGCGCATATCTCATAGCGGATGAGGCAAAACGTCATGTCCGTAGGCCCGGTCTTCTCTTCCGGGAACTCTGTCATCTCGGGACTTATATCGGCGTCGTCGACGTTCAGCGGGAATTGCGTGTCGTAAGTCCGTTCCGCAATCGTCAGCTCCGTGCCTTGGTCCTCCGCCGACCTGAGATCGAGGATGCATATCGCCCACCACAGCCGACGCCTCATCTCCACGTCGAAGGGGCTCAGGTCGTCGAACTTAGTCCCCTCGCGATGTATCCCCAGCGACTGGGATATTCGTATCGCGAGGCCCGTGAGCGTCCAGGCGAACCTGGTGTCGTCGTACCGCCGGACGAGGACGAGGAAAAGGGTGAAAGCTTGCACGACTACCAACTCTGACGTGACGAGGAAGTTGGCTTTCGCGAGCGCCTGCTCGGTGGCGAAGCGGTATTTATTTATGAGCTGCCCTTTATCGGCGCCGAAATTTATCTTGACCTAAGCGGATCTCGCAGTCAGCCGCATTCCCCAATTGTTTATCCCAAGATTTCCTACCTCCTCCTCTCCCATGGAGGTGATGGAAGCGTAGTATATGACGAACATGAGGGCCTCCATCCCCGGTGAAATGTCGTTCATATTGCTTCTCAGCTCGCGAATAATCTTGCTCATGGAAGGCACGTGTAATATTTTAACTAAGGGGTCGACGTTCTCTTGGTAAACCTGCCATATGAACGGTATCTGAGACGGCAAGGGGTGCAGCTTGCGAAGGTCGACGTTGGAGGAGCTGTAGCCGAGCACGAAACCGTGGTGGTCGACCTGATCCGAGTACGGGTTGAACATGCCGGGGCTGCTGCCGTCTTCCGAGCCCTCGGAATCTTCGTCGCTAAGTTGCTCCGTCTCCGTCCGCAGCTGGTTGATCTGTTCCGCGGTCAGTACCTATCTCGCCGTCCGTTCACCCGTCCGTTTTCCCGAACCCGCAAAAACGTATAGGACCATACCTCGTCATTTATCTTAGACCAGAACGCGCTGCTCACATACCGCGTCTTACCCTTCTCGTTTAGCACCAGCCTCCCGAAAGATTTGTTAACTTCCCCGGCCGCGTTCTTGAAGTCGCCAGTCTGGGAGCGGCCGAGCTTCGAGTGGTCCGCGGGCGGATAACCGCCGGGAAGGTTCTCGCTATATACGAACCCGCTGTGCCTTCGCCTTTCCCTCTCCTGCGAGGTGCCGTCCGTCACTGCCTCGGGCGAGCCCCCGCTGGAAGGGTGTCTCGCGGTTTCGACCTCTATCTGGCCGCTCAGGTCCTCCACGATGCTCTCGAGCTTCCGCAAGCGCTTCATGAGCTCGATCTCGCGCTCGCTCGTCTGTTTCGGCGGGGCGTTCGGGTCTTTCGCGCGCGGCCGCCGAGGGGCTCGGCCCGGAGCCGGGAAGACGCATTGGATCTGCGCTTTGCGACAATTGCCGCACGGCATGAATTTGTCGCACCTGACCTTCCGGCGGCGGCATGTTACGCAGCTGCGGGGGTTGAGCGCCGACGAGGGAGTGGTAGAGGGGTCGAGGGATATCGGGCCCAACGGCGCGAAGGTGGCGGGATTGGGAGCGCCGCCGGATGCGGGAGCCGCCGAAGATAAGGCGCCTGGTACCGGCGCAGAGTCTTGCGGCGTCGATGCTGCGGCGGGCGAGCTGGTAGAGTTGTCGTTCGGGGATGAGCGGGACGAGGACTCCATGCGAGCCGGAGTGGAATTGGCATGTACGAAAGAAGCGGGAGAGGTGCCAGACATCGTGCGGGCGATCCGCGGGCGGCTCTCCGGGTTTTGGGCCAATGCGCGTAGGACTGAGAGATTTGGGGGTGTTGTCTCACTTGCCGAGGAAAAATAAAGGTTGGAATCTCACCCTCGCTTTGGCTATTCAACTAGTATCCTTTGGGCAGGAAACGTTCAAAAGTCGAGGATTCAATACGTAGGTAGTAGGATGAAAGCTCGTGAGAGAGAAGGATAGAAGCTGCAAAACCTGGTTCGGGTGGCGTTCGAAATAATTACGCAGGCTAGTTCGAAAATCCTACAGGGACAGGGCTGAGTTTAGGACTGCTCGCCTTTCTATGTAGTATTGACTCACCGGAGATGGTGTGGATCCTTTTGTCGAAGATAATAAGATAATCTAACCCAGATCGTCTTGGATCGTAACGGTCATCAAGGATTATCTTAAGCTGCGTCTCACATTTCGATTCGTGATCGTCCGAATAAGACTAGCCAAGCTCATACATACGATATCAAGAAAGATGGGAAAATATTATACTGTAAGTGCGGCAGCATGGGAAAATGGGTAGACGCGGGGCATGAAAGATCCCCCTGACCAGCCGGTTATAGTAGCGTCACTCGTCTCTCTTTCACCGCTTTAAATCCGTAAGCTCGGACGTATTGTTGAAGACTCGGCTTCTAACCACCCACATCCGGGTATTTCTTTCGAAGCTAGGTGCTTAAAGAGACCATCGTTTATAATAATGACGAACACACCAGTAGTGGTTTTCAAGATGAAGCTAGTCGCAGAAGCTCGAGGTTGTCTTGGGATGTCCCAACGACGCGAGTAAGTCAAAAGACAATGGATTAAAATCACATCTCACACTAGGTAGGTACCTTTGTAATACATCCCGTGTTCGAATGGTCCGCTCGATGCCAGTGCTTACCATGGGTTCGATTCGAAGCACATAGGTGCTATGCTATTGGTTACCTACGCGTGTACGCAGATTACGTATCAGCTCACGGTAGCCGCCTTCCTTCCGGTTGCTACGATGATGCGGAGGAAAGGTACCGAAAAACACTCATCCTCGGTAGTCGTTCCATATCTCGACGGAGACTGGGTCTGAGCATCGTTACACCACGCAACTCGTCATTTATATATTACCCTATTAGGTAACACACGTAAATAAAGAGATGAGGAAGATCAGATTAGAACAAAATCAGCTTACCTATACTTACTTACCTAAGTAGCTTGAACAATATTACTCTAGCCTCCGAGAAAGGACCAACACAACACTATCATCCTACGTTAAGTCATGATGCAGTCCACTCTACCGAAGACGATGCGCGCGGTTATCTGCACCGCTACCGGTCCGGTCTCCGTCATGGAAATCCGGGACGTACCATTGCCGACACCGCAGCCAGGCCAGGTACTTATAAAGGTCTTAGGGTTCGGCATAAACCGAGCTGGTCAGCCTTTCCTACATCCGGCCTATCCGCCCCATCCGCGTATGCGTGCTGTGGCGTGAGCACACGGCGCTAACTAGAGAGCAGAGATGTTCACGCGCCAGGGTCACTCGCCGGGCGTCGAGTTCCCTCGAATTATCGGGATCGAATGCATCGGCGTAGTCGCGGGATATCCCGCCGCGGAAACTGTCGAGTCCAAGTCCGCTCGACATGCCGTCGGCACCCGCGTCGCCACTTGCATGGGCGGTCTCGGCCGCCAGATCCCGGGTTCCTACGCCGAATACACGTGCGTGTCCGAGGCCAACGTCCGACCTATCCCGGCGACCGACCTTTCGGTCGGCACCTTGGCCGCGTTGCCGGAAATGCTTCAGACGACCTGGGGCTCTCTAGTCGCAGGCTTAGACCTGCGGCCGGGCGAAAGCCTGCTCATCCGAGGGGCCACTAGCTCGATCGGGCTGTGCGCTCTGCAGCTGGCGCGCAAGATCGGCGCCGCGCGTATCGGAGCGACGTCTCGAAGCACGGAACGCGAGGAGCTGCTACGCCAGAACGGCGCCGACGAGTTTTTCGTCGACGGCGGCGAGATCGCGAAAGACGTGGCCCGGAGCGCCAGGGGAGGGTTTGACAAGATCCTCGAGCTGACTGGCACGACCACGCTACGAGACTCGGTCAAGTGTGCGGTTTCGAAGGGAACGGTGTGCATGACGGGAATCCAAGGCGGCGAGTGGGAGATGGAGAAGTTTAGTCCGATGGGCGACCTACCTAATCGCGTACGGCTATGCGCGTACGGAGGCGGTCCAGATGATTTCATGGCTCTGCCGTGGGAAGAGCTAATTCGTGAGGTCGAGGCTGGGAAGGTAAAGATTCCGGTAAGAGAGTTCAAGCTCGAAGATATCCGCGAGGTTCACAAGATACTCGAATCCGGCGGCGGCGGCGCGAAAATGGTGGTTGTTGTTAGCAACGAATGAGATTAAGAGGTAAGTATTAAGCAGTGTAAGGTGTAATTGATGTTATTTACGAAGTATGTATGATGTTGGTTAATTATTATCTGTATTGTAAATCAGGTCCGAGAGTTGATTAGATAAGCAAAATAGGTAACCCCTTCTAATGTGGCCCGCTGTCACACAACGTTTAGCACCGCGTTTTAAGGAATTACCGCGATAGGTTTAGATCCACAATATCCCTTCGTAAACTCAGGGTATTCGGTACTTCGTCCGCCGTCGGTCGGTTGATTAGTTAGTTGGTATATTTAATGCCGGGGCAAGGGGGAATGACCGTTCCCTCGCAGACCTCCCTAGGGGTATGCGATGTGTGGAGCTACTTCAAAGTCTACTCTTCTAATTTCTAATCATACAAAGAAAAGTCCCAGTCTTATACAAAAAAAAACGTCCTCTATATCTAACCTATTAACACATATAATTATGCTCTAACCGTTCCCGTAGGCTCATCCAAATGAACTCGTGTTCGGCGTACAAAACAATTCGGGGGTGCCCTACAGGCTATGAGGTCACCGTTTTCTTCGGTTCTACGGCGTCCGGAGTCGGTCCGCCTGGGTCTGAAGCATGTGAGCCCTGGAGCGGCGTAAACTCAGGGTAGTATAACCTGATTGCATCCAATGCATTAATAATTGGCCTTTATCCACGGTTCGCTAAGGGCCTAGCCTTCGCTCTAAATTCATAGTTACGTATACGAGGTACTTAATGAGGTAGCTTTCCGAGGTTTCTTAAATAAATGCTTGACGTCGAGCTCCAATACGAAGAAAACCAATTCATCTTCACCTAAAACAAAACATCTCAGAACTTACCTACACATCAACGCACGAAATTCGAAACAGCATGTCCGGCATCACCGCCATGAAAGCCTGGGTCTACACCTCAGGTGCCGGCGGCCTCGAGAAAAACCTCAAGCTCGTCTCCGACGCCTCGCCCCCGTTCCTCGCCGCGCCGCCAAATGACGTCGTCCTCGTGAAGGTGCACGCCAGCTCCCTCAACCCCGCCGACTACAAGATCGCCGAGATGGGCCCCGTCTCGCGCCTCGCCATCGCCCCGCCCGCCACGCCCGGCCTCGATTTCGCCGGCGTCGTCGCGGCCGTGGGCTCCGCCGTCGCCGCCGCCGGCTACCGCGTCGGCGACAAGGTGTTCGGGCGCATCGGCCCGAACAAGTACGGCACCCTGGGCGAGTACGTGGCCGCGAAAGCGGACGGGCTGGCGCTCCTGCCGGAAGGCGTGTCTCTCGAGGACGCCAGCACCGCAGGGACGGCGGGGCTGACGGCGTTCCAGTGCGTCGTGCCGAACGTCGAGGCCGGGGCCGGCGACGAGGTGTTCATCAACGGCGGCAGCGGCGGGACCGGGTCGTACGGGATCCAGTTCGCGAAGGCGCTCGGGTGCCGCGTGACGACGACCTGCTCGGCGAAGAACGAGGCGCTGGTTCGCGCGCTCGGCGCGGACGACGTCATCGACTACACGAAGGAGAACGTGAGCGAAGCCTTGAAAGCGAAAGGGCAGATTTTCAAGCTGGCGGTCGACAACATCGGCAGCGCACCCCCGGACCTGTACAAGGCGGCCGACCACTACATGCTCCCCGAGGGCAAGTTCGTCCAGATCGGCGTCCACATGTCGACGGGCGGCGTGGCGAACATGATGTCGAGACAGTTGTTGCCTTCTTTCCTGGGAGGAGGCAAGAGGAAGTTCGAATTTCTCGTCACGAAGAATAGTCACGAAGACCTCGAGCAGATCGGGAAATGGTTCGAGGAAGGCAAGGTCAAGGCCGTGATTGACGAATCGTTCCAGTACGAGGATGCGCCGAAGGCGTTCGAGAAGTTGAAGACAGGTCGCGTAAAGGGCAAGCTTGTAGTCCGCGGTCCTGCTTGACCGGATACGAGCGACGGCGCTGTTAAATTAGGGAATATTTACTTATCATAAACTCCTAGCACACAAGCTACGTAATTGAAAGTTGATTGAAGAACATGAACGGGTTGGATATCGTGACTTTATTATGTATACTGCTAGCGCACAATTAGCCTAAGGATATTCTACCAATACTCCTACCTCGGCGAGAACCCGCAAGGGCCAAATGTCGCCTGTAGGATTATACGAATACCGTATTTTTCGGGAATCTAATATGAAGAAGCACCCCTTTGCTTTATCGCGAAGCTATTCTACGCCCGCAATCGCTTGCCAATGCTTACGCCGCTCAACATGCTCTTGTTCGTCTCGCGAGAATGAAACACTCTCTACAACGTAAATTCCCAACCGACTTCCTCCGACACCTCGCAAAATACCTGCCCAGTAGTCTGTAGTTTTCGCGCCGAACAAACCCAAATACGAGCCCGTCGAACGCCTATCACGATGTATCATCATGTTCCAAACAGAACGTGTCTTCAAATGTCGCGACCTCCGAAACTAAGTCGCAGAAAGAAACAAATCGAAGCGTCTATCGCTTCGACGCGGCTGCCCGGTCGACGGCAGCCGGGCTCTTGACGGCTTTCTCTACCGCGGTCGTCATCGTTAGTCCGACCGGCGTCATGGGGGCCGGCGTAGTGCTCCGGGTCGGGGGTGCGGAACGGTTGTGCGCCATGTGAGCCTTAACTAGGTGGCCGGCGGCAAGGGCGCTGCAGAGCGACAGCTCTCCGGCGAGGACCGACGCTCCGACGATGCGGGCAAGGCGGCGTGCGTTGTCTCCGGGGTTCGTCGGATGAGAACCCCTGACGCCGAGCATATCAAGCATGGCGGCCTGAGGTTCCAGGATGGTACCGCCGCCAAGTGTACCGACTTCGATAGACGGCATAGACACGGAGATTTGCAAGGATCCGCGGAGGCTTGGCAAGTCAGCACTGGATTCATGGGGCTAAAAGAGGAAAAAAAAAAAAAGACTTACTTCTTCATAATAGTAATACAGTTAGCGCTCTCTACGACCTGGGCCGGGTCTTGTCCGGTGGCGAGGAAGACAGCGGCGACGATGTTGGCCGCGTGGGCGTTGAAACCTCCGATGGAGGCGGCCATGGCGGATCCGATAAAGTTCTTAGCCGTGTTCAGCTCGACAAGACTGTCAACGTCGGTCTTGAGCACCGCCTTCACCACGTCGCCAGGGATGATGGCTTCGGCGACGATGCCTTTGCCTCGGCCGTCGATCCAGTTGATGGCCGCCGCCTTCTTGTCTATACAGTAATTTCCGGACACCGACACGATGACCATATCATCGAAGCCGCCCTCAGTAACCATAACATTCAGAGCGTGCTCGACGCCCTTCGAGATCATGTTCATACCCATGGCGTCGCCGGTGGTCGTCTTGAATCGGATGTAGAGGTTGGTTCCCGCGAGCGCCGTCTTCATCGTCTGCAGCCGGGCGAACCTCGAGGTCGAGTTGAAAGCCTTCTTCATGACGGACTGGCCAGCCTCGGAATCGATCCAGAGCTTCGCGGCGCCGGCGCGCTCGAGCGTCTCGAATTGTACGCAGGGTCCACGCGTCATCCCGTCGCTGGTTAAAACTGTGACAGCGCCCCCTCCCGAATTGATTGCCTTGCAGCCGCGGCTCGTGCTGGCGACGAGCACGCCTTCGGTGGTGGCCATAGGGATGAAGTAGCTCTGGCCGTCGATGACGAGCGGGCCAGCCACGCCGACGGGGAGTGGCATGTAACCGATGACGTTCTCGCAGCAGGCGCCGAGGACCTGCTCCCAGTTGTAGTTCTCGTACGGGAGCTTGGATCGGTCGAGGAGGCCGGTGAGATCCGCGGTCGCCTTAGTCCTAGCGATGATGCTCCGGCGAACCTTGACGGCACGAGTGCAGTCTTTCAGGCTCTTCTCCAGGGCGTAACCGGGGATCTTCCCCTTGAGAGAGAGGGCGACAACGTCTTCGTCGGACATTTCGTGGACTCGCTTTGCGGCGAGCATCTTCTCGAGCTCGGCCTGGCTCCTCCGGATGATCGGCACCTTCGACGGTTGAGGGGCGGGGGCGGGCTGGCTGCTCTCGTCATCGGTGTAGGCGGGAGTGATCGGCCTATCCGGTACGGCCGGTTCCTGCTGCTTCGGCTGGATTTCCCCGAGAGGGAGGGTCGCGGACTGGGTATCGTTGAACATTTCAGCGTCGGCAAGCTCTTTGGGGTCGACGGGGTGGTCGGGCAGGTTGGGATCCCTAATTCCCCACCTAGCCACGTTGAAGAGGTAGCCGTTGAGCGCGACGCTCATGGCCAGGGCGACGACGATCCACTTGGACAGGATGGGATCCTCCAGACTCGTGAGCAGGCTGCCTACCATGCGTCCTCCCACGCCGTAGCCGTGCAGCTGCGAATAGCTGCCGCCCCCGCCGTGCCGCCCGTCGAGGGAACCTAGGGGTGGTTCAGCGTAGTGGATCGAGGGGAACTCCAGCTCGTACTTGATAGGGGTTAGGACGGTAACGATGGTCGGCGTCGAGTGGCTCTTCGCGTTGAAGAGGATCTCATCGAGCCCGTTGGAGGCGACCTTGAAAGGGTCCAGGGGTGGCGAGCTGACCACGCCGCCCAGCCCGCCGGCCCAGGAAGAGATGCTGGAGATGTCGGAAGCCCTGAAGGGGATCGTGCAGAGGTTGGCGACGTTGACGGCGACGAAGCCGAGGATCATCCAAAATTTGAACTTGGGAACGCTGCTGCTCTCGAGGTCCTTGCCGAAAAGGGGCTCGTCGATGGATCCCTTGCCGTCTTGCCGAGGCCAGTCGTTGCTCTTGGCGACGTTCTCGGCGACGCGTCGGCTGATCCCGTCGTCCTCCAAGGCTCTCCGCATCTCGACATGGCGGCGGATGCGGTTCACCTCGAGCTTGATGCACAGGATGGCGGTGTAGAAAGTGAAGAGCAGGATGCAGTCGAAGAAGAGGATCCAGGCGGCCAGGAAGCAGAACTGCTGCAGGCCACCCTGTACGCCAGAGGCAGCTCCGGCGACGAGTATCAGGATCTCAATGACGTAGTCCCGGACAATGTCGTACCCTTTGTCCCTGATCGCCCGCTGCACGGCGTATTGTATGATGCCGTCGGAGGCTAGGAACTTCTTCGATTTGCTGTCCTTCTTTTTCTCGTCATCGGGCTTGCGGTGCTCGAGAGCGTGCGACAGGACGGCTCGCGTCAGAGCAATGTTCTTCTCGAAACCGATGGTCACGACTAGGAACGGCAAGCCTTCGGAGAGCAGGACCATGCTGATGGGAACGCCGAGCTTGGTGGTGACATTGAGGCCGAATAGGAAAGCGAAAGTGGAGGAGAACAGCACGCTGATGGCGAGCCAGACGTTGGATCCCATCTTCCTCATGGACAGGAAGAGCGAAACGAAGGTCAGGTGCATGGACAGGTACCCGAGAACCATGATGATGATGTCCAGGGTCTCGGCGTTCTTGATCAGGTCGAGAAACTCGGTCCAGGCGTTGTGAACCCACCTGATGACGCTGCTCCTGGTGTAGCCTTTGGCGACCTTCATGATCCACATCTTCTGCTCGCTCTTGCCGAGCTCGGTCTCGCGCGACTCTTGCCCGGGCACGTCGTTAGGGATTTCCTGCGCGGCCGCGAGGAATTCCGGCGCATCGTCGTACTTTACGGCAAACGCCAGAGCGCTATCCTGGGAATAGGCCGTCAGCGTGTTCGAAGTGGACGGCAGGTGCGAGATGGACAGGTTCTGCGGTAGCGGGACGATGTGAGGCAGCGGCGCGGTCTGAGGCGCGTCCTCGGACGACTCCGGGAAGATCAGGGTGACTAGAGCCAGGTGTTCGGCGTCTTTGGGGGTGGCCGAGTCGGCGTCGTAGCTCTGCCATCTCCACGAGGTCTCGGGTCCGGTTCGCAGGCTCCTGCTGCCCTCGACTAGGGAAGACCAGTCGGCGTTTCTCGCGATCCTCGAGACGTCTAGGAGGCTCTCCTTGACGACGCCGACGTATGTGGTGCTCGCTATTAGAGCAACGATGACAATAGTATGTATTGGGTGTAGGCAAGCTATCTTGGAGAAGAATTGGAGTATCGGCGTAACCCTCTTGTTCATCTTAGATGGCAGGACGGGAGTATCGCTCGGCTGCTCGCCGCGAAAGCGGGAGGGGAGAAATGTAGAGGCGATCATGTCGGTACTACCGCGAAGGCATTGGCAATCGTCTATTAATTCGTCTATTAATCACGTCTGGTCTCTAATTAGAGGCGTTGCATTAGCACAATTCTTTCATCGCGTCTTCGAGAACAGACATTCGTCAATAACCCGTCTTCTAGCCTCGTGTGATGTGTGAGGCTGAGAAGACGAGGGCAGCAAGATAACTAGCGAGATAAAAGCTTTATTTCCGTACCTAATGTCTAGAACGATACACGTATCATCCGCCCTCGACTATCTAAAGCTGGGACGATGGCAAGGTTAAAGGGTTTGCGGATGATATTTCCAGGAGAGGTTGGTTGAAATAATTTCCTAGGCGCGAGATCGGCCTCGATCAAGTCGAGTCGAGTCGAGTCGAGTTATAGGTAACAAGCTCTCAGGTAGCCTTGTATGATGGCTTGATGGCTAATTCTAGCTGACGAGAGCGGTCAAAGTTGAATTGGCAAGCTGAACCGCTAGACCGTCGTAGACCAGTAGACCAACAACGCACAAAGGGGGAGAGTTGGGCGGAAAGAAATGTTGGAAGATTTGGTGGTAGGTGTAAAGGGGGGAGGTGGGGATTTATTGTCATCGGTGTAAGTAGAGAGAGAAATTTCAGCAATACCTCTAGCAATTGATACCTGGTAGCGTGTATATGTACTCGCTATCCTAAAGTACCTACCTACTTTAAGTTCACCACATGTGCCCTGAGTTCTCGCATGGCAACACCGTCCCAATCTTCAAATTAGGGGATCCACCACACCGCCGGTCTGTTATCGATTAACGAAGCTTACCCAAGAGGGAAATGTTCGATAGCGAACTCCACATTTCTTTTCACCTCCGTCACACTTTCTGCCACTTACGTACCCGGATACCTGCGTCCCTACATGAGCTTGGCACATTTGCGTGTACTTAGACTAGAAGTACAAGTACCAACATTATGTAACATTAATTAATTAGGTAGTTGCATCCATTTCCAAGATGATGTCAAACTCTAGCGTTCCCGAGTATGACGGTCCCGAGTTTAACTATTTTCAATGCTAAAGTTTCGTACTTGATATGGCGTTACTTGAAGGCGATTTACATACTTAAATATTGAATTGTCCAAAGATAAAGGCTCTACGGTTTCCTAGCTAAAAGCCATATTATCATGGCTATAAAGGTTATCCACCGAAAGAGACGTTGTTTCCTGAAAGTGTATTGATCTTCTAGCTATTGGGTATAGATACATGAGATCCATGCTTAGCATGTACCGTCGCAATTATATTTTCGGTTCCCTTGCACTAGAGCGCCAATGACAAACAATTTGTACCTTGGCTGGCACCTTCAAATCCAAAGACTCGGTCAAAAGAACAATATGGGAAATGTCCCGAACGCTGATTATTCATATTTCTGAGCCATTCCCTATCTCATGAGGCGATATCATAACATTGAGATGGAAGCACGATGTTGAAGGTGAAAGCCACGGTCCACGGAATTCAAGGTGAACAGTTCATAAGGCGGATGTGAGTGGGGTGTGGAAAGGATAGAAGCAAGAAAAGGCGAATAGTTGTCCCCCACGCTTCTTTTTAAAGCGATCCATCGCTGCAGTGTCACAACAAGGTTTGCTCATTCGGAACCTGCCTTACATGACATGTGGTATCGGAGGAGTTTCCTGCGGAGCAGGATTTGTTACTAGAGATCTCTGGCGACATTCATGATGTTCGAGCTGTCCTGCTCACATTATCAGATAACTAACTCCCTTCGGGCCAACCACTCTAGATCGGAAGGCCACGCATGCATCTGCCCTTTTTTTTCTTTCTGAGTGACAGGCTGCGCTTTGCCGCTCACGTAAGTCCGCTACCGGCTTGTGCGACTCGGGACGCTTGTTACTGGATCAGGAAAACTCCGAGTCCAAATTACTATAGGTACGCTGCTGGGATGTGTGGCTGCTGAGAGGCGAAAGTCATGCTCGGTGAGACTTCAGCTTAGCCAGTCTTGCCCGCTCACTGCGCCGTCATCAATCGACTTACTTCCGGGCCGTCCATGCTGACTATCTTGACACCGGACGCCCCGATCTCCTTCCTACACTCGGGCCAAGCGGACACGTCGACAGGCTTAGTGCACTCTTCTACCAGGTACGTCTTAAACCCTTCCTTAGCGGCGTCGACCGCCGCATTCTTGACGCAGTAGTCCGCTGCTAGTCCTACCACGTACAGGTCTGTCACTCGCTTCTCTCTCAGAGCCTTGGCGAGGCCGCTGTCGTAGACCCGCGGGGACGTGAAGGGGTCGTAGAAAGGGCTATACATCTCGACCCGCGGATCCGTCCCTTTCTCGAGGACCATGTCTAGCTGGTTAGCACGTAGCTCGGGAATCAGCTCCGCTCCCGGAGTGCCTTGCACACAGTGGACCGGCCACAGTCGTGACTCCTGGGTCTCCGACCTGTTGAGCGGGTTCTCGATGGTGACAAAATCCCGAAACGGGGCTTTGCCCTCGTGGTTTGTCGCGAATGAGATGTGATCGGTAGGATGCCAATCCTTCGTCGCGATCTTAGCTACGAAAGGTAGTTCTAGAAGCTTGTTGATCAATGGCGCGACGTCGCGGCCGTTAGCCACGGCGAGCGAGCCGTTCTGCCTACCGTTAACTATCAATCTCGTCGACGGGCCGTAGGTCGTAAGATCAACTTACCGGAGGACAGAAGTCCTCTTGGAGGTCTACTATTAGCAACGCTGGTCTGAAGTCGGGCATATTTGATATGAACAGCTTCACAGTGGGTAAGGACTTAATTTGCTTATCGCGAGGCAAGATTGCAAAGATGATGTCTCATGTCTCAAATTGACGCCGGAGACCGAGACTCGATGACATACGAGACCCGATAAGGCAATCACCAATAGAGTTAAGCTCCCGCTTACTAGAGGTAGGTATAGGTACGGTAAACTGCGGGGAATTTCCAGCGTAGACTTAACCTAAACATCTTCCCCCGAATACCTATTCGTGGATAGCTTCATCTTGTTTCAATTTCAATAATTGGCAGGTATTAAATAAATCCGTACACCTCAACATTCGAACCTCGCAAATAATTGGCCAATTCAGACACCACGAAATACCCCACAAAGAGGGACTTATACACGTGTTCACGTATGTACAAAGCTAACACCTGCGCCAAGCTCACGGTCTAGAATCCGATGATTATTCGTCCTTCTTCGAAGGTAAGGTATATTCCAAACCCTTCGATAAATTCCCAAACCAGAGTTGGAAGTAATCGAAAAACGCATTCTTACGGCCATACCACTATCGTGCATGAAGTTAGCAAACTTGATTGTCACATACGCTGGGCTCGCTACAGTCAATAGCAGAGGGGCGCGAAACATAGAGACACTTGGGAGTAGGAGATAAAACTCACCGGAGATCTACCCGTGATCCTAGGAAACCTGCTCTGTGCCATGACGAAATAAGTCGAGCTATGCGCTACTACCGGTTTAGACGGGTGGGTATCGTCCTGGGCGTGAACTGGCACGACCGACGTAGCCCCTACCTTTTTCATACGCTTCCAGACGCTGATGAGCAGCTTGATGCTGGCGTCCGCTCCCACCGTCCACGAAGTCGTCGTGTACCCGGTTACCGTTCCGGCATTCGGAAGGCCGGAGAGCATGGCCCCTCGCCAGCAATAACGAGTCCCAATTTCGAGGGGTTCTCCGTCGACGACGGGGGTAATTCCACCGAACAAATGGAGGTCTGCAATCCTGGCGGTTAGCGATCCGAGGAAGGCTCCTACTTGCATAACTACCTAGGTAGACCCAGGTAGAGGTAAGCTACTTACTCAGACCGGTTGCTGGCACGATGATATCCGCCTCCAACTTCTTCCCCGACTCGGTCAAGATGCCGTCTTCCGTCACTTTTTGGATGCGATCGGTAACGACGTCGCAGTTGTCCTGATGCAGCGCTTTGAAGAAATCGCCATCCGGACACATGCACACCCGCTGATCCCAGGGGTCGTACCTGGGGTTGAAATGGACGTCGACGTCAATGTCGGCCGGCAACTCTGCCCTCATCTCTTTCATTAAGATTTTCCGCATCTGGTTCGGGAAGTTTATGCTAAAGGAGGAGAAGAGGTTCTCCGCTATAAGAGAGCTATATCACCATTCGTCAGTCGATACTGCTCGAACTGTTCTCGGAGTAGGACAGGGTATATACGGACAGCCACCAGTTGATCGAGTGAGCTATGTGCTCCGGAAGATTCCTCTTAAGCCATACGTTAACCGGGCTTGACAGAGGAAGGCTCATAACGTAAGAAGGACTCCTTTGAAGCATCGTCACGTGGCTCGCCGTCTTAGCCACTACCGGGACCATGGTGACAGCGGTAGCGCCGGATCCGATAATGATGACTTTCTTGCCGGCATAATCAATATCCTGAGGCCAGAACTGCGGGTGCGCGACCGTGCCCTGGAAGTTCTCTATACCTGGTATGTTGGCCTGGAGCGGCTTCTCGTAATCGTAGTACCCGGTGCAGGCAAGTAGAAAGTTGGCGCTGTATTCCTTTTTAACATCGCCCGCAAGGACTGACAGAGTCCAACGCTGTTCCTCGGAAGACCAGCTAGCGCCGTTAACTCGGTGGCCGAATCGTATCTTTTTGTCGATACCCTCAGCTCGTGCCGCATCTTCGATATATTCTCGAATGAGATGGGCGTCGGCCATGTCGTTCTCATGAGGCCATGGCCGCCAGGGGAGGCCCAGAACAGCAAGTTCTGAATCCGAACGGACGCCGGGAAACTTGAAGAAGGACCAGGTACCGCCGATCTCTTCCCGCGCTTCCAAGATGGTGTATGAGCAGTCTGGAAGCTGGGTTTTCAGGCGATAGGCAGCGTCAACTCCTGAGAGTCCGGCTCCGATGATGATAAAATCGTATTCCTCCATGGCGAACCGAGCCAAAGTTGTAGTCAGTTATAGTGAGACTTTGCTGGTCGTCGAGAGGCTAGAAAATATCTAATACTAGTATGAAGAGCTGCGGCGTAGCAATTGAAAAATGGAGCTCCAACGAGTCTAAACTCGTTATAGTAAATATGGATGCTACCGTCACATTGAGGAATCTCACCTGTTCCAAGCACATGGTTACCGCTTCATATGTGCGACCACTTTTGTCGGAATTGTGAAGTCTAATTGGTCCGGGTAACTTTTAGGACAGGCATACATATGTCTGCGTCTGCGGCGTGGAAGCGGCACGAAAGATTCCTCGACAACCCGTCTGCCCATAGTCAACGTTGAAAATATCGGGTTGCTTGGCTGGCTCAACGGGGTCTAATAGAACCCACCAAATTGTTTACGGGGCTGTCGACTACCTAAATTAGGTCCTTACGAATAGCTACATAGCATGTTTCCGTTCATGAAGGCCCGATTCGTATCTAAGGCGGCTACGATACCGCCCCAATATACTTACCCATCTTCCTCATTCTTTCTCGACGGGTTTCGCTGCCGTCAACTCGGCGTCGCCTTTTTCTTCCTTTTCCTTTTCTTGTTCTTGTTTGATTTCTTTCAAATTCTTCCATCCCATTCCCCAACCACTCAGAAATGCGCAACTTGCTGCGGCAAGTTGAAGATACTAGAAATTTGTTAGTTGGTATTAGTCGTTGCCAAAGCGATGAAGCGCTTACAAATATGTGGCTGATCGCTTGGTTATAAGCCAAGAGAGCCCCTGCGAGCTGATCTGGCGGGACAACTTTGGATATCTCCGTCACGCCGCTGTTGATCAACAAGTTTGGATCGATATCCGGGGCAAACTTCTGGAGAGCCGTCGGGATCGAGCTTGTAAATATGCTTTTCCCGACAGCGGAAAAGATGGCGCCCCCTAATAATTGAGAGAACATGGCGTATCCGGTCGCTATCGACGCGTCTTCTCTAGGACAGTTGGCTTGCATGGCGGTGACTAGCTGAATTCATATTTGTCAGCACCTCAACTCCCAAACAAGACGGCCTATCACTCACTAGCTGTAACACAAAGCCTCGGCCGGCTCCCATAAGGATCTGATATCCTATGATGCTCCCCAAGGAGGTAGTCGGGGAGAACGTCGAGGTTAAACCGGCTCCGATCGCTACTAGAGCGTTCCCTCCTATTACCTCGGGTAAGTAGTAGCCGGTCTTCTGGACAAGAGCGCCGCATATCACCGACGCGACGAGTTGTGACAATATCAAAGGGAGGATCATTATGCCGCTCCGCAACGCGTCTGCGCCTTGAATTGCTTGGAACCAAACGGGTAACCAGTAAAGGGCGTTGATAGCTCCGCCGCTCTGCACGAACGAAGTGATTGTTATCATGATGTTGATTCGGTTACGCAATAATCTAGGTGGCAGCAGAGCCGCCTCCCCTTTATAAGCGAACCAGAATCCTAAGACGCCAAAGGTCGCCGCTCCGCCGCACATGAGCCCGATGACTGTCGGGGAGTTCCAGGGGTATTCCGTGCCGCCCCATTGCAAACCTATCAGCAACATGAGGGATGCAGCCGCAAAAATGATGAACCCCCCAAAGTCGATCTCGAGAACTCGTTGCAACAGGGACGTCCGTACTTCGGAAAGCCTCGACACTGGTAACCTCACCACGAATACGAACAGGAAAACGACCAAGCCTCCTACCGGTAGGTTTCTGATAGGGAAGGGTTAGCCGTGGCTCTACTGCCAAAAACGGCGGTCGACGTCGCTTACATGTAAAAGCACCAGCGCCACGTTATCCCCTGCGTCAAGGCGCCGCCGATTAAGGGACCAGCTGCCTGACCGACCGCGAAGCAGCCGAGTATGATGCCGTTCAGAAAAGAGCGGCTCGCTATTGGGACGGTAGCGGCGACGATGGTGGATCCGCCGTTTAGGATACCGGAACCCCCTATTCCGCTTATCGCTCTCGCGATGATAAGCATCATGGAAGACGTCGATAGCGCTGCGATCAAGGAACCGAGCTCGAAGATGACTATGAAGGTAATGAACACGACCTTGATTCGGAAGGTTCTGTACAATTTTCCGACAAAAGGCACCATAACACAGCTACGCCTAACTGTTAGTCTTCGGACGCTCGAAGGCAGGTGGCATGGAACCGAGGTAGACTGACTTGGCTATCAAGTACGCCGAAGAATACCATCCAACATCGTTCACGGTATTGAACTCGTTTGTGATCGCGGGGATTGCCTAAAAGTGTAAGCGATGACAGAATTTAGATCGTGATGAGGTGACCCTCACAGTTCCTAGGGCAGTGGCATTGAACGCTATGAGGAGAACGCCCAAAGTAACGGAAGATATCAATACGTAGAATGGCCATCCGCTCATGAGTGGTTGGCTAGTATTCTTAGTACCATCCTGGTCGTCCCTCGGAGGAGATAGCTCAGCATCGCTGCGGTCGCCATGATCGTGATCCGCAAGAATAGCTCCGCCAGGCTCGGTTTTCAAGTGTTCTTCATTCAAACCAGCCTCGACATCTCTTGCGAGACCGCCCTGAACTGGCGGTTGGCTACTCATGATTAAGGGTTAAACGAACACCCGCGTAAAACGTTGTTCAGCTAACTATCCTTAGCCGAGATATGGCAACCTCAAGGCTTGATATGGAGGTGTTGTAGTGTGACATCTTAAACTATGTAAATCTAAAATATTAAGTAACACTAAATTTATATGATCTGTTCCACCGCAGAATCTAGGACTGATCAAAGCTTATTTACGATAGGAATGACGATAGGAAAGTTCAAAGGCCGGCGCGCTTTCTCGAAACCGGCAGAGCGGTTGGAAGGCGTGTATGGCAGATCGTGCGACTCAAATTAAACAATACGGCCGATCGGAGTTTATCTTCAAAGTCCGGTTCAAGGTGAAAGAACGGCTCTTATTAGCCGTAATCTCTATGTGGAGACCGGATTGCGGAGAATATCTTCAAACTCCGTCCTCTTTCTTACACGTCCATACCTTATACTTCAATGATTTCCAAGTTCTGACAATGTTCACTTTGATTCACGGCTTAGTTTCTCAAAGTCCGCCGGCGATTGTGACTAGAATATTGACTTTCGTTAGCAATATTGATGGATAAGCCAAAGAACTCCGCAATCGCCAAATGGGGTGCCGCATGTTCTCCGTGTGCTCTAGCGAAAGCAAAGTGTATCCGCTCGAGTAATGTACCAAGTGCTAAATGTGATAGGTTAGTATACACTCCTACGCATGTTCCGTCTTCGATACAGGTGCTTACTAGGCTTCTAGATGCGAACGATTAGAAAAGGATTGCGTCGGTCAAGTACACAAGCCAAGGAAGAAAAGACAAAGCAGGCCTTCGTAAGCATCCCGTGTTCCTAGTAGTTTATAAGTCGCGACTTATCATGTACTCTATAACTGTTCATACCAAGTACATTCCCACAGTGTTTCTTCATGATATCACTTTAATACATCCTCATAGTATCTTCCCTATTCTAGTCCCTCTACAATTTCTCTACACCGAGTCTTAGGAGCAAGGGAATAGGAGGGATATCACTAAGCAAAGCTTACCTCATCAACTATATAATGAACGTTGAAACAACACATTAACAATGTACCACATTATAGTAAGACGGCTCAGCTCGAAGAGAGACTGAATAATCTCGTCGACTTCATCAAAGCTAATAACTCTGGCGATGTCCCTACTCCGTTGCGCCAGGTCTCCGCAACTAGACAGCTTTCTCCGTATTCAGGGGAGGCCGAAGGGTCGGTGCAACTCCAAAGCCCCGAGATAAGTGCAGCTCATGGCAACACTCCGACTCAAGATTTGAGGATAAACCGCGAACCAGCAACAGCTGTATTGCCAATACCAAACTCTTACAATGAGCGTGCTCCTCGCATATGTGTCTGCCGCGGTCCGGCGGGCGAAGTTCCTATTCCGCCTGAGCCGGATGAAACAAACCTGTCGATTTATATAGAGAAACTCATGCCGAACTACCCATTTGTTCCGTTGCCAATAGGGACTACGACGTCCGAGCTAGCATCGAAACGTCCTTTCCTACTTTCCACGATCCAGATGGTAGCATCGTACCGCAACATTAAGTCTATGAGAGCCCAGAACTACTTCATACTGAAACACATATCCGAGCATATGTTGATGCGCTCTGAACGGTCTTTGGAGATTCTCCAGTCCATCCTTCTCGTTCTGGGATATTATCACTACCATTGCATGGTACATGCGCAGATGAACAATCTGATAGGATTAGCGAACAGCCTAACCGCGGACCTGGGCATAAATAGAAATCCCGAATTGCAAGAAAGGACAAAGTTATTACAGACAAATTCCGAGGCTCCTCCGCCAGTCAGAACCAACGAAGAAAGGAGGGCGCTTTGCGGGGTCTGGTATATGACTTCGATGTAAGTGGTGATCACGGTGCCGCCTAGCTCAGGACGTAAATAGTCGTGATGCTTATAAGTAGCAGTATCTCTCTCGCGTTCCAGCGAATCGATCCTCCCAGATATACGCCATACATCGATCAGTGCTTAAGAGAGCTTGAGGCCGATGGAGAGTATAAATCAGACTTGCTTCTCGTCCAACTAGTCCGTATCCAGAATCTCTCCGAGCGCATCGCGCAACTGCACGTGAAAGATCACGTCGCGAACGAAATAAACACGATCACTCGTGCACCTGCGAGCGCTTACTCGAACATGTTCCACGCGGAGTTAGAGAAGTTCACGGAGTCTCTACCTGCTAACTTAGTAACGAATCGTAGGCGATTCCTCGAACCAATTACAGGCAGACGGCGACTAATCTAGATATAATAGAGCTCATCACCTGCCACATCAACACGGCAAAGCTGCGCCTATGGGAGCCCCCTCGGATCGACGCCACGCTTCTGGAGAAGATATCGAACTCCCTAGCGTCCCTATCCTTAGACTCGGCCTCCTCGCTCGATATATTCTACCGGGCTAGCGCGACGCTCAGGTCGTGGTTCGAATTCTGGTTTTCCATAGAAGTGACGGACTACTTCGTCCTGCCCATGCCCGTGTCGGCTCAGCTCATCAACGCCGTGACGATGCTGGCCCGGTGGTCCAAGCTCTCGAGCCCCGACCGCAGCTTCAAGCTCGCCCCGAACCCGGCGTCGGCCCAGATGGTCCGGAACGACCCGGGCTGCGGCGGGGCGGCGCTCGTCCCCGTCCCCGCTCTCAGGGCTAAGGATATCGACCCCGCGATACCCTCGGCCGTGCACGCGATACGCACGCATCTGCTCTCGCAGCCAGAGCTCCACATCGACGTCCCGGGCATCCTGCAGGCCATGGCCTCGCGGTTCGAGCAGGCGCAGGCGGAGAGCCAGAAGCAGGGCGGCGTGCCGTGGGATAACGACACGTGGGACATGGCAGCGAAGAAGATCAAAGGCACGCGTCTGAAGCTCGAGCGCTGGGCTGAGCTGGTTGCCGCCGCGGATAGCGAGAGGCGGAAGCCCGGGTTGTCGACGGGCACGGGCGTTGGCGGTGGACAAGACCTTAATGCCGGTCAGGGTATGGATGGGAATTGGAATATGGACTCTTCGTCAGGGTTAGATGTTGACGGGCAACCATCCTACGAAGAATGGAACCCCGGTATTTCGTGGGCTAATGATTTCTTTGAGGGCTTGGGCCTGGATCAGAATTTTTTCTTTGAAGGGCCGGTGGACTATGGCACGTCTATCTTGACTAACTTTTAAGTTGCTGATGGCTTGGGAAATATGGCTGGTTCCTGGGACATCTTGTATAATCAACACACAATCTTGTATATTAATATAGCAAGCGTAATTAGTACGATTGTTCATCAACATATTTCCCTTCACTACTCTATAATCCCGTTGATTATACAAAATTAGAAAAGGGGCGGTTGCGAGAAGGGGCGAGAATGATAATAGGGCCGTGGACAGACACTATAAAAAGAGTATCGAGAGACGTTACCTAACTAAGTATCCAGCGCCGTGTATATTAATAGAATTGCGGGCTATAGTCTTTGTCTTCGGGGAAGCGTACCAATTATTAGGGGATGCTCTTGAGAAACTTTTGCGCCTTGGCGCCGCGGAATCGCTTCTCTCCATGATAATCCTTTCATTTGAGATGAAAGAAACGGTGGTTTAATTTCTAATTATAACAATACTATCGTCTTAGTATAGCGGATCTGGGGGCTACAGGCGTTGTCTCAACTGCCCATGATATGTCGATCATCGTTTGCTCGGCACGTTACCCCCTTTATTCTCGAATATCGCCCTTCGGACAAAGACCTGGTCCCAAGACTCGAGAACCTTTCAAATCCCTCGCCTTACCTGACATATGTTTGGTTATTTCTCTCTTCCTTAGGTAAGGAATTACCATTTCGGATCCAATCCGCCGGGTAAAATCGACGAAACCATATCAACATGGATGGGATGTCAATGTCAACGGCAACGCCGACGCCAACAGAAATCATGGCCACATCCGCGATGCAGTCAACGCTCAGCTCAATGGAGCCAACTTCTAGCGCAGGTATGGGAGGCATGAGCTCGATGGGAAGCGCGGGCGGGACAGACAGCAGCTGTAAAGTTTCGGTAAGACGACGCTATCGCCTTTACCATTACCCGCCGCATACACCCCGAATTCACGCTGACCGACGCTAACACCACCAGATGCTCTGGAACTGGGAAACCATCGACGCGTGCTTCCTCTCGGAGTCGTGGCAGATCAAATCTCGAGGCGCCTTCGCGGGTCTCTGCATCGGCATCGTGTTTCTCGTCATCCTCCTCGAATTCCTACGCCGCGCCGCCAAGGTCTACGACCGATACCTACTTCGCCAGCACATGAGGAAGACGAGCGCCCTCGCCGCTACGGTCGTCAACGGCTCTTCGGAGACGGCTCACGGCGCTCTCATCGCGAAGGAAAACGCGGCGACGACCCTCGCTTCCGCTGTTCCGTTTCGGCCTAACGTCTTCCAGCAGGCGGTTCGTGCCTTGTTTCACACATTGCACTTTGCTCTCGCTTACTGGATCATGCTTCTTGCCATGTATTATAACGGGTATATTATCGTTTGTATTATGATCGGCGCTTTCATCGGGTTCTTCGCACTTCAATGGGAGAGCATTGGTCCTCTGTAAGTGCAGTTCTACCAGGATATATACATGACAGTCGTTACTAACGTAATTGGTATGAAAGAAGCGGTATCGAAGGTGAATACGGCATTGGGAGAGACGGTACCGGTTGCCACGGATGAGTTGTAGAATCGGCACCGAGACAGCTTTGTAAAATATCAGGCGTATAGGTTTTGACGGGACGATCTAAGCTCGAGATACGAGGGGAACATACCCGCACCCTTGGAACTTAATTAATTGGTTATCGATGACACATGCCTTTCTCGTAAATATGTGGTTATGGATCGAAGACGCTAGAGCGGCGACTTTATGAGGGATAAGCCAACGTAGAATAACGGATATCATTCAGTCGAATAATAACTCACTAAATTAATTACAAAGCCCGAAAGCATTGAAATTTGTTGATTAGCGTAAAGTCATCTGTCTTCGTTCCCTAATCCATCCGTGCATTTTTCAACGCCCTGAACGTGATTCACAATTAGATTACAGATTCCCAATGACCTGATGCCTCGACAACCAGTGAACTAACCGCTCGAATCGAGCGGCTCGATCGCCTCGCACATTAATCGATCGAGGCGGCTAGGATAGACATCCTCCCCTTCAAAGCTTCCCCTCGACGAATATTCATCAACGCTCATCGTCCCATACGGATGACTCCGGCCGCGGCCAGCTTCTGGATGTTGGAGCGCACGGCTGGATTGCGCATGTGTTCCTGCAGCGCTGCCGGGTCGGACTGTGCCTGCTGGAGGATGGATTGCATGACGGGATCTTGCATGATGCTCATAATCTGTATGGCGGTGTTAGTCATATAAATCATATCATAGCGAAGCGAACGGGATATGTCTGGTACTTACCTCGGGGTCCTTCATTAATCTCTCTCGGGTCTGGTCTTCCGTCTCGTTCTCCCGGGCAGCGTACATGGCTTGCAGGGCCTTCTGCTGCTGCTGTTCGATCTCCCGCGCGTTGGCGTTGTTGTGGTGTTGGGCGTCTACCGTGGTAGCCTCGTTGCAAGCGTCGATGCACTTGGAGTAGTCGCGCATGCCGAAGTAGATCTGCGCTTTGCGGATGTACGCCCGGATAAACTTGGGATCCTTCTTGATCGCCGCGTTACAATCCTCGAGGGCGCTCGGGAATTCGAATAGCTTAACGAAGGCTGCCGCGCGGTTGCTGTATCCTCGAGGGTCTTCCGGCGAGCGCTTGATCATTTCCGAATACGCTTCGACGGCACCGGGGAAGTCTTGCTCCTTGAATTTTTTGTTGCCTAGCTCGCGGGCTTCCTCGGCCTTGGCCGGGTCGATGTAGGCCTTCTTGGCTTCTTCGATCTTCCTACGCTCCGCGGCGCGGAGCTTGTTGACGGTATCGGGCGTCCGGTGCTCAGTCAGCGACTTTTGGTAGTTCTCGACCGCGGACGGAAGATCTCCGAGCTTCTCGTACGCTGTACCAATGCGCGCGTACGACTTAGCAATCATCTTAAAATCAGCGTAGATCTGGCGGCCTTCCTCGATCGCCTTGGTGCACGCGTCTATGCATGCCTGGTAGTCGCCTTTCTCGAAGTGAGCGGCACCCAGATTGTTGAGGTACGTGATGTCCTTGTACAGCTCCCAGGCCTTGCTGTAGTACTTGATAGCCTCATCGAAGTTTCGCTTCTTGTAGTTTTCGGTTCCTAGAGCTTTTTCCTTGTCGGCCTCTTCCTTCGCCTTCTTCTTCGCCAGCGCCTCCTCGTCCAGCTCGGGCTCGGGTTCGGGCTCGGGAGCCTTGGCCGGTTCGGGTTTGGCCTGAGACTTCGGATCAGGAGTGGCCAGATCCGGCATCTCGACATCCTCTTCGGCTTCCTTGGCACCTGAAGCGGCGGCAGCGGCGGCACCTGGCATATCCTCAGGACCTCCCATGTGCATGTCGATGCCCATCAAAACTCCTAATACCTGGATCATCCTAGGATCGCTGAACAGGTCCTGAGTATTTTGGGGGTTCTGCTGTATGGCCTGGATCTTGGCCATGAAGGAAGGGTCGGCGAAGTAACCGCTAGTCTTCGGGTTGTTCATCAGTTTCTGGAGCAGGTTAGGGTCCTTGAACATATTGCCAAGACCGCTGGCAGGATCAGCACCAGAACCGCTACCTGCACGGGAAGAAACGTCAACATATGATAACCTAGAGAGGGCTGGAGCTTGAGCTTCATGTATACGTACCAGATCCTTCTATCGCTTTTTGAACAGACTCGAGCGATTTCTTCAAGCCTGCGTTGCTGGGGTCGAGCTTGAGGGCCTCCTCGTAAGCCTCGCTCGCGCCTAAGAGGTCGCCGGAGCCATGTAGGGCAGCCCCCTTTCGTCCCCATCCTCGCGGCCACTCCGGCTTGATGCTGGTCGTTTTCTCGGCATCCTTCAGAGCGTTGTTCCAGTCTTTCTTCGAAGCGTAGGCGGCAGATCGGTTGCTGAACAAGACGTGGTTGTTCGGGTCGATGGAGATGGCCTTGGTGAAAGCGTCGCTGCGATAGTTAGTTTGGCCGTTCCACGCCCTTCTCAATGTTTGTGACTTGCTAACTTACATGGCTTGGTCAAAGTTCTTGTCGGCGATAGCTTTGTTGCCTAGAGCCTTAAGCTCGTCTACGGACGCCATGATGATTATAGTTCGCCCGAGACGTATCGGTTACCTAGTTGATCGAGCAGAACAAGCAGAACAAGCAGAAAAGGTGTTTCCGGATAGTTCAGGTTGCTTGGTTCGTAAAAGAGAAAGTTGTCGTTCGTAAACTTTGGAATGAGACAACCAGGAAGTTGGATCTTTTTAGGGCTGAATGCGTTTGAATTCGAGAGCTTTCTACGCTTTTCACAGTGGGGTATTGGCATTCATTGGTGGGGTACAAGCGGTAACATCTAAGGAAGCTGCTCTTAGCGCCCTACCAGTACCACTAAAAACTCAATTGCCTTAGATTGGATCATCGGATCGGTCTAGTGCATATTTTAGATGTATCTTTCTGCCTTATCTGCGCCCATCGATACTTCCCAGCTCTTCGGACTGCGCCTACGTGCATATGTAGTGGGTCGATTTACAAGCAAACGTCCGCGATTGGTGAGTACGATAACGATAACGATAACGATAAGAAATATTTCCAAGCTCCAAGGTTCCTTTCATCGATCTTGTTGCCGCGGGGCAGTTCTTAATTCTGTAACTGTACAGGACCTTTCGCGACCTCGATACCTAGCATCGTCATTTAAGTCCCACTAGGACTTCAACCCTTAAGATACTAGTTATGTATTCATAGCTAATATTCAACGCCTCAATGCGCTTCCACCGCGTGCAATTCTCAACCACCTAGTACTAATATCTCGACATCTGAGTCATCTCCGAAGCACCATCCAAAATGGACGACGAAACCTCCCTTCTCAAGACCCAGCTCTACGCTGCATGCGAAGACGCGTGCAGCGGGGACCCCAATAGGTTATTCTCTCAGGAAGACCTGATGGCTCTCGGCGTCGTCCCGCCGAAAGATGTCAAGAAGCTATTGCAGATCGTCCAACTTCTGACCAGGGAGCGGCTATTCGCCCCCGTCCATTTCCACAGCGGCTTAGCATGGCGAGTCCGTCCCGAAGCCGAAGCAGTCAAGTGAGTAGCGTCGTTACTCCATCCTTCTCTCTCCGCCCTACCTTCCTCGATCGCGAACTAATTGCCGCTTTAACAGATACAAATCCCTAACCTCCGAGGACCAAGTCCTCGTCTACGAAATCATCGACTCGGCGGGCCAAGAAGGCGCGTGGCAGCAAGAAATCAAGAAGCGCCTCAACCTCCAAGACAATGCCTTGCGCAAAGCTCTCAAGGAGCTGGAAGCTAAGCGCTTCATCCAGCAATTTACAACCGTCGAGAACACGTCCAAGAAGATGTGGATCAAGTTCAACCTTCAGCCCTCGGCTCGCGCGACTGGGGGTCCGTGGTATACCGATCAGTATTTGGACGAGGCCTTCATTGACGTGCTGCAGACGGTGGTGGTGCGCATCATCAAAGAGAGGGGCAGCTACAGGAGCACCGGCGAACGAAAACCCGGAAGCGTCAGCCCCGTCATGCCAAAAAAAGGGGTCATCAGGGGCGGACTATCCGAGGCCGCGATAAAAAGCAAGAAGCGAACCGCTGACGCTATGTCCCGAGACGACGCCGCCGCCGCTCCCGCTCCGGCCCCTGCCTACAAGGTTCGCGGAACCGTCCGTCTCCCCTTGCCCGCGGGTTATACCGGGTACCCGACGGCCGAGGAGATTACCGCGGAAATCATCCAGAAGCAGGTGGCGAAAGGGCAGCCGTTGAAGACGGAGCACGTCCAGGAACTGATCGATATCCTCGTCTGGGAGAACCGGATCGAGGCGGTCAAGATGGGCGAACGGGTCGGCTACAGGGCCGTGCGCATTTCGAAGCATAATCCGGAGATGGCCAAGCTGGACAGCGAGGATTTCTGGGAACCGAGGACTAATGGTTTGACGACAGTACCTTGCGGCCAGTGCCCCGTCTTCGAGCTTTGCGAGGAGGGCGGCCCTGTATGGGCCGGAGGATGTGAGTACTTTGATAAGTGGCTAGCATGATTCGATGGCGTATGATAGGATTGGTGGGTACTTTTGTTCTTTATTGCGTGGCCCTTTTTGTTCCTTGGCTTGGAAGTGGCCAAGGCTATTATCATTGCATGGCATGGCGTTCGATGGAAAAGAGGCTTGATATTATAGGCAAACAGAATTCGAGAGTGTTCATCCCCATCACATTGAGACCTTACCAAAACTCGGGGATGCAATTTCATAACTACCTCGATATCCTTGAATGGCCTCCTAAGCTTAGGTACCTTCTATCAAATTTCACTTGGTCAAACTATAATACTTCACTCCCAGATGGAGTGTACTTTGCAGGAATGTGCGACTAGCACTGTACTAGTATTTAAGATATCTATACTGAGATCCAAGCTCAAAAGCTTCCTAACCAATACAACATCTTTATCCCCTCCAATCTTTTCTCTCCCCCATCCCTTGTCGCTCTCCTATCTTCTCGCAAGTGTGCGGTAGCAATATCGAGCACCAGAACCTCGATAGGAACTAATACCTATAGGTTATTTTTCCAAGGATTTTTAAGAACTCAAAAGGGGCGTTATCTGTCTAACTAGATTTTCCACCACCTAGGTAAATCGTAGCTTATATGGCGTCTCGAATGTAGCGGGACGTGTCATATCAGCCATGACTTCTTCCCACAGCTAGTCACCAAAATGGTGAAGGACGAAAAGTTTGTCCACCTTCACTTACTTATGCTTAGCTCTGCTTGAGAAATATTTGATTGTCACCATGAATCGTTACAAACATGAGTACAAAGCCTGGAATGTTGGCAATGGCGTTGTTAAATAACAGCTCATATTTGCAAAGTGAAGATCTCCACCAGCGGCATTATATCGACAACCCTGAAACATCAATTGGTTCACTGGGCCTAGAGGTTGGTTTTCATAAGGGGAATGAGACGAACATACCTGTTCTAGTATCACAAGGAGAACCTAAGGGAATTGCTTCGCCAAGACTTGTCATTTCGATATAGTATTTCCTCTAATAATCGTACAAGTTCCTACGATGGGACGAATTCGTTTACAAAAGTGAACCCACTATGCCATTTTTAAGCTGTAATATACGGCCAACCACCCGAAAGTGAGGTATATTCGAGAACTCCGTGATCACCCCCTTTTGCTTAGAATCAATCCCGAACAGTCTCAGCATTCTCACGAAAGCTGCCAATCCGAGATAGCTGGGCTACATCATTCACGGTATGTCTGGGGTCTTACGATAACAATTAAAAAGCGAGGCAAATGTCATTGGCAACTACCTAGGTACCTAGCGCGTAGACCTGCTAGTTAAGTTGATTCTCAACTAACCACTAAAGTCTTTTTGTCCGATCCTTTTTTTTTGCACAGCCTATACCGATGCTCGGGGAGGCGATCTAGCACGGCCTTACATATTGAGTAGAAATGTTACTACACTATAACGAAGTCCGTAGCGTCTTCCTATAGCTCGCCAGCGTTGACGATGGTAGGTCGCTTGCTATATTTGATAGCACCGCTCTGGGAACCCGTAGCCTCAATAGACTTGACAACCCTTACGGAGTCGCCATTTAAGTCGACGGTGCCGAAGGGGACGTGGCGGCCGTTCAGCCATGAGGTCTTGATGGTGGTGATGAAGAACTGAGAGCCGTTGCTATTCGGAAGGATGTCAGTTACGTGTGAATGGGGCATCGGGAACGACAGATCGATATCTCAAGATATGTATAATTCGATCACCTAAAGGAGATAGTACGAAATGTTCAAAAGGGAGCTTACGTGTTGGGGCCGGCGTTAGCCATGGACAGGGTGTACTGGTCTTCGTGTTGAAGATCAAGTCTCTCATCGGCAAACTTCTCTCCGTAGATGGACTTGCCACCCGTTCCCTACCACAGGGGTTAGCAAGACCTAGACAGTTTCGCAATATATGTTTATACAGGATCAAGTAACGTACGTTGCCACGGGTGAAGTCACCGCCCTGAAGCATGAATTCGGGGATGACACGGTGGAAAGAGGATCCCTTGTAGCCGAATCCCTTCTCGCCAGTGCAGAGAGCGCGGAAGTTCTCGACCGTCTTGGGGACCAGCTCCTTCCAGAGGATCAGCTCAATACGACCGCTCTGAGCTACAAGGTTGAAAGGTTGTCAGCTTCAATTCGCCTAGAAAACAGGAGGGGAAGCACGCAATTGGTGTCTAGAAACCAATTGAGCTTCGTGCTGGAGATTTCCTGGCACGCCCACGTACGCAGCTGTATAACTGCGTCCGGTTGCGTTGGTCCAATATAGCACCGACGGAAATCCTCGAGGAGGAGCTATAACAGATAAGTTGCAGGAGGAAATTAGATAAAACATACGCTTCACGGTAGGAGTAGGGTTCAGGTCTTGGTCTAGGACGGGACCTTCCCACTCCATGTCGAGGAAGCTAGACGATATATTAACACTCTGTCCAGAGGTTTATAGAGCTATATGAAGTCCTAGAGCGAGGGAGTGATAGACTTACGCCTTGATCGTCTGTCCGCGGTTCGTCATGTTGGCAGAGCTTGCTGAAAAGAATCGAATAGATGGTTGGATTATTTGTGATGAAGGAATGGCTGAGACCCTTGGGGAGATTGAAGGCCGGAAGCAGGGAGATGAAATTGAAAATGAGGAAGAGGAGGAAGAAAACGCAGCGCGGGGCAGTCGAAAGAGGGGTTGGAAGGTCTGTCTCATCATCTTTGCGGACTGGTTTGTGAACTGTATAAGGGAGGGGTCAGCTTTAGCTATTCGACCAATCAAGTCGCCGGAACGAGGGGAGGGAAAAAAAAGCTCTTTCCGAGGGGGTTACAGGTGGGGTTGGATTTGCAGGTACCCCATTGTACCTCCTCGCGTTTCAGTGGCGAGTGTATACTTTATACACGTACCATGGAGGGGCTAACTTGGAAAAGGAGCGTGTTGTCGTCACTCGAGGCGGACTTTCCTTACACGCAGGTTACTAAGAAATACATAGGTACACCGCAACAACGATCCAATGATCCGATAACAAATTGAGCAGGAGTAAATAAACTAGAAATAAACAAACCAACCCGATTGCTTCGGGATGAACAATCGGGATTGGCATATTCGACGAAACTAACCGCGAAAAATGACATGGGGAAACGCTCGAGGAAGATATAATCAAGGCAAAAGAAATACCTCTTAACAATACAAAATTGTACAATGTCGAAGATGGAATCGGTGATCAAAGGGTAGGTATGCAAAATGTATGCAAAAGGTATGACGAGATGGCGGTATGGGGGTCAGGGGTCTTAGAGGGTATCCCATCACCCATCATTCCTGACAGGTATCTAGGTATCCGGCAGTATGCTCAAGGCCTAGCCAATGCCTCACTCGAGACTTGTCCTAAACATGCCCGACATGTTATTGTCGGCGTTGACCTACTTCGGTCCCCAGAATATCGGTCACCTTAGATCTTCGACCTCTGGCCAAGAAGAACTGAGGTTTCTTCCATATAACATAAAACCAACACAAGACGGTCAGGAAGGTCAGAGCATCACCGTAATTTCTGCATCGTCAAGCATGCAATGACGTGCTTCGGGACACTGACGATCCAAGAGTCTCCCACGTGCGTCGACCACCGTCGGATAGGGCAACCACTTCTCTGAAAAAGGACGGGGTAGTAGTCCCTCAACATTTTTCATCCTGCTCTCATGCAGAATAGTGCTTTGACCATTTGCCACGCTGGTGGGATGGACGTGATGTTTTTCTTGTACCGGTTCTTGTACCGGATGTCTGCAACGAGCATCCCACTAGAGACGCATGCAACCTCTACGTACACAACATCCACACACCAACGAGGCGGAGATAGAGGTAGGCAGGGCAAAGCTGCAGCTTGACCCCACTTCCGCCCATTCGACCCTTCGACCCTCGAGGAGTTCGGCATGCTTCGGTCTGACAAGGGCAAAAGGGGTTATGCAGCTGGCTGAGCCGTTTGACAGTGTTGGTCTTGGAAGTTGGCCAGATACTGCTGGCCAGATACTGCTCTCAATGCTGAGAACAGCGCCGTTATCCTTGTATAACGATGCTGGCTGAGTATGTTGATGTGCAATGTTGAGAACCTTTCTTTATAATGGACGATGCATTGCTGATTCCTAAATATCTCGAAGCTCCTAAGCTCCAGAGTCCAGACTCCGCTTGGAGCTGTTAGGGCTCTTTTCATGTTCAAGCTTCGAATGTGTGAATTGCAAATTCAGTACTGATGCAAGAAAACTTTTGCGTACCTCGTTATAGAGCTGCGTAGTTAAGAACCGATTCGTATGTAACGATGGGTGTATACTTGGGTACTAGGCAATAACGTTCCCTCGAGACTGGACGTTGGAGCTTCTTATGAATGGTCTTGAGCTATCAAATTTTCTATTTTGCGGCCACTTTGGAGAGTTTGATCTAGAGTGACCTCCACGTGGTCCGAGCGCCGGGGTTCGGTAGACTTACGTACATGTAGGTGTAAAAGTGACCTCTAGAGCTATTCAATCGATGGCCTACAGCTAGAAATTGCTAGTCTATTGCTTATATGCTGAGATATTAAAATATCTCGAATTTAGTAAGCTGGAGATGCTATGAAGAAAGATATTCAAGATCACCTGGCATTTCTCTTCTTTTATTCAAGTATTGCAGTTTTGCACCTACTAGTTCTAGTATGTAACCAAAACCTCTACGAGGTCACGTGACATATCCCGTTCGCTGACGTAAGGAGTCTGAATCCTTGTACGGATAGCTTGTCAAGGTGGTCACTGCACGATTCCGTCAGGGGTCCGAAGACAAGAAGGTGCCAAGTGCGAAAGATCAAAGTGTCAGTTTCCCGATGCAATCCCAATTCATCTAACCCAAACAAAAATAAAGACGACGTTAACCTCAGCCTCGTCAACTCGTCAACGTCCTTTACGAATCTGATATCTACTTACTTCTACCACTTGCCTCCGTAATTACCTAATCGTTTTACTTGCCGTCCCTCGTTGGGACGAAAAGCCCGTAGCCCAAGATGGATTTCAACAGTCTCAAAGACCAAGTGAGCAACCTCACCTTATATGACCTCAAGGCCGGTGTTCGCAAGGTCCAAAATGGTAATCGTCTCCCTACGCATGATGGCATATCGCGCAAAGCTAGATACTGATATCCGCGGCTTACAGCTGTCATGAATTACACCGAGATGGAGGCCAAGGTTGGTACCCCTAGGTCGATACCGACCGAGAACAACACGTTAATCTTGGCGCGCGACAGGTGCGAGAAGCTACTAATAACGAACCGTGGGGCGCGTCGTCGACCCTCATGCAAGAAATCGCGAACGGCACCTTCAATTAGTACGCAATCACCTTACCCGTCCCCGTCCCCGTCCCGTCGACTCGTCGTCGTCATGCTAACCTGGTCGGTGTCAGCCAAACTCTCAACGAGATCATGCCGATGATCTATCGCCGTTTCACCGAGAAGTCCGCCGAGGAATGGAGGCAGATCTACAAATCGCTTCAGCTACTCGAGTTCTTGATAAAGCACGGCTCCGAAAGGGTCATCGATGATGCGCGAGGTCACATCACGCTCCTAAAGATGCTGCGGCAATTCCACTTCATCGACCAGAATGGTAAAGATCAGGGCATCAACGTCAGAAATCGCGCGAAGGAACTTGCCGAACTACTCGGCGACGTCGAACGGATCCGAGCAGAGCGAAAGAAGGCCAGAGCCAACAAGGCCAAATACACGGGAGTCGAGGGCGGCTCCATGGGAGGCTTCTCTTCCGGCAGCGGAGGTCGCTACGGCGGCTTCGGCAGCGATTCCGGTGGTTTCGGAGGCCCTTCCGCGGGTTACGGTGGCTATTCGGGCGGCGTGTATGGCGACGGCGGCGGCTTCGGGGGCCAGTCCGACGACTGGAGAGAAGGCGGCAGCAGTCGCGCGGACAAGTTCGAAGAGTACGACGAATTTGACGAAGGAACCGCGCCGTCGAGTTCCGCCAGGGCGAAGCGACCTGAGCGGACCGAGAGAATCGGCGTCAAGAAGACCACGCCTGCCGAGCCGCCGAAGAAAAAGGAACCCGAAGTCGATCTCTTCTCCTTCGACGACCCCGAACCTGCGCCGGCTACCTCGGCCGCCGTGCCCGCTCCGTCCAACGGCGCTTCCGCCCTAGCCTCCTTATCGACTGCGAACAACGACGACGACGACTTCGACGACTTCCAATCGGCGGCGCCTGCGACCTCGAATAATGCGGGCATCCCTCCGATGGTGACGTCGAGCGCCCACTCTACCGCCCAGTTTGCCGCGCCGAAGCCTCTGTCCGGACCGCAGCAAGCCAACTTGACCGACATGATGTCTGCGATCTCGCCGCCTGCAAGCTCCACCACTACGCCGGCAGCGAACTACTCCGCTTTTGGCCTGCCAACCGCCCAGGCACCGAAACCAGCGGTCAGCTACCAGGCGACGGCACCTAATTATTTCCAGTCGGTCCAGGCGCAGCCCACAGGATCGTCCATTTCCGGGATGTCAGCGTCTGGTGCATCTGCGCCTTCCGGTATGTCGTCGCTCAATAGACCAGCCGGTCAACCGGCGGCGAAGCCGGCCGCCGGAGGTGACCCCTTCGCCAACCTCTGGGGCCAGGCCGGAAGTGGCGTGAAGAAGGCGAGCACGCCCGTGGCCGGCCCTAAGATGGGCCAACTTGCTAAAGAGAAGACTAGCGCCTCCCTCTGGGGCGCTCCTGCGACCGGCACGTCGAAACCGCCGACGAGCACAGCGACCGGCAGCAGTGGCTTGGACGACCTGTTAGGATGAAAGAGTAGGGCGATCCGGAGCGAGGGTCTGGGCGCCCAACGAAAGATTGAGGAATCTGTATATCACATCGGCAACGCCGATAACTTGCAATACGTCTCGGGGCCTAGATTTTGAAAGCTGATGGTGAAAGATGTTCTTGTTTTGAAAGTGGTGTCGAATTGATGGACTTGACGCATTCGCAAAAAAAGGCGTCGGGGGGTAAAAGAACTAGGAAAATTAAAACAATGCCAACTTACAAACCAGCGCTGCCGTCTACCTTACTGTCTAACCCTTAGATGATTTCGCCTAAAAAGGGCCACGGTGCGTTGGCAAAGTCCTACTGACAAGTACATACGCGTAGGAAAAGAAATGGTATTCATGCGACTTAAAATATCTTATGATATCGTGTCACCTCAACCATAGTCTCGCGATATCACGACGTAATGACTTAGATATCATATACGTCGCTTCCGTTTCAGGTCGAGATCAACTCTGTGATGATAGGCTATCCTAGCTTCGACAGCTTCCAGCTAATTTCCACTACAGGTCGGTTGGCTAACGACGAAACCTGCAGCTCGAATATAGCTACTAATCTGCATGACGACGGAGCCGCCTTACCAGGCCGACGGGCCTGACTTCGCCTCATCCGTCAATGTCGGCTTAAGAATGTCGCACACAGATTAGAAACTTTATGGAAGAGGACGATCTGCCAGTTCATTGGTCGACAACCCACGAACCTCTTGAAACAAACATTATCGTATATGTTCTCCACGTTGGCGGCTAAGAATACCGCGCCGTGCGCATCTAGTGGAAACCGACCGTTAACCGCGGCCCGCGCTTAACACCCTTGAGTGACCCACCGATCTCATCTCGCCTCGACTAAGTCTCCGGCCAATCAGAATTCGCCGATGACCATCCTCCTCACCGTGGTCGAGACGACGCTAGGCGACTACACCTCGATTGGCATACCTTGACTAGCAATGCGGTATCCGCAACAGCCATATCCGCGACGACATGGATATCTCATGCCGGGTCTCTGATGGAAGGATGTTCGCAGCTGTACAATACCTTAAGCGCAATGCCGATCATCTCTTCCCCGATTGGATACGCCAGCGCGTCTTGATTCCCGCCATCATCTGTACCAAGTGCCGACTAGGTGCTTTCCAAAATAGGATCGCGTACGGGGATGGTCGGGCAGTAGTAGCCAAGACGTAGTTGGATACTCAGAAGCTGCGCCTAGACTTACCCCGGTCAAAATACGCGTAGGCGATTAGATGAAGGTCTAGACAGACGACCCTTGTCTTATACAATATGACGATGAATAGATATTTAAGATGTAGAGCTCCCCGACAGTGAATTCTCTTATCCTTCCGTACCTCACGAACAAACCAATATCATCACATTCTCAATCTTTCCCTTGAGTCTTTCTCTTTTTCCTTTTCTTTTTTCTTGTTTCCTATCTGTCTCTCTTTTGTAGGGGGTTACTATAACGGTCACTATTACGAACGCAACGCAAAGTCTTTAGATTTCGACGTCTCCTTCTCTAAGTCACACGAAACGAATTTCCTACTTACGATCTTCTCGGATTTTCTATCAGTCGTTTTCTCGCAGTAGACCTGCCCTCAGCTCTAAAACTCACTCTTTCGAATTTGGAAACCCACCTGCTTACTACTCACTGCTTCGGTTTCGAACCGCCACTCATTCACAATTCTCTCCTCAACCCCCCAACCGTTTCTCCCATATCCGCGGCGGCGTCTTCCCATACGCACCATCCTCAAACTCGACCGTCCTCGTCCCAAGCTTTCACTAATTACCAATTTCGAGACGAGCATACCCCTGAGAATGCGTTTCCAGGCCCCCCAACTCGGCGCCCTAGGCGTAACCTTCACGGCTTTCCGAGCCATGCAGTTCGTTTCGCTAGTCGCTATCATCGGCATGACATCCAACTTCATCAACGATATCGTGACTTCCAACCGCGACATGCCAGACGTGCTCGTCGGTACACTCTCCGTGGTACGTATACTTACGTGTAAATTCGGACACAACCCCTTAGCTAATCCCTACTTAGACAAGCATCGCGACGCTCTACGTCTCAATTTCTTATATTCTCTATTACGACGGTCTCCTCCCTCTCCTTGTGGCAGGCGGGATCGATTTCGCTCTCCTCGTAGCCAGCATCGTCGTCGCCGTCACCATCGGCAAACCTCTATCTATGCTCAAGTGCGAGCTGCTTCCCCAGCCCGCCGAAACCACTCAGACGTTTACGGTGTCGATCTCGGCTCGCGACGCTTCGGCGGCTACCAAATATAACAACTACCTGGCACTCATCACGACCGACCAGCCGCACTGTTACGAGATCAAGGCTGTCTGGGGGTTGAGCATCGCGCTGTGCGTGCTATTCGCCTTTTCGGGCGTCATCTGCGTCGGACTCTGGCGCCGCATTAAGTCCGGCGGCGCTGGCGCTCCCAAGGACATCGAAGGTTAGGGGCGCGCGGGCGCGCGCGGGGACTCGGCGGGGGCAGTCGCAGTCGAGAAACCGTTCCGGGGTGACTTCGGCCCAGATCGGCAAGTTTCGGGGCCAACCGCACTCGGAACCCGGCTCCTCTCCGCAAGGGATCCGGGACCGGGTCGATGGGCCCCGCCCCCTCCTCTCGCAGCCCCCGAACCCGCGCGTCGCCCCCCTATTCTTCGATCCGTCGACGAAGATCTTCGACCGGCGCCGCCACCCTCCGTGGTGGTACATGCAAACGCCAACGCAGGCCCGACTATTGTCACAGGGCAACAACCTCCGATTAGCAATTTTCCTCCTCCCCCTGCTCCGGCTGTTTTGCCCGCGGCAACGGCCCGTTCCTTCGATCCGTCCAGCGACCCCAAAGAGGACTACATCCCCATCGTGCACCAGACATCTCTCGACGAGACCAGCACTAAATCGAAGGGGAAGATGCCTGCTCCCCCTATCGCAATCGTAATCCCGCCCACCCCGAGCGACGACGGCTTCACGCCCGTCACGCCGACGCCGGCGTCGCCTCGGGTGAAAGGATTCCGACTCAGCCGGGCTCCTCCGCTCCCCCCATCTCCAAATGCGCTCGGCATATCGGTTCCTGCGGGCAAGAAGTTCGTCCGCGCACAGAGCATGAAGGCCGAGATCTGCCACGTGGACGACGACACGACGCCTTTAAGCCCGACCAGCGGTCAGGATTTGGAGGCGCAGATGGTGACGATGACGAGGCCGAAACCGAAAAGGAAGACGCTGTGGGGGGTTATCGAGGGGTGGTGGGACTTGGGTTTATTGGAGCGCGGGAAAAGTTTAAGGCGTAAGGGTTAATGTGTATGTGAACATGGTTATAGTAATGGATGAGGTGTAGGCAATGGATGGTCGGTCTGGTTGGGGATGGCTGGAGTTTTTGATTTCTGATATTGAGCAAGAAAACATTGGTAGAGATTGGTTTAATAGGCAGCATTGGTAATATCTAAATAAGCATAGAAAACATGAATCAAATTAATAAACCCATCGATGCTAGGTTAATCCGTTTAAGATATTATTTCAATACTTTCCTTGCTTTCTTTTTTCCGCAGGCAAATATGGGAAACTCTATTATAATCGGCATACCTAAGGATGCAAAACATTGCGCCCAGCGCCTCTAGGAATAAATCCCAGCTTTGCGGTCGTGGAATGTGTCTCCATGGAAAAAGACAGTCAAGCCAAAGAAGAATGATTACCTAAATTTGACGATAATACAAGAAGGTTGTTACAAACTCACGACACTCAATCCTGTCTTAAGCAATCTTCAAGTAGATACGCGGACACGCTTTTTGGGGCCGCATTCCACACGATCCGCTCTTTTTCTCTTGGATTCGGGACTACTAACTCTTGCTCGAGCTAGACCCGTTCTTTTCCTCGGACCGGGGCGCGTCAGATTCTGCAGTAGAGCCGACAGGAACCCCCCATCCGCCTTCGCCTCATTTCTATCGATCCGCTTCCCATCCTGTAAGGAATATTCGCTGAATAGGTCGAAGTCGCTCCAGGACCATATTTCAATTTTCTTGTCAGGTACGCGTCTAGCATCGATGTAATCGACAATGTTGACTAGAACCTTCTTAAGCTCTCGCCTACACTCGGTGATGGTATCTCGCTGTTCGACGCCGATCTCCCGGCACATATTTTGGTAGATGTCGAGCTTTTCTTGCTCACTCAGCGAGTCTTTGCCGAGTTCGGGGATAGTCTCTAACGGCGTGGCGTCCTTGGGCTGCGAGGAATAATGAAATTTCAACTCGTCACGAATCGCCCTAGTCCGCTGTTTCCGATATTCTTGAGAGCCAGAGACTATACCTTGGGAAGAAGCGAATCTGCTAAATTCATCGTCAAACGAGGCATTGTTATCGGGCTCGAAGTTGGGGAATTGGTCGAAGTAAGACTGCAACGCCGGCGGCGGTACGAAGGTTGCGTCGTCTTCGGCCTTGACAATACCCGGACTGGGGCGGTTTGAGTCTCCCGAGGATATGCAGGATACGGAAGGACTATCCGGCAGAGGGTCCTCTTCTTCATCTTCCGTCTCGCTTTCGTTCGAAGCAACAGCATCGCCAACAAACATGAGAGCTTCGTTGTACGTGTCAAAGCCTTTGAATACCGCACCAGAAAACTTAGAGACTTGTTTTTCACATTCCTCCCAGGTTTTATATATTCCGGGCTCCCTACCGATGCGGACAGCATAATAATTTGGCTTCTTGCGCTTAGCCATCTTGTCTTCTTCAAATGATTATTTACTTCCAACAGAATAACGCGTCAACGCGTCTTACTGTATATGCATACAAGGGATTTTGCTTTTGGGGTATATACTGGATAAGTGAACATTATATGCTTAAGTAGTATGTATATCAGCCCTGGTCCGAACTTCAATACTTCAATACAACCATTTTCACGCACCTTACGATACTAAAAGCGAGAAAGAAAAGAAATCAAGGATTGACGTTACGGAAATATCTGAAACTATCTATCTTCATATCTCGCTAATTTTCTCTCGTACCTAAACTCCAAGTCTAACATCTAGACGTTAGTTTTGTTCGAATGCTTAAACCTCATCAACCTTTGCGGCCAGATTCCCTGCTTCCCGGGTGACAGAATGCCGTTAGGATCCAAAGATTCCTGAAAAGAAGTCAGTACTCTCCCCGAGTTACTCCCTGATGAAAAGTAAACGTACCTTCAATGTCTCCACAAAACGGCGGTAGGCGTGATTGTTGAAATCGAATAAGTCGGCGTTCAAATCTAGTATAGAGCATCAGCTCTTGTTCCTTGAGAAAATACCCGAGTGGGCAAGTTCGGGATCGGCTTACCCATGTGGTTAATATGTGCTCGATACTTCGCAAAACCTCGCTTGCTGCCTTGTTCGAAAAGGTTATTGAAGACTTTATCCACGCCGATCCGTTGCTCTTCGCTGGTCTTGTCAAAGCAGAGCATAGTGACAAATATAGCGTACTTCTCGTGCATGAAAAAATCGCACAGAAAATCAAAGCCTTGCTCGGCGCAGATTGCCTTGGCCGTCCTAGCCCATTCCAGCACGGTCTTGCCATCTAGGGGTAAGATGGGAGAGTATGCCCCGTGAGCCCCGACTGAGTCGTCGCGAAGGTTATAATAGTTCACCATCGGTATATTCCACATGCTGGGGATTCCCACCCTGATTCCGCCGTAGAGCGGATCGACGGCTGTCGCCTCAAGAAGCCCGCCGTCTTCGCTAGTGAATAAGGCCTGGCGAAGACGGCCGACGGGAGCATCCTTGGCTACCACCCGCTGGACCTCCTCGAACTGAGCCTTGACGAGCGCCGTCGGCCCGTAGAGCCCGAACTTCACGGTCCAGATGCCGGCGTCTAGATCTTTCTGCATCTCTTTCAGTCTCCAGTCGGGAATCGGGCCCTCTCCTTTCCACCACTCCGAATGTTTGCCAAACATGGTGGCCCATTCTGCGATGTAGAAAACGTATACCATGTACGGTAAAATACCGTTGCGTCTGAGTTTTCCGAAGACGTCAGTAACGATTTCGATGTGCTCGAACTCGGGAACGTCGAAAGAGCAGGCCATATAAGCCTGTGGTTGCGGCGTCAGGTTGATACCCATTTTGGTTACTATTCCGAGATTGCTCTGTACGAAGAGTCCGTCAATCGTAGGGCCAAAAGTCAGCTTTGTTAAATGCGCCGACGGCGAACTGGACATGGCAAATTGACCCGTGCGGACGACGTCGCCGTTCGCGAGGACGACTTCCATACCGGCCACATTTTCGTGATGTACTCCGGTCGGGATGAACCCCATACCTCTATCAAGCGTCTACGACTGTTAACGCAAATCCCCCTTCCTCTGTCAAAAGCGGATACCCACGTTACCGATGACGCTTCCCCACCCGAGCGAAGCTGTGCTTGGCCAGACCCCGAGTTTGTTTTTCGAGCAATACTCGTACAGGTCTCCGAAAGTGACTCCGGGCTCGACTACTGCGTAGCTAAATTTTTCGTTTACCTCTAAGATCTTGTTCATCCGGTGCAGGTCTAGAGCGATGCATCCGGGAACACGTGGTGCCGGTCCTCCGTAGCTACCCTCTCCGTCAGCTTTTCATCTTCAGCTCATCACTTTATCCGCACAATAAATTGGAACAAATGATACCCTAAATTCTTTCCTCGGGACTTGATAGCAAGAGTTAGTATATCTCTTTGAGAAGGAATTTGACATGTTTAAGCATCCCCCTAGTCTTTTGACTACAAGGTTCCGCGTCCAACTCCGGAAAAGGGGAAGTCTTGAGATTACATACAAATGTCCAAACTGGAATTTTGTGATCGTTTACGACCTTTAGCACAGCTTGAAGTTCCGATACCGAGGATGGACTGCCCGAAGAGTCAACCACTCGTGTATCAGTTAGCCGACCCATAAGAGGAGCTTACCAAACCGCCGCGCTCGGCACGCTTCTTTCGTGCCCAGCTTCGGGGATCTCGTAAGGGTCGACATAGTCCCTTAAACCTTGGCCGCTAAACACGGCATCTTTTCCAAGGGCTTCTATGAGCTGCTCTAGAGCTAAGGCGAACTCTTCCTCCGACACATCTGGTGGCAAGGCTGTTTTGATTTTCTCGAAAAGCGGCTTTGAAAAAGCCTCGTCATGAGCCGTTTGATATAAGGGATCTGAGTATTTAAGTCGTAAGCTGGCAGCCATGTCGCTCAAATTTTGTTGGATGAAAGTAAGGAAATCACCGTAGGAAAACGAACATCACAAATGATAGAACGTCTCTTTTAACCTCGGCGCTCAAGCCGCTTAGCTCTCATGATCGCCATGCCTAATATGCGGAGATAGCAACGATGGCCCACCAGAACAAGGGGTATTCTCTACCTACATATGGATATACCCGTACAACTTCCCCGACTCGAATTCGGCAGTTGTGGGTGAAGCTACGGCAATAATCATCAAGTCAACCAGCACGGGAAACGCAGAACCAAATCGAACCACCAAAGTCCGTGGAAGTTTAGCGCATTGGCACTCATATATTTTATTTCTATCCCGGATAAGGATTAACTATCTAGTTAATAAACAATCTCCCCATTGCGCAAACAAATACAGGCAAAGGCACGACACCGACGAACTAAAACATAAATAAACAAGACGCACAATCGCGCCAGCTGCACCGAGATCCGCTCATCCATCTTTTGATCTCTCCCCCGTCCCCTCTCACCCCGTCCTTAATTTAAAACTCACGCTCCGGCGTCGGCGAGCGCGCTATCGACGTATTCGTGAGCTTGGCGTAATGCTTCGGCCGCCGCGTCATCCACCGACGTATTACTGAATGTAGCGTAATATAGGAATCCGGCAAGGTACGTGAGCGTGATAGGGATGCCGATGATGACCCAAGCCGAAAAGTGGTCGCCCTTGCGGAGAAGACCTTGTACGATTTGGACCGTGCAAAAGAGGGTAAAGATAATATAAGGGAGCTTGTTGTAGATGAGGTATTTGATGAAGGTAGCGCCGACGAAGAAGGAGGAGAGTATTAAAAAGACGGCGCCGATACAGAGAATATGCCAAAATGATTTCCTGCACGCGGAGGATAACGCCTTGATCACCGTCCAGAGCAAACCGACCAACCCGTTCGGTTGTTTGGCAAGCGATTTCAGGTGGTCGTCCAAAGTCTGCGCCTCAACATAATCTTCTTCCGGATATATCAAACCCTGCTTGTAAACGACCCAGCAGTCCGTGAGGTTGACGACCTCCTGGCCTTCGCTGGTCTCCTTGTAAGCGTCCCAAGTCACCGTCTCGTCGTAATCCCTCAGCTCGGCCATGCCCTGGCCTTGGTTGATCGGACGGTAGCGCGTCAGCTTGGGGAACACGGCGAACTTGACCTTGGCGCCACGGATCCGGTGGTATTCCATAGTACGGCGTTCTTCCTCGTTCTGAGGAAGTTTAATAGGAGCTCCGGTGCGGTTCTGAGCCGGTCGCCCGGCCATAGATTCCGTAATGTACTCGGTCCAGTACTTTTCCTGCTCCTCGTAAAACGCCTTAGATTCGCGGTATAATTGCATATCGGACTGCTTCTCGATGTCGTAGTCCATGCGCGCGCCGGGCGTGGCGGATAAAATATGGAAGATGCTAGGCGAGACGGCCATGCAGACCTGGATCAATCCCGCGTGCGCAAGTATGGCGTGCACTTCTTGCAAGAAGCACTCCTGCGAGTACCGGCTCATCGGATCGTTCGGGACGACCTCCTTCATCACGTTAAGCAGCGGCAGGAAGACCTTCAACGTCTTAGCCGCCAAGTCGTCGACCCTGTTCCAGAAATTGCGCGGTAGCAGGCGTCCTTCCAAGCCGTATCTCGCCGTGATAGCGCGAGCAGCCTTGCGGCCGTACCCTTTGACATGTTAGCAAGCTGACTCTAAGACATCAAGAGGGGAAAGGGTGGGAGAAAACTGATAAAAACCAAGTTAAGATGACTAACCTTCTTTTCCTAACCATAGACTATCTAGTCTTTCCAGCTCCTTCTCGATAAGCTCGTCGGCTCCGAAGCAGAGCTCATTAAATATCTTCTTTTCCATGATCTGAGCCAAGATACCGACTACGAGCCATTTTCGCTGCGGACCCTCGTTTAGGATGGCGGGCCACCCACCAACCTTTTGGTCTTCTTGGACGACGAGGCGGGAGTACTCGGTGAACTGCTCCGTCAGGAGCATGCTCCAGATCTGGTTGGGCCCTTGCTGCGATTCCGTGATATATCTCAGGTCTACGCGCGCGTCGAACCACTTATTTGCGAAGAGCACTGTGTTCCTGTAGAGGGACCGCCACTGGCGCGAGAAGAACGCATCGTCATAGTCGCCGGGATGGGTCGCCCTGCCGAGAATTTCCTCGACGTTGATATGCGCGGGACGTACGTCATCTCTTAATTCATTGTCTAGCATGTACGCGCCGGTTCTATATGACCTCTTCATGCGCCTCGAGTCCTCGTCGGGGTCGATGACATCGTCTCTGTCGTTAGGCTCGGCAGCTACGATATCCGTAGTGTCCCACTCGACCCAGCGTCCCTCCTTTTTCGCCGCTCTGACATGTTTATAGAACGGACCCCATTTCTTGTCGGGGTCTCCAAAGATTCCCGACCACATTAACTCGACGACGCCCTTAGGATAGTCCTGCACATCTCCCTCTCTCGGATAAATCGCAGGCCGGACATTTGCCTGGGGTGTCGTGTTAGTAGTCCCTCCGGTGCTACCGCCGGGACCCCAGACGCCTGGAGTGCCAGGTGCTGCCGCCGATGTCGACATGTTCGTTGAATTTCTAGGTGTGTGATATAATTGCGTAATACTTGTCCCTGATATTTGCCAATCCTCCTAGCTGAAGTTGATACACGCGAAGAAAAAGAAAACAAAATTGTCCTACGATTTTAGTGGGATCTAGTGACGGCTCGAATACAGGAGTTTATGAGTTGCCGATTAAAAAAGGCCGCCCTTAACAGCGCTCAGAAAAGTTACTTGGCGAACAAAGACTACCAAAGCACAATGCTTTCGAGACAATGACCGAGTTTCGCGATCTGTGATTGGATGTTTCCGTGTGGTTCTTACCGGATTCAGTTATACAAGTGAACGGTCGCATTCCAAAGGACCGCAAGCAGCCCGACAACAACTCCTTTCTTTTACGTCGCAAAGAGTAGTCAACTAACAAAGTCAGAGTAAATTTATTTGCTTTCATATTGCCGCGAGGGCAACGAATAGAGAAGCTTCCAGAAATATAAGCCAACGCAAAACAGATTGGATATATCCTGAGGAAGGAGTCAAAGAATCGGGATATAGCTCTTCGTTCTTTTGTCCGTACTCTATTTCTTTCTCGTCTGCTAGGTAAACATGAAAGGTAGGTCTCTATCTATCTACAACGTTAGTTACCAAACACAAATCCGCTTAAAGCCAATTGTATACTAGGAGGTGCCGCGGGTCCCTTACTCCTTTATCCCTTCTTTTTTTCTTTTTTTAGGCTGGGTGATATTGCTGAGGTTGGCCGGGAACTTCGTAGATGGGCTGGCCAGGGTTCACGATCTGCTGGGGCTGGACGTAAGAGTTCCCGGTGGGTTGAGCCGACAGAGGAGAGGGCGAGTTCTGCGGGTAGATGACTTGCTGGGGAGGAAGGTGCCCTGCTGCAGGCACAGTCTGCTGAGGGTAGACCTGATTGGCCTGAGGCTGCATCTGGAACTTCTCGCCGTCGGTAGGCACTACAGCCGCACCCGGAACACCGCCGGACGCTACGTTCGAAGGCATAGCCCTAAGCCCGGCCTTGCGGTGGCGGTGTAGCATAACGCCGTGTACGGAGAGCGAGATGACGTAGAGGAGGCTAGTTAGGTAGCGTTAGAGTTATATATACATTTACAAGGGGCACGATTAGGCAACCTACAACTCGACGCCACCTAGGCCCGCAGCACCAGCCAAGCAGCCGATGTAGGTCTTAATCGCCGTGTCGTAACTACTCAAGTCATAGTAGTCATCGTAGTAGTCGCTGTAGTCGTCGTAGTACACGAATGCCGCCGCAACCTGAGCAGCGAGGAGGGCAAACGAGATCAGCCAAAAGATGACGAGGAAGATATCTAAGCCGAGTATAGCCCAGTAGTTAAAGGCCTTCGGAGGGCCAAAATTCGCAACTAGGCAATATATGCTAGTTATGATAGTCGCAATCGCCTATAGACCCTATCAGCATCGTCTTCGTTGATTCACTCCAAAGTTGGGTGTCGCATACGGTAAATAACATCAAGGCATCTCCCGCAAAGACTAGGTAAGCAATGCCAAAGGCACATAACCCCAAGCAGACGATGCTGAGAATTAGCTGGATTATCCGGACGGCGACAAAGCCTTTGGGATAGAGAGGAATGTGCTCCTTACCAGGAGCTCGCTGGTTGGAATACTTCGAAGGCGGTTGCTCCATGACGGACGAAGAAGCTCCGAGGAATAATGTACCGTGTAGAGGAAACTCGACGCAAAAGTGGACTAACAGCAAATGACGACCACGAAGAGAAGGACGGGACGTTCATCACGGAATAAAGGGGGGATCCATCGTGCTCATATGCATCTATAGACCCTGTCGACTCTGCAGACTAGAGGCCTCGTCCGCTAACCAAAAACATTAGCCTGCTTCGCGATAGGGGGGGCTGTAAGGCAGGTGGAAGGGCAAGGTAGACATCAACAGCGAAAGGCAGATTTCAGTTCCTAGGCCAAGCCAATTGGGACAAAACAAACGCCACCCTGCAACAAGTCATCTAGCCTTCTAAGCTAAAGTCCAAAGTCCCTTGGCTGGGACAAGGATAACGACGAATGGCGATTACCTCGCAACGAAGAAGGGACCCGCTCAGAACGCTTAGATCCTTAGGATCTGGTATATAAAATGAGATGGGGTATTGCGGCTTCATACTGCATAGTACATAACGGCAACCTATCACTGACCGAGACGACAATGGAGATTGGAGTCATGTTTTTATTGCGGCTGAAACTAGGATCATACTTTGAAAGCTATAACGCCCATCCCTGTCAGCTGAGAGCAGATCATATTGGTCATCTCCAAGCTGCAGCAACGCGATGTCACCGTATAAGATAGCGTTTACCCTCAGGCTTTCTTCAGCAAATTTGTCAGTTGGGCAGTCTGCCAAAAAGGGAGTCACGAACGAAGCATTGCTGTGTACAGGCACCACCGAGCCCGCTTACTAGTCGAGACGTTCCCGCTCGGACGAAGGTGTCGTTTCGGGCCAGTTCTTGACCACGAAAAGCGTCATGATTCCAAGCGCCGCCACTCTTTGTGGGTAAATATATCAAATCAAAACGAGAGGCTTGCGGCTGAGAGAAATTTTCGCGACTCCTAATGAGCTGGAAACTTGGCACATAAGCCGAGAGAGGAGAGCCAAGCAATAAGTTTCGAATAGCTCATTGTATAACGTCGTATCTTTCACAGCCGTGCTTATAAGAATGAGTTTCAAGCTGGCGGTGGCGTCAATTCAGTAAGAAGAATTTCCGACAAGTGAATGAACTTGAGATGATACCGCAAGTACTAGCCGCTAGCAGCTAAGGGAAGCGAAACGGCTTTCTATTGGTTTATCGAGACGCCAAAGATCTTGACTGAGCTTAGCGTATACGGCATATCGCACTGAATTAAGGCTTGGCATCGCTTCAAATTGGCAGGGTTAAATCAACGGCCGATCTGGTCCTGGGCAGAGGTTCTTAACACAGCGCCAACAATTTCGACTAGGGGTTTAAAGACTTTATTATTTCCTTCTCCTGTTGTTGGTTCAGCGAGAAGCTACCTATCGCCAGAGAGATTCGTCCACGAGGACGATGTTGGCGATAAAGGGCAGGATGCGTATATACGCATCATCGTGTAGTCGACGTTCGAGATACCGGGGAACGAACGGTTCGCCAAAGGTTTTATAATCACAATTGTCCCATATTCATCTCCAAGGTAAGATCTCTTTGTCTTTCTGCTTCATCGATCTCGTTTTGGTTAATTGGTAAGTCCGGGAACTTTCGATGACTTGGTGGAAACTTCCTCGGAATTGACAGAAGTGGTCGATGGTAGTGGTAAACGATTCGACTAGAAGTTGTTTCGTAATCGTCTTAAAAATGCCCCTTACACTTCGAGTGCTTATAGAGCTCTTGCTTGAGCATAATAAGCCCCTTGAATTTTTGGACTATCTTTCAAGAGCGGCGTAGACATGATGAGCGGGTCGAAGTAATGAAATAGTATAACCTAAAGTGGATACGATGTGGTTGGAGATTGATGATAATGTGGTACGGAGTTCAAATAGCTATGCAAAGATTCTTCTACTATTTTATATCCGACTTGTTGTCGGATTCGAGATGGGGAGGACACGGAACCAACAACAGTATAATCACAACATTCTGAAATGCTAGAATCCCAAGAGCTACGATTATAAGATTAAAATATCAGGTACTTAATAAATTGCCTACTAGGAACATATATATTCAACCAACCTTAGAAGTAAATGAGCACAATTGATAATTGCTGAAAATCCAACAAGCAACGACATCAGTGAACTTCGTCATTCTCTCTACGTGAGAGGTGGATTATGAACTCCATTTCAATGCCTCCCTTATATTCATAGATATAATAAGTCTAATTAAACTTATCATCTACTATACACTGTTGGTCGGGATAAATAACCGGGAAGGGTTATAAATTGACAAAGTGCCGCGCGTACTCTCAGGGAATATACTTACCAACAAAGAAGTTATGGGAAGAAAAGTGAGGGGATACACAATGACCTTCATGATACTCCAAGGCTCACCGAGCAAGTAATTAAGTGTTAATAAACTATCATGCCGTGACCTTAATAAAGACCGACGAATACATTGTCCATCGCTCCCGAGCGACTTGAGATTAATTTTAGAATGATGAAGACCATAAATCGATGACTAACTTGGGTATGGACCAGTACCACGGCACGATTGCGGTTGTTGCAGGGACGGCCTTCAAACTCAGGAATGAACTCTATAGACGGATGCTATGTCCCCTTAGGTATATTCAACATATGCGCGTAAAGATTAACCACGTGGGATTTAAACTTCTACATAGTCAGATCTTGAAACTACCTCTATTTGCTCATGCGATCTTGAAACTTACCTCCGCACCACTTTGACATCATATCCCTCACGTCCCCTTTTATCCAAAGCTTAATTTTGAGGGGTCCATCCCAGGAAGCTGGAAACACTTTGAGGATATCTTTTTCGATCACCTCATTGGCATCTTTTGTCGAAAGATCATCTACCCAGGTATTCGTTCATTTATCCACCCGACACTTAAAATCTCGTTTGAAATAGGGGATAACGTCTCTCAATATGCCTGGACACTCTCCTCTAAGTTCAGATCCTGTCCCTAAGACGTCGTCTCACTGGTCCGAGATCGAAGATAACATTCTGAAGCAAGCGGTAGCACGGCATGGCGTAAGTCATTGGGGTGATGTCTCGAAGTTTATCTGGACGAAGAAGAGCGCCGAAGAATGTCGCGCGCGGTGGGCGGAGATAGTTCCTCTTCTACACGACGGGCTCGCGCAACGTGAACACGATCTTGGACAGCAGCGTCGTAAAAGAAGTATGACGGCTTCAGCGTCGGTGTCAGAGGCGCTCCAGAGTGACGAAGCAACATACTTCGAACCACTACCACCACCGCTGATCCGAGGATGGGAAAATCCGGGACTAGAGGAATCTGCTCGGAGTGCCCGGGGTATTCAGAGTGCGGCTAAGGATACATCAGATCTCCAGCGCCATACCGAACCTCCTTCCCCTTCACTCCGAGTACCGTCAGCAACGAAACCTCCCCCGTCATCTCTCACGGCAGCCCTGTCTGCTAGAGGACGTCGCAACACCGAACCTGGAGCTCGGCCACCCCAAACAGCCACGGGTTCTAACGTAGGAGAACGGCCGGGCAGAGAATGGAGAGCGCCTCATCCGCTAATGCCGGGACGGTCCCGCAAACCATCTGTCCCTGCAAAACACGGCGGCGTCGAGGAATAAGTACCTACAATGACTGATTAGCTGATCACCCCGACAATATAACGACTCGCGGGGTATGCCGCTTAGTTCGAAGGTCTAATATCCTACTGTTCAATTAGCGAGCAGGCAACGGCAAGAAGCATAGAAAGACAGAAAATAGAGCATATGGACGAGCTGTATACCCGATAGCTGCGGCTAATTTCGTCTCGCCATCTCTCAAAATCACTCAAGACATTATATCCAAATACACAGTTTTCGAAAGCGAAAACTTGACTTTATACATAGTCAATTAACCCGACGTCCGACCAAGTCCCTCTAGCAGTGTAAGATGTGTAATTTACAGTAATCGCCGGCTTCGTTCTCGTCCGTAATCGTCACCTCCTCGCAGGACATTACCCCCCGTCACTCATGCCGCGGCCCCGAGACAGAAGCGCCTCTCCGGGCTCGTTTCAAAAAAAGGACCCGGGATCCGTAAAGCCATCTTGCATGCAAGAGTCGCCCGCTGTAATCTTTTCCATCCCGCCGATGCTCTGTTGCCCGTCTATATGTCGTAGTACGCAAGACGCCAACATAATAATGGTAATAATAAAAGATAGAAAGAAATCGATTCCCATTCTGCCATAACCTGATCGATATTCCCAGCGAACCGGACAATCCGGCCGCGATAATCGATCAATGCTAGGTTAGATAGGTTGGTACGTATGTATGTATGTCGGTGGAATGTGCCGTCGCATCGACTCAATTCATCCGTAAGAAAGATAGGTTTTAAGTTAGGTACAGATCGAGCCGACTATGGTACGGCTCCGTACAATCCATCAAAGCAAGAAGCCCACGGGGTATCTGATCGAGACCTGACGCAAATAATAATAATAAAGAGCACGGAAGGTAAAATGACAAGTTCGAAGTCGGCTTCGAAATTTAAACGAGACGTAACGGTGTCGGCATGAACCTCATTCGCTTCGTACACCCCTTCTAGGAGAAATCGTCCGCGGTCGGCGACATGACCAGACGGTCGATCCGCTGGACCAGGTCTTTGGTCTCGCGCACGATCTCGAAAGCGATGGGCGGTAGCGTCTGTGTCCACATGCGCCATTCCCGGTCGCTCTCTCCGAGGCCGCGAGCCGCTAGATCTTTACCCTGCTCGCCGGCTTCGAGCAAGCGTTGACGGCAGGCCGATAACCGATCCGTCATGTCGCTGCCGTTGCCGTATGCCTCGGTCTGCCCGACGACTTTGCCGACGACGTCGGCGATCGACGTGATCTCGTCGTTGATCTGCTGGATAGGCGCGTCGCCGCGGATGGAACCGACCAATCCCTGGATGGTCTGGACCATGATCTCGGTCTGATCTTCGAGATATATCTTGAGGTCTTCGTTCTTGGCATCCTGCCGCCCCAGGCCGTTAGGGGAATTGTTCTTATTTATACCCATGAAAGTCATGCCGTTCACGCCGCCGTTATACCGCTCGCCGGATTCTCTCGGCGAGCTGACGGGGCTATAAGCGGAAGAGTTGGCGCTGTCGCGTATTCCGGCACGGAGACCTTGAAAGGGAGGGGGCGGCACGAGGGGAGAATCCTGAGGTTTCATGTACGCTTCCTCCTGCTGCGTTGTGGTGGTGGTGCGATTCGAGAAGAACCCGGTCGAGTCTACCGGCGTCACCGTGCCGTCGTCGTCATCCTCCAACTCGCCGGCGGGCGTGGCGCGTATTTTGACGGTCCGTAGCAGCTCCACCAGAGCGGCGACCAGGTGAGAGGCGGCCGCGTCGAGCAGAGAGACGGGGGAAATACCGGCTCCGGAGGCGAAGTTCTTGGACGCGGTAATTAAGTTGTTCGCGGTGGCGGATACGCGGCTCTTGAGTTTTTGCTGCTGCTGGATCTGTTCTCCGTCGTTCGGCTGAGATTCGTCGATGTCTTTGGTGATGCGTCGGACACCGACAATCACCGCCTTCATAGAGTCGATCACCTTGTCCGGCTCGTCGGTCCGGGCTCTCTGCAATAATTCGTCGATGGCGATCTGGAACTTGGTGACGTGAACGTCCTTGACCAGACCGTCTTCTTCCGTGAAGCCCCTCTCTCGCACGTACTTGCCGGCGTCCTGGTCGATCGCGAGTCCCATCGACGAGGCGCGCATGCTGCGGAGCTGAGTCTTGGTGCGGGCGTAGCGGTTCCGCCAATCTCGGACCTCCTGCTCAAGCCGCTCAACGGTCTTCTCCAGCTCGGCCTGCCTTTCCCAAGACGGGCTGTGCTGCTGCGAGAGTATCTTCATCTCTTCCAGGAATTGGCGGGCTTCCAGACGCACGCTCTCCGTCACTTGCTGCTGCTCTTGGAGCGCCTTACGCAGTTCCTCGTTCTCCTTCGCGACCTCGGAATCTCCCCCGACGCCCCTATTGCCGATGCTTTGCTGGGCTTCTTCGAGCTCTTCCCTCAATTTCCGCGTCTCCATGGCGTTATCGTCCCTCACCCTGTCGAGCTCTTCTCGCAAGGACTCGTTGAGATCCTGCGCCTCGGCCAGCTTGTTCTCGAGCCCCATTCGTAAGTCGTCCCATTGCTGCTTTTCCACATTCGAGGCCGTCGTGCGAGATCGCTCGCCGTCCATCAACTGGGCCAGCTCGTCGTCTTTCTTCTTTAGCTGATCCTCCATGCCGTCTATCTTATCCCGCAGCTCTCGTACTTGAATTTGATAATCGTCTATGAGTTTCTTGTCCACCTAGGAATCGTAAGCGAATATTCACGCCGCTCTCGGCAACCGCCGGCGACGTTCTTTAAACTTACCTCAGATAAGCCGCCGCTCGTTCCGACGCTTCTCTTGCTCTCTCGGTTGCGTGACCTAAAATCGCTCTCGTCGTTCGACCCATTCAGGTCGTCGTCTTCTTCGACCATCGTACTCTTGTTAGGTACTATCGTATTGCTCTGGAACTGCTTCGCCAGAGGCCGGTCATAGTTGCCGTTGGGAAGACCGGGCGACGGAGGCACGGGATAGTCGCCGACAACCCTCGGAGCCGCCGAGCGGATAGAGCTCGCGTCCGACGGTCGCCTCATACCGTTCGGCCCTCGCATACCCATCGGCGTGCCCGCTCGGCTCGAAGGCATCCCCGGGGTGCTCATCCGAGGAATATCTCCGGCTATGAACTTAGGTATGCGCCTTTCCAATTCGCAGAACACGTCCGTCGCGAGGTCTCTAAACCTAGGCGAGCCGAGGGTCGAAAGTTTCTGACGTGCTTGGTTACGCTTCGGGTGGAACGTGTCTTCGGGCAATAGGTAAGTCGGCGGACCGACGTTGGGAGGTGCGTTGGGCGGCCTCCGACTATAGGCTTGACGCCGCATCAATTCGTCGAAGACGTCGGTCGACAACTCCAGAAACTGAACCGACGACAGGCGCAACAGCTTGTCCCTCGCCTTGTTAGGGGGCGGGTTCGCCCTGCCATCCTTGGAAGTCGAAGATAAGTATCGCTTGAGGGCGACGTAATGCTCTCCCAAGATCGCTTCGGTGCCTTCTTCGCGGAGGCTTCTCCCGCTCTCGCTTCCCGCGTAGGCGCTAGAACGTCCGACAGAAGGCGGCGGCGACGGGCCGCCGACGCTCCTCGGGCCGGGAGGGAATCCGTTCATGTTCCCGCTGGAACCGTTCGAGTCTGGGGGGGAGACGGGGCCTCGATTGTTGGGATAGGGTCCGTCGCTGTCGACGTTTTGGTACTTGGACATTCCGGACCACTCGCTGCCAGCGCCTACAGAGACAGGTGAGAGCGGCGCATTTCGAGTATTCATGGTCAACATCAATGTCTGGTATGCGAGCGCGAGGTTGGTCGTCTTCGGGGCTAAGGCAAACAACAAAGAAAGGCGGAGAGGAGAAACGCGCGCGCCACGTGAGAAAGGAGGAATGGGAATGGGAATGGGAATCGAGGCGGCGGTAGAAGTCTCAAACCTAGCCCAGCCTAGCGCTGTCAAATCCGATCTAACGCAGCTGCAGCTAGCTCCCCCTTGATTCCTAACCCGAATCGAAAGCCGGTCCTGGCTCTTCTTTCTCTCGACTGTTGCTCTGCGATATTTGACCAAATCGCTACCCCTTTCCCATCCGAAAAGCAACGGTAAGCCGCCGAGGGGGAAGATGAGGGCGCGTGATAACAATTTGATAAGGTAAAGCGATTTTTGTCTTGCAGCAGCAGAAACGAAAGTCTGGTACGACCGGCAGGAATAGGTTACTACGAACGCGGTACAATCGTGGCACAGAAGTCTTGGGTCGGAATTGCAACTGTAGCCACGCGCTACAGATTGCGCGAACGAGATAGAAAAGAAACTAAGAATCGAGGCAAGGGATGATGAGGCTCTCGAGGTGAGGAGACCGGGTAAAGAAAAAAAAGAAGTAAAGTCCGTCGACAGACTTCCAACTTCAAACTCTTGGGGGAGTGGAAAGAACGTATGTTCCAGGGTTGCTTGTGGCTGGTGGCGTCTCAAATTCGATCATTCCAAGCTGCGAGCTGCAGGTTGCGAGGAGGATTTCTGCAGGTACGGAGGCAAGTTACAACACATGAGACCTGAGTCATGTATACCATGTACAGCATGTACAGCAATGCCCCGGGGAAGATAACCTTGGAAGTTTGTGTGAGAATTTACAAGTAACGGTATTATCGAACATCCTAAAAAAAAAATAGCGGAAGCATGAATGAAACCTCTTTACCTCAAAGGTGGTTGAAGCAAGACGGGGGAGACGGGGTGGAAACAGGGGGTCGGCAGGGGTTTCTGACCAATCGGGAAAAGGGGCAGCGACTTATTCAGGGCATTTTGACCGGGATCGTGCCTGACTAGACGGTTTTTGACTGTGCTGACCGTGACTAAAACCACCTTTAGCAGTCGCGACGAACACCGGAAATGGGTTCAGTGAGCGGTCTCCCATTTATCTCCGCCCATTATGAAATTACTATGTACTGTACATACGCCGCGTACACCATGTACTTACCTGCATAACGTAAATTGCAGTATGCTTGACGTACCTAACTTTGTATGTATTAAATATTACATCCTTTGACATTTTCCAATAGTTCGACGTCCCAAGGATCCAATCAAGGATGCAAAGTTCTAGGCTTACATGTAGGTACGATGCAAGAGTCCCATATTCGAAATGAATCGTAGAGACGATGCATGATGAAAAATGTTGAAATCATGAAAGATGTGCATCTGATAGTTTTCGCCTCATGCAGTAACTATACATACATAATGAGCAAAATAAGCTTTTCTTGGATCTGCTCGCGTCGATGGTGCAGCAAGGCCTGTGGTGTGCAAAGTGTATTCCTTTTATGCGATCGCAGGGATACCTAGTATACTTGCTCCTGAGCAAAGCATACGTAGTACATCGTCAACCAAAATAGGGATGGATATTTTTAAGATTAAAAATATGCTGCGCCATCCACATCTAATTCTTCGCCCCAGTTTTCCAACTGGTTTCTAACTAGAACCGGCTAGCACGCAGCTGGTACGGAATCACCCGTGAAAATGTAGCAATTATTATCTGCATTCTAGAAGCACATAGGCACACGGAGCCGTACAGGGTATTGTGCAAGGCACGCGGCCGTTGTCATTTTCTCATCAGAAAAGAGGGAGAAGAGAAAAAAGATCGTCGGACGGGGGGCATCATAAGTCTCGACCACCCGCCGGCGGGATGGGAGAATCGAGATCAAAAACGATCTACGACCAAAATTCCCTATCTCGTCCTATCCCGGCGACGGTCAGATCTCCCCATCGGCAAGGAAAGGAAAAAAGACGGGGAACTGATGGGAATTGACGACTATTCGATCGAATACGTTGCGCAATATCGTTTAGCTAAGTAGATTAGCTTCGAGCTGGGAGCTCAATTCGACTTGTGATTGGTCGCGTGTTAGTGACGGTTGGTCGTAGAGTTCAAGCGAATCTCGTCGCGCGCGCTTCGGTGGTGACCGTATCAAGAAGTCCTATCGAGTAAAAGGGGTAACCCTAAGCTGCCCGTCGAAGATTTTGACTCAAAATCAATACAATGAACGATTGTAATTCAATGACTCGGAGGTCGTCACCATGGCGGCATAGAAAATTCAAGTTTTAGCCCGTCTGTTTTTATCGTCATAATCATCACATATAGCGTAACTCCACAGAATAGCTTGTACCGTGCGTGAATCGGCGTTAAGGAGCGACTTCCGGCTACGTTGACGGCCTCACTCTATAAACTTTGCCAGTTTGATAAGAAAGCCTTACTAGTTATAAACCGATACTGTTTCCGCTCGTATTGGAGAATGGGTAGTCTGTGGTGTTCTATATAACTAATGTCATTTCTTGATATTATCGTCCTAGCTACTTCGCAGACGACGTTTTAATGTAGGTCGTCTTACAATCACCGACAGCCCATGAGATACTCTTAACTTATGATGCATTATCAATGTCAGAAAAGCTGTAGATACATTTCATTCGAGTGAGAATTCCCCTGGGATTCGTCATCATGTCGAGCTTGGTTACCTAGGTAGTTTCATGTCAGAAAGTTCGTTGATGGCGAGAAACACCTCAACTGGCAGCTGAGATCGGTATGAACACATGAAATTCACAAGGATAAAATCATCTCGTTCCACGTCACCTCTGCGGAAGCGTCAGAAGACTACATGTTGCAAGAAATTTTCACATGGAAACGAGGCACCCCGTTGTCGCTATCTGGACGACCATTATCGAATTAATATGGTAATCCATTACATTAGGAGTTGCCCGGACACAGCTAGCTTCACGACAGACTGACGAAATGTAGTAGTGATATAGATAGGTAGAGTCGGAATTCTAAGAACCAGATAAGGATGTTATTTTGTTCTAATTCAAACACTGAGGGAAAGATGTCGACAAGAGCGAAAGAGGTACTGAACCACTCGATTGATGAACAACGATGACGACAAATCACAGGAATACAATGTCTCAAAGGCGACTATATGCGAAGAAAGTGGAATCTTAGGTATTTGTTCAAGTTGCTCCCTTGGATATTTCACCTCGCAATATTTATACCCAAAGTCTGCTGCATCAAAGTTTAGGCATCGGATGTTGAACAGGTCCTGTACCTAACACAACTATCTCGGTCAGCATGATCTGCTGAGTATCCCTATCGTTGAACGTGTTGCTAGTGGATGTACTCGGGAAAATTATCACGTAACTACATGATATTTCATTTGATTTTCCGCGGACCAAGTCGTCCGCGACATCACCGCAAACAAGACATTCCCTTCAAAAGGTTGTCGAGAAAATAATGAGCAAATCATGGAAACCTTGCTATGACTTTAAAGAATTACATGTATATGGAAGCGGCTGAGGGATTATTTACTTAGAAAGGCTACAACTGTTTCATTTCCAATGAGTTTGAATGGCATTTGTTACCTTATGAGCTAAAGCCCCTTGCTCTACTAACATCATATTTCAACTGAAAACAACTTACCAAGTCCACATCTCAAGCTGCTTTCTCATACCGTGACTATTCCTATGTTTCTGGATTTACCGAGGCGAAGCTTTGTCCGCAGTCAAAAATTGGGTAGCGCCGACACCAAGACGGAATACCCTCGCTCCTAATCAAGAAAATACACAAGGTGTCGGAAAGATCATCAGCATAAAGTTCCTCGTCACAACTTGCCACGTCATGTCAAATATTCGTAATTATCATTCTTCGGCCAGGCAGCGACCAAGCCAGCAACGGAAAATATCCCGGGGTATCATCGATAAAGAAAAAATCCGCAAACGCGTATCAAAACCAAGCCAGCGTCCACGTCGCCGGCAAATTCGGCCACCTCTCCTGCCACTCCCCGATGATCTCCGGCACACGTTCGTCAAAAGTGGCCCTGCTGGCGGCGCTTCCCATGTCGAACGCAGCGGCCCCCATGCTCTCTCGTTCCTCCTTGGCGGCGTTGTTCAACGAGTCTGCGAGGTCGAGAATGCCTCGCCCGCCGATCGAGGCTTCTTCGTGGTTATCTTTGATGTCGACATTGATGACGTGAACAGGACGGTTCAACGGGGACCCCCGGTTTAGCAGATCATCAATGACGGCGTCCCAGCATCTCTCTTCGCAGGTAAAGACGACGTCAACCACGCCACCTTCCGTACCTTCGCTTCCGCGGTCCGTGGTGTGATCGGTTCTGGGAATTCCTATCTGCCAATCCTGCCATCTTTCCGGTCCCCACTTCACCTGCCTATTCCTTCCCAGCATGTTCAGCAGGCCGTTCGCCGTATACAACCTAGGATCCTTCTCGTGAAGCTCCTTGTACATCGCATCGTACGATACCTTATTAAACTGATATACGTTCGGCTGAGTTATCGAAGGCCCGGGCAGCCGGACGAGAGATCCCGTACCAAAAGAGATGACGGGATAATGAGCCTGGGACAACCGTAGATGCGCCTCCATCGACCTTGGTCGCGTAAGCTCGTCTGCTATAAGAAGGGGGGATCGGATCGGAGGGGTAAATACCTGTTCTGATTGCTGGCACAGACGGTGCAAAACTTTAGCTTGAAGCCTCCCGGATCTTCTCGTTCGCCGTTCGCCGCCGGGGCGGCAGGGTCAGGGGTTCCGTTTGCAACTTCCATCTCGTTTATCTGGATGCTGTTTAGCTCAATCGCATGAGCAACGTGGATATCGACGAAGGTTGGCGCATGCTCGTCGCAAATTGAGACAGCGAATAAGCTTCAGAACTATGCTACGTCAATGCGTGTCTCCAAGCAAGGGCAAGCGTAGATTGAGTAGAACGAACGAGTATCTCCAAATTCAGATAATGTTGCGTAAGGTAATGTTAGGTGTCACCATGGGAAGGATCAGACAGCTCCAATAATAACTTTCATCATTTAGGAAATTCTTATAGGTCAAATGAAAACAAAAAAAAACAAAAAAAATCCGATAAACTGACTTACCTTTTATATGGGAAACGTGAAGCGTCGTGCAATTGTCGTATTGTCTAGAATGATGCACGTTGAAAATGTTGAAGTTGACCGAGGCTATCGACGGACAAGGATTTACGATCTCCATATGCGGCGGCTTAGAATTAATCCGCTCCGGCTTGAATCGGCTAGGTACCGCGTGCAGGGAGCTCCCTTACATAATCCCACTGAATAAAACTTGATGCAGAACATTATTTGTATAAATACGTACAACTACACCGATTGATCTGCTATGGTAATCTTGCCACTACCTTCGGTTAGCTTCACAGATTGGGCAATGGAAGCAAGGCAGGAGCAGAAAATGTGAAACAGGCGACAGAGTGACACTCCGGGGAGAAATTCTATCCAATGGAGCGGTCACGACGTATCCGGTTTGTACGTCGGCGCCCGACATGCAGAGCAAGTAAGGCGGTCGAAATTGATATGTCCAGAAATAGAAACATCTTCTGCACACGTACACTCCGAGCCTTCCCCCCTTACGCAGGCTAGATTATACTTACTCCAACTTGTCCTCCCGTTCGATGCAACATCCGATCCAACCAGCTGCCATTCCGGTCCGGCTCACATGCGTAACACTAGGTGAGTTTTCAACCTCCCATCGCGGAGACTACATAGTACCATCTAGTGTATTTGTCCTACAAGGACAAGGCGACTTCGTACAGTTAGATTTGGATGGAAAAGAAAAAAAAAGGTCTACACTATAGTAGCTCTCAATTACAATAATCGTTATACTTGGGTAGGCGTTTGCAGCTTATTAGCCATACATCGTACCTACTCTTGCTTTCGAACAAAGACAAGAACTCTTCGTAAGCCTCGTATATCGCTATTGCGGTACCAGCTATCAGACCGCTCTTTTGTGCTCGCAACTCCTATGCATGTGGTGAATTAGCGATGACGGACTGAAGCATCGGCTAGGGGTCACGTGTGCAGCGCGAATCAACGATGCCGACTTGTTTCACCATCGACTAGATGCATAGTTCTTCGGGCTCATCGTCGGATTCGTCAATCATATCCGCAGGATTGAATGTGGTGGTGCTGCACGATGTGAGCGCTAAGTAAGCACGACGAAGTAGTATATCATGTAAGTATCTACGTTTACAATACTGAATATCATTACCTGGTCCTCTGACAACGGAAATAACTCATTCTGGGGAATCCCGACCTTGAATCATTATCACTCGTGACTGTAGTAAGTCTTGAGTATCAGCCTTAAACTTGAATTATGTCTATTACTGATAACATTTCGGCAACTTGCTATACCATCTGACCTATATTGCAAGCTGAACGAATACAGTTGAAGGTAAAGTTGTTAGGAATATTAGCATTGTTAATTATAGACCATTCACCATCTTGATAACTTCACGACTGGGTTGGCAAGTATCACATTTCCTACATGAAATATGCCGATGGATTCATATTTCGAAATCTTTCGGTAATACGCAACGGAAGCTATGACCTCGAGCCAGGCTCCTTGAAACTCACACCTACTTTCCTCAAATTCAATTTTACCTTTGTCTCATCTCAGCCTTCATCTTGTCTGTTGGTAGACTCGACAAGCAGCCGGTACCACCGGCGCACCTCCAGTGTCCGAGTGCTTATTTGCTAAACCCCGCCTAGCCCGCCGTAAGGGTTCCCAAGGGCGAAGAGCCGCTAAAACAAGAGGACCGGCCAGTAGGATCTCTGTCCCGCGCGCTTAATCGCGACCAATTCTAGGCCTCCCTGTAGCCAGTTAGATGAGATAGGAGCCGCTCCTTTCTAGGGCTAGCCAGTCGAAGTCGGTGACTTGTGCTGATTTCCGTCTGCGATTGTGCTCGTACGCATTTCGATAGTCTTTACGTGCTAGTTATACTATGCTTATTTTGAAGATATCGTCAATGAGAGGATCTGGACTTGATAGAGACATACCCAAGTGCTAAGTCACGGCGGATAGGTGACATCGAACCTTAGAAGCTAAGCCACTTGGTATGGTCCTGGGCTAATTCCGCTACTTAAACTTTAACCTACTAGGCACCTGGCACCTGGCACCTAGGTAGGGATGTATTCCGGTACAATATTGCACAATACAAATTCGATGTTCCAATTGATCCTGTTAGTTCGGCCTTTTCGCAATTGCCAATTGGATTCGCCCAACCACTGCGGACTGCAGGAGCAAAGCAGGCAAGCAACGCTGAGCACTTCTTGCGTTCGACGTTCTCCATTCCCCACTCGAACTTTCCCATCCGATCTCCACAGTACAAGTACGGTCGTTACCTTGGTAGTAACAACTTACACCTGCCTAGCACCTAGGTAGTCTGGCAGCGACCTACCGCTAAAAAACCTAGCTAAACCTTACCCTACCGCCGAACTTTACAAAGTGATTTTTTGTACTTTTAGGAATTACGACACTTTTTTATCCTTTGTTCACCCCAGCGCCTCTGTTTATTCTTCGTAGGCTTCGACAGGCCAGCCCAAGGCTCTCGACACGGCTCTACCTCGAGTCTCCTCTCTCTGACCTAGACGTATCTAGTATTATATGCGCCAGCGCTTACATTTCAGTTCGCGACATTCTTTTTCTTCGTTCCGCTTCGCCCTCGCTCTACCTAGGCACAGGCACCAACACCGCGAATACGACTTGGTTTGACGAACTATAATACGATTCGACTTATACGAACGCCCTCGTCGTATTTCGGGTACCGCTCACGTAGATAACCTCTCCGGGGAGGGAAACGTCCGCAAACCTTCGTCGCCGCACCGTCGTGGATCGGAATCGTTTCTCAGGAATATAATTATATACGATCCTAACAACGCTTACTATTTTCGATCCCAGCTTATTAGACTTCTTCGAACCGTCGACCAAGCATCGCACCAGATTGCGAAACAACTTGCGGGCCGAGTTTGTTAGGCGGCAATCGCGTTCTGTAGGTGTCTCTTTGTCGTGCTGTTCCGTCCGCACCGGGCCGACTGTGCGAAGAGACGGCGCACGTAGTAATACGCATTGCGTAGATTCTATATTCTTGGGTACGCATTCGAAGACTGTTCCGGTCTCCCTTCCTCGATGACCGCAATTATGTCTTCATCGTACTCATCGCCAGCCGTCTCGCCTCCAGCAGCTCCGTCGCAACAACACGCTACCGCACCGACGACCTCGCCCTCGACGACGAACCCGAACCATCCCGCCTTAGCTCCCTTGATAACGTCGCCGCCCTCCCGACGATCAGCCGCACCTCGACCGATGTCCCACGCTTCCAAGAACCGACTGTCGCAATACTCGACGGGATCCGTCCCGTCGCGGTCGCGGCCCGCCTCCTTCCTGTTTCCCATCTTCCACTCCAGCCTCTCCTACACCACCGTACGAGACTTCGCCTACCCGTCCACGCATCCCATGCACTATGGCCCCCCGCCGGAGCCCTCGAGACCGCCCTCCGGCATGACCACCCCCGCCAGCGAGACGAGACGGCTGTCGGACCCGCCCGCCTCCTGGGAAGGCAAGATGGGTTGGGATTGGACCTCGGACGGCGGGCTCGGGAAGGGCGGCGAGCTAGCCCCGATCCACTTCGGCGACGGTCCGCCTTGGAGCGAGGACGAAGATCTGCAGAGCCCCGTGGTCAGCTCGCGGCATAGGAAGCACAAGTCGACGTCGGCGGTCACGGGACACCACAAGACAAGAAGTTCGAGGGACGGCGGCGCGTCGTCGATATTGAGCACGAGCAACTTGGACGTCGAGAGGGGATATTACGTCGGGACGAGCGGCGACGGGAGCGAAAGGTACTACGTGAGCCAGGGCGGGGAGGCGAACGGCCCCGGAGGAGAATTCGTGACGTATCCGCCCGAGCAGGCGAGGCATTCCATCAACGCGTACCAGACGCCGCCGGATCAGCGGCCGCGGAATTACGCCGAGAACGAGACGGGGTATCGGTCGGAGTCGGACGCCTCGAGCGCCGCCTCGTCCCCGGGATATCGCCCGTACGACGAGTCGAGATATTCGAGGGATTACCAATTCACCATCACCTCGCCAGACGAGGAAATGCACGGCAAGGCCGTCGCGCTATTCGATTTCGAGAGGGAGAACGAGAACGAGCTGCCCCTGGTAGAAGGTCAGATCATCTGGGTATCGTATAGGCACGGTCAGGGTTGGCTCGTGGCGGAAGATCCCAAGACTCAGGAGAGCGGTCTCGTGCCCGAAGAATACGTTCGCCTACTTCGCGACATCGAGGGCGGCATGACGAGCCTCACGGGCCAGCTCGAGGGTCCGGCCACTCCGAACGACGTAGGCACTCCGACGCAGGCCGAACACAGCGGGCACGCCATACTGCCCCAGACCGTGCACGCCCCGCAGCCCGGCCACGTCTCGACGGGGAGCAATTCGACGAACGGTTACCACCAGCCGGTGGTCTCGACCTTCTCGACCTCTAGCAAGGACTTGGATCCGTATCCGCAGCATCTCCTAGGCCAGCACGGACAACCGCCTCCGCAAGTCGTGCACTACCACGGCCAGCGCGGAGGAAGCCAGGCCAACACGCCCACGGCCCAGAATTCCTTCGGCGATACCCCGCTAGGTCGTAGCAGCCAGGAAGGTAAACGCAGCAGCTCGGCGTCTAGGAAGTCTCAAGGCCTCGACGTTCTGCCCCACTCGAAAATGAAGTCGGCGGCTCACGAACCTCACCTAGACGACGAGGACCAGCAGACGGCTCAAAAGCAGTGACAAGGTGGCCGGTGTGATTCGCGCAATCACGTGTAACAATTTGTAGAGGCGCCGCAAAATGTCGAACCCGAGCGCGATCCCGGGGAAAACAATTATATGTATAACAGCAGCGTCCGGCTCCGCCACGACTTTTGCGACCGCAGACCATATTATAAAGGATGGTCACGTTTGATTTATCCCATATACGTGCTTTATCGTCCTCGATTGGTCCCCGACTATTTTTGGTCGATGCGATAGGACCGCAAACGAACCGATCGTGGCAGGGAATTGGCCGAACGCGAATTGGACGATGATATCCACACGCTTGGCATATGTCGTATCGTAGGAAAAGGAGACGGGATGCGGATATGGGAGACACGTGGTCATAATGGTCATATGATCAACGAAGATAGGTTGAATGAGAATTAACACGATCAAGCAATTTTTACGGACCTATGAGCGTTATTAATAAGTGTCCGAGACCTCGTTTGAATGGCTCTTCGGAGCCTGTAATATTTAGGACAGCAACTGTCATAGGAGTGCTAGATCTGATCACAGATATGCCGTGTATTAAAAATAAGTTCCCGAGTATGAAAACGTGTTTAATTTCGTGTACTGCTAATTTTAGGGAATTTATTTCCAGCTAAATATATATGCTAGGCAGATCATATATTCCACGCAGAGCTAATATTGAGGAAAATAACTGCATGCTTATGTGTAGGGAGAAATAGGGGTAAAGGTGAATCGTGCAATGTTCTATAAGCGATGCAGTTTCTGCAGTTTAGGTATATTTATTCCTAGGTAAAACCGTTAAGACAATGAAAATATCTACATATTGCCTCGATCCTAGTATCCGACTAAGTGCAGTCGCAACCTCTGTCCCTGGATTCTCTTTACTGCAGCTCAGCGACGTAGTAGTTATGATTGCAAAACCCATCCGTCGGGCTATCCGAAACATCCACCTTACTACTGGCGCTCGCGACGACCTGTCCACTCCCATCCACCAGCTCGTTCTTCTGGGCCCCGGTCTTCAACCCCACGATGGAATTGTAGTTCAAGCCCGCGCTCACAGCTTGCGTAGCGAGCACCTGGCCTCCGCTCGTGACCCTGATACCTATACCCGAACTACCCTTCGGTAGAACAACCGCGTAGTTCACCGCGTCGACGGCGGCGCCGGATCCCCGGAGCGCGTACCCGTTGCAGGTGGTCAGGATGCCCCGGTACCACATGGTTCCCGCAAAATTGCCGGAGCGAGGGGTCATAGAGTCGACGGAGGTAGCCCCGGCTTTGAAAGCGTCGATGAAGGAGGCGATGAGGGGTTGCCATCCGCCGTGGGGGATCGTGTCCGAGTTGCCGTACTGCAGGATTTCGGCGGTTAGACCATCGGCCCAGCAAGGACCTATGTAGTGGCTTTCTCCAGCGTCATTCTAGTGAATTGAAGTGAGTCGAGATTAGTCCGGAGGTATGTATCTGCTAAGTCGAAAGCTCGCTTACCCAGGTAATAACTTCGGTAAGGTCGGGAGACAATGAGAGGATTTGCTTTATTCGTTCGGGGGGGTTTGTTTCGTCGGCTCGATACCAGGCGTCGCCGCAGCTGTTAGGACAAGAACAAGGAGCTGCTAGCCTGGTTAGCTCATTATATAGCAATTCTTCATAGCTCTACAACTCTTAGAAAACCTTGCTCAATACAGCTATGATCACAACTACATTCCTCACGATTGTTCTACCATAGCAGCAGTGCTTATATTGGAGCGTGGAGAGACCTGCGGCCGGTTAATTTTACTAATCGCGCTTCGGGTACGTAGGCCTTACCCATCATATAAGCCTTTCCGGCGGCGTCGGCAGCCGACTTGACAGCTTGGTCCTTGGTCGACGACACATTTACGGGCGTGTCGGAAGTATCGGGCCAGGCGGTCTCCCACGTGAACACCCCGTCGAGAGCATCGCCCCGGCTTTGGAAAAATGCAGACGGGTTGCTGTAGTAGTTTCCGTCCGCTTCCGGGTTCGGGATGAGGTAGACGTTGTTAGTATCCTTGAAGTTCTTCCACGTATCGGGACCGACGCCGTCTCCACTGTAAGAAGAGACAACGGGCAAATTGTTATACTGCAAGTAAGCGGCGTGGCCCCACAAACAACTATACTGTGGTCATCGAGGCACCTCGATGACCATTTTTTGGTATGGGCGCACTGACTAGGTGGTTTGTGTGACCTTGGTTTTAGTACCTCGATAACCATTTTCCTCGATGACCATTTTTGGCCCCCACCCGGGCCCCGCTTTTTTTCGGGTTGAGGTTACATAACCAGGGTTAGGGTTGATTTTTATCAGGGTTATCCAGGGTTAGGGTTTAACCCCTGCTTACGTAATTAACTTCAAATTTTTAAAAGTGTTTTTTTCGACGAAATGAAACGTTTAAAATAAAGTTTAAAAAAACGTTTATAAATCGATGGATTTTATAAGTTTAATTATAATATTATAACCGTTTTAAAGCTTAAACTTTTCGTTATTAATTAATATAAAATGCACTAAAATAAAGGTAAAAGTAAAAAAGTTATTAAAGGAAACGTTTTTAAAATAAAAAATTATTTTTTTAAAAATTTAAAACTTTAAAAATAAATAAAATAACGGAATAACTACGGTTTAAATTTATAAAAAATTTTAATTTAATTTATTAAAAATTTATTATTATTTTTAAATAATTTTAAACGTTTAATATTAAAAAATAATAAAAATAATAAAAATAATTATAAATATTTAAAAGTTTTAATTTTATTATTATATTTATTAAATAAAATAATTTAATTTAATATAAATTTATATTATAAATTTTTTTAAATATTTTAAAATTATTATAAATTAATAAAT